AGATTGCTGTGGGCGGGCCTCTTGATACTACCGCGGCAATTTCTTGTTGGGGTTCTTTCTGCGTCCATTCCTCTCCTGTGACGAATGGAGAAGCCGTGGCTTCTTCGTTGGTCCAATCGGTGGCAACCTCCTCTGCCACCCCGACCCAAGTGGGGGTGGGGCAGAGTGGAACGGGATGAAACCTATCGGCGGTCACCATCCACCGCCGCCCCCCGACCACGACCACCAACACAACACAACACAGGTCGTTCCAGGAGCTTAATCAGCCCCGTAGGTCTGGGCCGGTGTCGACACCGGCCCAGCCAACCAGCCAGCCCCCGTGAGGAGGCTGGAAAAGAGCGAGGGGCCACAATTGGTCCCGGGAATGTCGGCCCGGAGTGAAACTACCTCGATCATCTCCGCGCGGCGCTGGCCGAGCCCGCCAAAGAATCGGCGGGCTTCCAAGATTCAGTCCATTCTGGACTGGTTTTGGTGAAGGGAATTGCAGGCACAGGCGTCGGGTGCTTGAACAAATGGTGGGGAAGAATGCTTCGGAGGGCTGGTATCTGATGTCGGATCGTTGTTCGGTTGTGTTGTGTGTTGAGGTTGGAGTGTGTTGTAAGAGAAAGAGAGAGAGGGAAATGCGGGTTGGTCGCTGTCGGTTTTGTGAGGGAGCGATTTAGGGTTGGTTCTCGGAACCCTAACTATCACTCACACAAGGGCTTCCTGCTCTTCAAAGAACTATGTACCTGCGTTGTCGGCTAGGGTTATCGCGATAATGTCAAAAAGGAAATCTTACTTCCACCCAGCAACTCCCATTGACCCCACTGGCGTATAGAAGTATGATGTACCAGGTATCGCATTCCCTATTCGCACTCCGACATCGATAAAGATCTCCACTTAGACCGAGTCCATTCCTTCCTGTAGCATCCAACGACACTTACCCAAGGAAGGACAAGATTAAAATTTACAAACAAAAACACGCCGAGACGGCGCCCGCCACGGTGACAAAGAGCCTCGCAGCTCAAGCCCACTCCCCAGCCCACAACCATCTCCCTCCCTCCTCCTAACAAACGATAGAGCCGTCGAGTCCAGATCCGATGTTGAGACGATGGCCCTGGACGGTGGACATCTCTACATTCATAGGTGCTACCTAATTGTTCTACAGGGGCGCCCACATCGGCGACATCTGTCCGTTACGTACCTGGACGATGGCCTCTACCTAACAGGTGGAAACCAGCTGTATGTACGAGGCCCCGCTGCCGATACCGCTTTCTCTACGATTGACGACACACTCGCACAGAGACGAGTTCTGACGGCCCCAAAAACGCAGAGACACTACAAGAATGCGGTTGAGTGTAGAGTATCCGCATCACCTTTTGCTGGCGATTTGGGTGGGAATTTTGAAAAGAGGGAGGGGGTGGTGGTAGGGGCCCAGTTGCAACCGAGCTTCTATTCTCTAGAAGCTCTGCTTGCATCTCATGCGCTCGGAGGATAGAGGACTGTCGCTTGGGAGAGATATGTGTGGTATAAAACACAGACATACAATTTCAGAAAATTGGTCTTCTATTCGAGTGATTGGGTGTGATTCTCTGTATAATTATTTTTTAAAAAACGAAATAACAGCGGATTGGGGAGGAAGGAGAGCATAGGAGTCGGTTTGCAGATGTATGACTTACAAAGGAGGAAGAATTACGATCCAACTCCCACCATATTCAGCGCTGCAAGGGCGTATGAGGGTATACATAATATCTGAGCATTTGGTGGTACTCGTTTGTCCGACGCCTGAATCACGACGGCAACCTCTTGCCCCAGCAGTCCCACACGAAGAATCTTATACAACGCTACAGAGTTATGTATAGTATTAGGCACCAAAGTATCGTAGTACCTAGCTCTCGATGGGGTTCGAGGCAGCTGCCTAAATTTATGTATGTATTGTACTTCATGCCGTTTGCGGCAACTTCGTGCGCCCAACATTGAAGGCACGAACTGTTTTGGGAAAGTTTCGTATGATATGAGACGTCGTCCAAGAACAATTGGCTTAGAGGCTGCTCCCCACCTGATGAGTCATTTCACACGCTTGCGGGATGGGATGGGTGTTACTCACCTGGTTGGTTGGTACATATTGTGGAGGAGGCCGAAGATGACGGACACTCGCACCACCACCTTTCATGGAACTTTCTCGACTACCACATTAGTTTTTGCTCTGAGCGTACTGCTTGTCACTCGTCCAGTCCCGGCCTATGGTCGATTCTGGTTTCAGTACTTCAATGTGTCGTTTCTTGTGGAAGATTCTACTATTGGAGCGAAGCCCCAAGGTACTTGTGGGCCGTGAGTGATTACTGGTATCATACACTACGAAGTGGAAGAAAGAACTTGACTGCCCTAAAGTAACTAGTCCCTTACCCAACAATCGTTATGAATTCAGACCACGTAGCCTCCTCCACACGACTGACTTCATCCTCACCTCTCCATCACAAACACTGTACAAACTCACACCATGCGTTTCCCGGTTAGCCGGCGCATCTTCCAGCGCACACCCATCATTCCATGCTCCTGCATTCTTCACGGCCTTGTCTGCTCCAGAAAAGTCATCAACCTGATCTTCGGCGTCGTCCTGGGCGACTGTGGGTGCTGGGTACATTACGACTGCGCCAAGGAGTGGGCGGTAAGTGAGGTACTTCTACAGAGGCTGCCGTGCGGGGGCGTAATGACGAGTGAGGGAGAGGAGTTCCGGAGGGACTGGAAGGAGTGGGATGGTCCTGGAGAGCTTTTTGGGGTGATGGTTGGGACTGGGAGGTCAGACGCAAACAAAGACGCGGATGTGAGGATGAGTGGATATAAATCGTTGGGAGGATAGGTATTGATTACTGGAATTCTTTTATTTATACGCAAGATATTCGGTCAGGTTTCACTGAATTTACTAGTAAAGAGAGGGATCTCACAGAGTTGAACAGGACAACGATTGTAGAATTCCCCACCGATCGGATGATAAGCGTGCTTAAACCTCATCGTTTGAAACAACCATCATAGAACCCCATTCTTTCCTTCTTCCTGCTTCAACATCCTCTAAGACAAGCGCCACTATAACCTCCTATAACGACAAACTGGTGGGACCCAACCCTCCCCTTCCCTGTTACTCATCTTGCATGATGGAATCCCATAAATCATATCACGACGATCCCATAGCCTCTTTAGGTGTTGACGAGAACTGCCCTGACCAGGCTGATACACGGTAGTTTTTCATGATTTTTTCCATAGCCCACGAGTCCTATGCCATACAACCCAGATGAATCAATCATGAGTATACTCTAATAAGGTCGTTTCTCGATCAGGATAAGCCTTCAAAGCTTCCCCGGTGTACCGAACCCACGTAAACCAGTCGTTGGAGAGCGTGTCAGATTGCGGACGCCGGTATACGCAGAGTCGCCCAATTCGCGGTTGCCATTACCAGCGTTTAATGACCATACGGAGCTCACCAGTCCCTATGTAGCCCTTCTCGTCTTGGATTTAACTTGCGCCGTGGTGCGAACAGTTGCAGCCCGTACACAAAGGGATTTTGATCGCGTGTGTGCGAGCAAGCAATTGGTATACCGGTAGTACCTAGTGCACAATACACAAGTGTAATCTCAGATGTCCGTCCACTTTGAAGGCGCGCGGATGGCCAAAGCTTTCTCTCCCCCCGGCTGGATGCCCTTCTTTCTCATCCGTAGTCCACCACCACCACTCTTCTGGAAGTCGCTCCGTAGCCGTGCCCGGCCCACCACCGCCGCCGCGGGCCTAGAGGCTAGAGTAATTCATCCGGTTCCAGGCCCATGGGAGATCTTACTCCGGTGTCGGGGATGAGGGATGAGGGATGCTGGCAACCTTCCAGAAGGAACTCATGGAATTTCGCGAAGGTTCCTTTCGCTTTTCGTGTTGGGAAGGTCGCCAGCCTCGCCTCTGGGTACAAGATTGAGTATTGAGTACGTATGTACCTCGTAGCAGCCTCGCGATGGTTGAAGAGTCCTGACTCTTGACACGAGACCGATCACTCGTGCGCGCGCTCTCTTCTTCGCAGACCATGTGCATGCTCCCCCCTTCCCCGTCCCCCTTCCCCCCGCGCGCGCTTTTACATAAATCGGAATCAATAGCGAGAGCAACTCTCGATTCGATTCGATTGCGAGATCGCCAATGAAAAAAAAATGAAAAAACTTTAAATTGAAAAAGAAAAAACCCCCACTCTTCTTCACACAGAAACCCCCAATTCCTTTTTTTTTCTTTTCTTTTCTTTCCCTTTCTTTTACGCTCGAGCCTCATCCGGAACAGCTAGAAGGAGGCAAATATCGTCGTACATATGTAATTGCGACGAAACAAAACGAGGCAAACGAAAGACAGGGGGCGGGTGCGGTTTCATGTCACGAAATCGCGGGAGGGGGGATGGAGGGAGGGAGGGATGCGTGCGAAGGTCCGTGGGGAGATGTGGATGTGGGGCGAGGTCTCTTTTAATTCGTGATTGGCGTTGCTCGGGGAACGTGGATTTGGATTTAAATTTTGAGGTAGATAGCAGTACGGTACGGTAAGGCAGCGAAATACAGCCAAATTTGGTGGCCACATTGATCTTCCGGTGGCAGCCCAGACTGGCTATCTCGAATGAGTGCTGCTTGTTTCTAGGACATGTGCCAGAGGAACGGCGCTTGACTGCCGCGGTGCGTATACACCGGTTGACGCAGCTCGCTTGGCGACTAACTAACCTTCTGCCTATGATGTGTCCCGTCGGCGAGCAAGATGCTCTTGTGGACAGGTTCGGCGGATTGGTAAATCTACCCGCGGCGTCTAGGGGATAGATATCAGTCGATGCCATATAGCTTCAGACTTTGTTCAAAGAGATTCTGCACCATTAAGATGACCGATGAAAGGAAGGAATACAAGTACACATGTACCAAAGGTGATGTATCCCAGCTCAAGGCGAGAATCAAGAACTAGCGCTTAACACACTCGGTGTTCCTTTGCTAGGTACTACTTGTGAATGGGTTCTTTGGGACTATTGGGAATCTTCCAGTTGCCTTTAAATAATCCATCCATGTACGAGTAGGTGTATTTTAGTCACTTATTGATCAGAATCCACCATGGAAGCTCTCAATCACAAACCTCCAACGGCCTCGGGCCGGATACGAGTACGATCAAAGGAGAAACCCTCAACGGCGCCAGGTGAGTGACATCGAGTGTCTTCCGTCTGCTGTCTGCTGTAGTTATGGTGACAAAGTGCTCTGTGTATCGTGGGGCTCCAGCTCATGCATGCAAGATCCATGTCTCGGGCCAAGCCGCCTAAGCTCCCGTCCCCTTCGAGCTAAGGTCAGGCCGCCCCACTTCCCACCACCAAACAGCATCATCGCGGGGCTGAACCACCTACGAAAGCTCTTCAAACCAAACCACAACCTCCCGTATACCGACACCTCCAGACCGCTCCGACAGCATGGCCAACGCCCAGAAACGCATCTCTCGCGTACGTCCGCCCTTCCTTTGCTTGCCCGGCTATGTCGGCGCGGTGGTGGCGGTCACATACTGACAAACCCACAGGAGTACGCCGAGATCTCGTCGAACCCGCTGGATGGCATCAGCATCTCGCCGATTGACAGTGACATGTTTAAATGGCACATCCAGCTCACCGGGCCGCAGGGTTCGCCATACGCTGTTCGTCATTCCTCCCTCCCACCTCCCCCGCGCGCTGGGGAAGCCTTGCTGACATGCTATGTATATAGGGCGGAACCTTCAAGCTCCTCCTCACGCTTCCCGAAAACTACCCGTTCAAGCCTCCGATTCTCTCGTTCCAGACCAAGATCTACCATCCCAACGTCTCGAACGACGACAAGGGCAGCATGTGTCTTGGTATACTCCGTAGTGACCAGTGGAAGCCCAGCTGCAAGATCGCAGCAGTGCTGGAGATGGCGCGGGGCCTGATGCTGGAGCCGAATCCGTACGTCACGTCATGCGTTGTTCATCCGTTGTTCTGTTCTGCGAGAACAACGTGGGCATCGGCTAACAGGGTTTAGTGACGATGCCGTCGAAAACGCCATCGCCGACGAGTACAAGAACCGCAAGGCGAGCTTCGAGAAGACGGCAAAAGACTGGACGAAGCAATACGCGAAGTAGTCCGTACACCCCCCCCGTTCCGGCAGGCTCGCGAGGAGGAAAGTCCGAGGCGGCGTGTTTTTCCATGTGAGCATGCCTTGTTCGGGTCGATGCGATGTGTTGATCGCAATTTTCCTGGCCGGATTCTTTTTCCAGCGTCCCCCCCTCCCCAACGGCTTCCTGCTTTCTAACGTGATCCAGGATAACTGACGTCAGAGCTCTCTTTTAGAGGTTTGAAATACACAACACCATCACGCGGAAATAAAATTACGGTTGGGCGACGATAACGGTTTCTTTCTTTTTCTTTTCCTCTTATTCTTTTTTTTCCTCCTCCGTTTTCCTTTAGCCCTTTTCCATCTTCGATTTATGGTTTATTTTTTTCTTTTTCTTTTCTTTGCTGCAGCAAGGTGAAAAATTTTCGCGGATTTTGCCTGAAATTCGTGCTTGTCTACAAAGGTTATCTTGTTCTGGTCGAATACCTATACCTGTGGGCGGGCTAGCTAGAAGATGGAATGCAACGCGGTTGATTCATTCTCCTGGATTTCTCCTGAATTCGTGTGCACAGTTGTCAGGGGATGGATCATGATTCATGGCCGATGGTCACCTACGGCGATGGCGATGGCGATGGCGATGACGGTCATGAGGTTGTGGTTGCAGGGCAGGGTGGGCCGTGGCCGTCACAGGAACCGAGTCGAATCTCATACACAGGGTTCTCCAGGCTCCAGAGTCTCCGGTGTGCGGGATGCCTGAAAACTGAACAGTGAGCATGCGCAGTCGAAGGCGACGTGAGACTTGACTCGTATGATACGTTTGTGGAGCACTCTCAAACTCTCAAACTCGCCGGCCAGCCGTGCCATCGGGATAAACACTCGGAAGGCTCTGCGTACATACGGCTATCTTTGTCGCTGCCGGTGCCGGCACCACCTCCGCTTCCCTTCCTGGCACCTGCAGAGAACCGCAAATAGGCAGCCACAGGAGTGTGTGCGTGTGTGTGTTTATCGTTTCCCAACACAAGCAGAGCAGAGCCGCGCTGCAGGGGGAGGGGGAGGGGGTGTGGAGGTGCTTGCGTGATTCGTGATGCGTGACGTGATGCGTGATGCGGGAAGAAATTGACGGTGGTTGTACATGCGCAGTTGTGCAGTGCATTACGGGGGGGGGGGGTGGTTTTTGGATGGTTTGGATGATTTGGTATCTAGCATACATAATATGTAGAGGATGTGATAGAGGTATGAGAGGTTTGTTTGCGTGCGGCTGTAGAGTAGTTACAGTACTCTAGGTAGATACGGAGAGATACGAGAGGAAACGAAACGAGACGAGAGGAGCCGAGTCTGCCTATGCGGCCTATACGCCGTGCGGTCCACATGATAGGAGGAAGAGGCGGACCACCCAGCAGGCTTCGGACGTAAGCCGTCGCTTCCCATTTCTAGTCCAGCAGGCAGGCAGGCAGGAAAATCGCTTTCCACGCCCTTTCCTCATTCCTCCAGGCTCCTCTCCGTGTGTGTGTGTAGATTTGTGACCGGGAAGGGACCGGGGACCGGGGGAGGGAGGCACTCTACATACGCAGGTACGCAGGTGCGCAGGTAGAATAGGTACGCAGGTACGTAAAGATGCAAATTGCAATTTCTCTGCTTGAGGATTTTTTTTGCTACCTACATACGGCACCTGGACGGTCGACTGACTGGACTGACTGACTGGCTGGCTGGCTGGCTGGATGACTGGGGTGGGCCCGGTGGGGGTGTAGAATACATGGAACACCAAGATGGAATAGGTAGAATACATGGGATACATGGGATAGAATACATGGAATATATAGATTAATTTTACGACGTGAACGGTCCCGGCAACGTGGCTAGAGTGCTCAGCGGAGGGCTAGGAGTAGGCAGGTACGCAGGTACGCAGGTACGCAGGTACGCGGGTACGCGGGCACTGAGCAGGCACTGGGGGGCATGCTCGTAGAAAGGGAAGAGGGTATCGGTACCTACATAGACCACGGATGGAAGCGCAGTAGAAGCATTACATAGGGTGTCTACATTCGGAGCCGTCTTTGGGTTCCGATTTCGCCACAGGTTTCGTAGAAGGTTCCGCAGCCGTGTTTCCGCTTCCGCTTCCGCCTCCGCTTCCGCACATTTCAAACCTCGGAAGCGACGGCCGAAGCGACGGTCGAAACGAATCCGTTCAACCGCTCATCCGTGTTTGGCTCTGCGGGTACTCTGCGGGTACTCTACGGGAGCGGAGCGGATCGTCCCATTCCTCCTGTGTCGTGCGTCTTGCGTCTCTTGGAAGTAGTTCGTGGCGGTGGTGCGTCTCTTGGAAGTTGGTGGTGGTGGCGGCGGCGCTGATACACACTCTACATCGAGAAACTTGCACCAAACACTTGGCAGCCGCCTCATTGCTCATGGGCGTTGGGCGTTGAGCTCGGATCCTCTCGACTCTTGAGTTTTAAGGTGAGTCGAGAGGTTCATCGCCCTGTGCGAGGTCCAGATCTCGAGGGCAGACCCCCTTATCAAAGTCGCCACAGACGTGGGTAGTGGGTGATAGAGTATCCGCCAGGAAGCTGTAACTACAGAAACCGAGCATATATACGGACGGACAGACCGAGTCAGACGGACCGACCCGTCACCCGTCACCCGCCCATCCGGCCGAGAATCAAGCATCGAGCATCGAGCATCGAGCGGCAATGCAGGCGGGCGGGACGGGTCCCGCGAGCGGCGAGGTACGTAGAACTTACCGTACATAGACGCGGGCGCTTGAGCTCGCGGCGAGGCGGGGTGGGGGAACAAACCCGGCCGTGGTTGCACTGCAAACAACTTGAGACTTGAGACTTGATGAGACTCGGAAGATACGAGGTGAGATGCAAATACGTGATGCAAATGCGTCTTCATGCGCGCAGCACGCTCCGACGGACTGGAGGTGTAACTACTGTATGGGCCGTAAATAAGCCGGATAACCACCTACGACGACGCTACACGGTGCATCAGAGCATCGTAGGGTATGTAGACGTCACGCGGATATCTGCTCTCTCTCTATCTCTCACAGAGCAGAGCAGCGAAGAGAAGAGCATCTGAAAATCCCGGCGGAGCGGACGCACCACACCACACACGATCACATCACATCGAATGTATATAGAGCAAACCCTCTTATTTACTAGTACTTTTTCCGGACCCATAATAGGCTCCACGGGCATTCAATTCAATCCGGAAGATTACTTTTATCAGACATATTACACAGCAAGTCCGGTAGAGAAAAAACACTCACGCTCATGCTCACCATGCGTCAAAGAGAAAAAGAAAGTCCGAAGAGAAAGTCCGAAGAGAAAGTCCGAAAAAAAAAAGACGAAAGAAAAAAAAACGAGTCCCTCCCTCCCCTCCCCTGGGGTCCTGGGGTCCTGGGGTCCTGGGGTCCTGGGGATCAATGTCCTCGGATCCCGTTTCGGATCTGCCAAGCTGCCGCAGCGAGGTGGTAGCGGTGTATAGCGGTGGTGGCGGATCTTAGCCCGATCTGTACCATGGGAGCCGTCGATGGGTCTACGGGGGTGAGGGGAGGGACGGGGGATGGGTGGACGGGGAGGGGGGACGGACGGGGGGAGGGGATGGCGAGAAAACATCGAAATGCCGAACTCACGCCTGAAGACGGGAGAAACGGAATCCGTAACGAGGTGCCGGACGTTCGTGGTGCAGTAGAGAGTATCGTGGTCGAATGTCCGGCCATATGCTCTGCTCCGCTCTACTCGGGCCAGAGCGAGTGGATGGATCGCGAGGAGGATACATTCATAGGGGAGTATCATGCTAGTAAGGACTGTCGGGAAGCAGATGAGATGGTAACTCTCCTCCCTCCTCTCGCACCGATCCCATATCGAAGCCGTAGTTTTGCTTGGCCAATTCTACGCCGATATCCAAGTCCCTCCTCGCCATTCCGACCACCAGCACCAGCACCAGCCGCTAACTGCATCCCGCTCTAAACCCAACCCAACCCAACCAACCAAAAACCAAACCAGCCCGCTGCAGAAACGAAGCGCTGGTCCATACCGAACATCTCCTTCTTCGGCTAGAGCAAGCAATGCGAATCTCAGCTTGTCGCTGTCCTGCTGTCTCGTCTCGCCGGCTTGACTGCTTTGAGCCGGCGGGTGGGCTTCGGGGGGATTGGGAGAAGGGATTGGGAGGGGGCTAAAGGAAAAGGAAGCGGTGCGGCGAGCGAGCGAGCGAAAGAGAGAGCGTGATGAGCTCGTCCTCTTCCCTCCTCTTTGCTCTGTCAGTGCGGTGCTGTGCGGTGCGTGCGTGCAGCGCAGTGCAGCGCAGTAACTACCACCGTGTGCAGTGCAGCGTGCCTCGAATTGGCTGCTCGGTCGGCTTGTCTGTGTGTTCTCTCTCTCCTCTTTCCTTCCTGTTCCTATTCCTGTTCCTGTTCCTGTTCCTGTTCCTGTTCCTGTTCCTGTTCCTGTTCATGTTCATGTTTCCCGTGAGTTTACCACCACCACCACCACCACCACCACCATCGCCACTGCGTACCACCACTGCATACCACCACTGCCACCACTACCACCACCACCTGCATCACTAACCGCCAACCTCACCTCAGCCATTAACCATCACCACGCTCATTCGCCTTCTCGCTCAACTTATTCCTCAACCGAATCCGTTCGCTCGCCCGTTCGTTTGTTTGTTCGGCACGTCTCGCCCCCCAGTCGATTATCGTCCCCGATGCCATCATACCACGCAACACGACGACGCTGATCCGCTGCGGGATTACGGGTTTACCGAGACGAACTTGTCGGCTACCTGCACGCTGCTTGCTGCTGCTTGCTTGCTGCCGCTGCCGTGGGGATTGCTTGTTGCCTGACTGCTTGCCTGTCTGCGTGCCTGCCTGCTTCTGCACACCGCATTTTGCACATTCCATTCTTATTCTAGACTTCTGCGTAACCGCCATCTTTCTTATTCTCGAGCTTGTCTGGAGAACACTACCTAGCTGTCCAAAGACCAAACAATACGAGGAATACCTCCTCGAAGGGAGATACCATAGAGGAAGAAGGAGAAGAAGAAGACCAAGAAGAAGAAGACCAAGAAGAAGAAGACCAAGAAGAAGAAGACCAAGAAGAAGAAGAGGAAGAAGAAGCAAACAAACAAATCCGATCCTCGACCTCTCTTTCGTTCTCGCTACCACTTCCCCCTCGCCCCTCGCCCCCAATCTACCTCCTAACAACGCCAGCCGTTATTAGTACCACCAACCCTTACTTGCCTACCATCATTACTACATTACTACTACCATTACCATTACCATTACTACTACTGCTGCTACTACAACTGCCACCCCCCCCCCCCCCCGTACCTGCTACAGGGTCTCTGATATTAATTATTGCTTCCCGCTTTGATCTGTCCTCGAACAGGAACCACGCCCATTCCGGTACTCTTCTTCTTCTTCTTCTTCTTCTCCTTCTTCATACCAGTGTACATACGTTCAACACACCTTCATCTATTCCGACTGCAGTGCTGGATACATTTGCCGTCCTGCTGCTACAACAACTGGTTCGCCCATATTACTCGTTTACTTCTATCCCCCGTGTGGAAACGGCGAGCTGGCGTTGTTGTCTCCCGAACACAGTACCGTCCAGCCCCCGAGACTCGAGCATCTCGGCTTTGATCCACCATGACTACCGCGTCGAATATAGACCCAAGGTCGACAGGGCACTCATTAGATGAAGGAGTAGTACGGCAGTTGCCGCCGCAGCAACCGCAGCAACAACGTCAATACCACCTCCCACATCCCTCCCCTCCGCGACAACACCCGCTCGACACCCCCCCAAACCACATCAATAATACCAACCACCAACCTCCTCCACCTCCGAACGGCGTCGCCCCTCCTACATCGCCGCACCCTCCCCCTCCCCCGTACCGCTCCGACGACGACGAGGACGACACCACTTTCTACCTGCCATCCTCGCACCCCAACCCCCACCCGTCGCATCCGTCGCATCCCTCAAACAAACCAGCGAATCGACCACCGCAAGTCAATCGGTACGCCGGCGTGAGGCGGATGTCCTCAGTTCCAGAGTTAGGCCAGACGCTACGCGGCGGCCCAGGCACGAGACCGCCAGCCCGATCACATTCCCGCGAACGTGGCAGCTCTAACAGCTACAAAGTTTGGGATGGGAGACAGGTGCCACCTGTCGCGCACGGCGGAAACAGGCTGATACGACAGAAGAGCATCGAGAGGGGGATGATTGTCGGAGCTCCACCACGACCTTCGTCTGGAAAACGGATAATAAGTGGCGGTGGCCACAGACCCGGGAGCAGGCCGGGGAGCAGGCCAGGCAGTCGGAACGATGTACGTCAGCATCCTCACCAGATGGCGCAGGGCCGGCCGATACCTCCCCCGGGCCTCAAGATGCCTCTCGCTTTCAACAACATAGCCAGGGAACGGGGGTTTACCACGGGATCGCATCCGGCACCGCAACCACCACAACTACCGCGCAACCACCCACGCGGTCCCCATGTAATCCCCGCGAACGGCGCACCTGACCTCTACGAAAACCGCCAACGACCCCAACAGCGCGAACCCCCACGAACCCACCCCTACCCACCGCAACCCCCCTTCTCGGCAAACAGTAGCGCATACAACTCCCCGCACAGCTCGTTTGGTCCCTTCAACAATGCCGACGAGATTCGAACATCCTTCCGCTCGGCGCTCTCAGCTTCCGACATGAATCGATCGAGCGGCTTCACCACTGCGTCCGAAGCACCGACCGAAGACAGCCACGCGATGACGGTGGACGAGGCGATAGGGATGTACGGTTCCGACACGGATGACGACATGTACACCTCCGGGATGGAATCTGAGCATCGGCGGAGCAAGGGCGACTCGGTGCTCGGCGGAGGACGAAATTCCCCGCACGGCAGCTATTCCGAGTGTAGCTATAGGATGAAGGGGGATTCCGTTCTCGGAGGCGAGGCATCCCCGGAAACGCGGTCGCGACACTCGGATCAGGAAGAGCGACTGGAGGAGGAGATACTGAGGCAGGCACAGGGGGAATCACTAGGCGCACCGCGAGCCGACGAGGTGCTCCGGCGCAAATCGCCAGCTCCGTCGATCGAGGACGGTCCCGACGTTGGTGCTCCGCCGGATCTGGTCGAGGAGATGGTTCTCAGCTCCGTACCGAACGAGAACGGCGAAATGGACGAAGGGGTCGACACCACATCACCGGATATGCCAGAACAGCCACAAGACCCAATACCAGAAGCTATCGCAGATCCACCGCTCCCGCCTATAGAACCCAGAGATCGATACGGGTAGGACCCCCCCCCCCCCTCCCCCCCCCCCCCCCCCCCCCCCCCCCCTAGGGCTGACATCCATCCATCGAGCATGTTACTGACGGCGAATGGGTGTGCGATAGATTCAAGAAGCAGAGCCAATACATTTCGCTAGCGGAGTACGAAGAATGGGAGGGGCGGTACAACGAGACGCTGGAGAGGCGACGGAAGAAATGGGATCAGCTGTTGCGGGAATCCGGGTTGACGCCCGGAGAAGAGGGGCCAGTTAGGTTTCCACCCAAGTCGGCCAAAATAAAACGATATGTGCGCAAAGGTATACCTCCGGAATGGAGAGGCGCAGCCTGGTTCTGGTATGCGGGGGGTCAGAAGTATCTCAGCAAGAATGTGGGGGTATACGATAGTCTGGTTAAGAAGGGGTCGATTGCGCCCGATGCGGAGCTGATCGAGCGAGATCTTCACCGCACATTCCCCGACAATATCAAATATAAGCCCGATCCTCCTCCCGGGACGCGGATGTCCAAGATGCTGGAGAAGCAATTCGAGACGCCTATGGTGCAAAAACTTAGAAGGGTGTTGGGTGCGTTTGCTATACATGTACCGAGGATTGGGTACTGCCAGAGTCTGAACTTTCTGGCCGGGTTGCTGCTGTTGTTTATGCCGGAAGAGAAGGCTTTCTGGATGTTGTTTATCATGACCCAGACGCATCTGCCAGGAACTCACGAGATGAACTTGGAGGGGAGTAGTGTGGATCAATGGGTAAGCCGTTCCCTTGCGTCGCTCCGAATTAGTGGGGACCCCTCTAACGCAGAATAAAACAGGTACTCATGACGAGCGTCCGAGATAGTTTACCACACATCTGGCAGAAGATTGGTGGAGGATTGGACGGTAGTGAGGTAGAGCTTAATGGTACTGCACTTCCACCAGTCACACTGTGCACTTCATCGTGGTTCATGAGCGGCTTTATCGGAAGCCTACCTATCGAGTCCATCCTTCGCGTCTGGGATTGTCTCTGGTAGTAAGTACAAGGAACACTCCATCGAGCTACTCGTTTGATGCTAATCTCACCACAGCGAGGGTTCGAAAACGCTCTTCCGCATCGCCCTGACGGTGTTCAAAACCGGCGAGCCCCAGATCAAAGCCGTCAACGACCCGATGGAGATCTTCCAAGTGGTGCAGACGATTCCGCGACGGCTGATCGATGCCGGCGCGCTGATCGAAGCCTGCTACCGTCGCCGCAACGGCTTCGGCCACCTCAGCCAAGAAACCATCGATGAGCGCCGGCAGGAGCGCCGCAACGTCTTTGCCGAAGAGCGTGCGCTCATCGCCCGCGGCGTCCGACTCAGCAAGGATGACGGTGCACTGCGCAGCACAGGATTCGATACTGCCTCCTCGCATAAAGTTGGAGGCGGCCACCATGGAGACTTGGGGAAGAAGTTTAAAAAGATCTTGGTGAAGACGTAACACGCAACAGCAGTCGCTAACTATAACTCGTTTCTTAACGTTTGTTTTCTTTTTGTTTTGTGTTTTTTTTGTTGTTTTCTTATTATGGGGGGCATTTATGGAGCGGTGTTGCTTTTTTTCTGTTTTCTGTTTTCTGTTTGCCGTTTTCGAGGCGTGGCGTTTAGTGTGTTGTTTCTTCTGTTGCTGCTGCTGCTGTGTTTTCTGCTGAGTTTGCGTTGTTTCGTTATATAACACTCGGCCTTGTACTTTGTCCTGTCCATCCGTCACTCTACAATATTTTTTTCGTTTTTTTGTACTTTTTCTTCTTTCTTTCTTTCTTTCTTTCTTTCTTTCTTTCTTTCTTTCTTTCTTTCTTTCTTTCTTTCTTTCTTTCTTTCTTTCTTTCTTCTTTTTTCTTTCTTCTTTCTTTTTTACTGGTTGGCTTGGCTTGGCTTAGGGGGTTTGGGCGGGTTGAGATATTGAGATATTGAAATATGGAGTGATAGGAGTGATAGGAGTGATAGGAGTGATAGGAGTGATAGCGAGAGAGTATTGTAAAGAAAGGGCGAGGTGGGGCCTGAGGGGATGGGCCTGGGGGGCGAAAGGGGGGGGATGGGAAAATACTTAGGAAAGAATAAAACAAAACATAAAGAAAAGAAACCAAGCGAAAGCCAAGATGGACACATGTGAATGTGAAGGTGAAGGTGAATCTGTGGACTGGGAACGGGAGGGGACGGGAGGCCGAATGCGGGCGGGTGATACTGTGACAGCGGGAGGGGCTGGGGATGGAGGGTGACAGCGGGAAGGAAGCGGCAGACGGAGGCAGACGGGGGGAAGCGAGCGAGCGAGGAGGACAAGGAAAAGGAAAAGCAAACGGAGGGGGGATTGAGGTGTGCATGTGAAGCTGTGTGAGCGGGAACGAGAACGAGGGCCGGAAATGGAGACTGGAGACTGGTGGGCGTATGGTATAGGTAACATGGTGGAAGTTGTATCAGTTGCAGTTTTGGAGCACGATTGAGGTTGAGGTGGGCAGTTTTGGTATTTGTATGATATGTTCATTCCGTCCATGAGGTCTGGTACTACTCTACTCTACTCGTCTCTACCAACAGCCATCCAGCCTTACTCGCGATTCGCCAAACGGTCGAGTTCCAAGCCAGCAATGAGTAACGAGCAGCGAGCAACGAAAGCGGAGCTGGGGAGGAAGTCCACTCCCTGGGCCTCGCCATGGCAAGGGGGTTGAGTACCTGCGTACCTTGTATGTACATTCACGCGCGCCACGGAGTGGTCAATGCGATCAATGCCAGTGGGATCAATAGGATCAATACCAATGACAATGCCAATGTCAATAGCAACTCCGGGAATCCAGGAACTCCAGGAACCCCGGCAACTCCGGGAACTCACCCGTTCACCCCCACCCCCACCCCCCACCCCCTCACCTTCCGGCTGTTCTAACTTCTCGGTGCGAGTGAGCGAGCGTATATACCTCTACTCTACTCGCATGGCGCCACATAACGCCACATGTAGCGCACATAGCGTGCTCGCAGCCGCACATGGCTGGCTGCTTGACTCTTGGGTGAGCGCTGAAAGCTGGACTGCTGAGAGAGACTGCGGCGGGGTGGCGGAGGGCTCAAGCTGGGACGGAACTGGACGGAACTGGACGGGGGGCGAACCGGACGGGAACGGGGACGGGGGGTGGCAGGGTGGGACGGCGTGGGATGGGGTGGCCCGGTGGGTGGGACGACGTGGCTCGGTGGATGGGACGCCGAACGTGGATAGCAGTGAATGCCTAGCTGTGAATCCGGGGATGCAGGTTTATTGAAACTGGTGGTTGAGCCCTTGAGGTCGACTTCTGAATACCTAGTAGGTAGCTGTCCAGCTCGAATAGATGCTCGGAGCTCTCGAAGCTTGGAATCTTGGATGGACCCCTTCCGTTTGACGACCGTCTGCCTACAATTCCAGACTACATACCTCATACGAGTGAGCAGACGTTAGATATCAGTATCGGGAGTAGTTAAATCGCACCGAGTAACTTGCACTGGGTCTGGTCGTGGTGCACGTGAGGGCACGGGATCTCAACTTCTCGGCTTCTCAAGTGCGAGTGCGAATGATTCCGTCCCACCGACTCTAGCCAGACTCATTTAGTTCTAACCGTCAGGCTCGTCGGGCTCATCCGGTTCTTCGGCTCCTACTAGTCATACACGGTGGAGTGTGAATAGCCGCTCGAGATGAGGCGAGAACAATAGACGCTGAACAACCAGCCAGCCAGCTAGCCAGCTAGCCCGTGCTACAGCTCCAACTTCCAAGGCTGCATGTAGAGTGGGACGATATCGAAAGCGAGCGAGCGTGTGTGAATAGCACTAGGTAGCAGTGTCAATGGCAACTCAGGCAGGTAACAGATATGCACCCAGATAACTATACGCAAGAGGTCGAGGGTCAGTGTATTCAGCAGTTTGTTTACTCCGCCAGGAATGGTAAGTTTTCCTTTCGGTGTCGCCACCACGGTGATGTGAATACCTAGCCTCTCGAGTCTCCAGACTCCAACGCCGCTGAAACTTCGGCCATGTTGTCACGGGCAGCTCCAATAGGTACCTATAGTAGAATCCGCATTGACCTTTTGACCTCTAATGATACAGTCTATACTATGGCGACCTTTCCTGCCAGCCTTCGAGGGGATTTTCCGAGTGATAGTGTGTGTCCATTACCACAAGCCTGGTTTTCGGAGCAAGAGACCCCAGTGAGTGTCCGTGATTAACATGATCCTACAAGAGGTGGGCATTTCAGGAGTTACCAAGAATCACCACTCGTAAGCACGAGTGTCTTGTGGTGAGTGTGCTCGTGCCCTTCGAGGAACAATTGGTGAAGGTATCCAGGACTTTTCACGTTGTGCAATACCTTCGATCACGCCTCGGGAGAGGAAGCTGGACATTATATCTGTAGATTCTGTACCATAATTACAGACTACCGAATACTTATTTAACGCCCATTATGTAGGTACATGTTACACTACAAGCGAATCCCCACCACCGCACGGTGGTTTCGCAGCAAAATTGACCCCCAAAAACAGAAAACAGAAAACACCACAAGACAGGCAGGCACACCATGCAAAGCAGATTCCAAAGATCAAAACCAAGACCAAAATCAAAAATCGCGTACTTTCTCTACTCTACTCGTTGTGGGCCTGGGAAAGGTGGATGTCGTATGTCAGCTCGTACTTGACGTCGTCCCGCTTGCTGTCGACGAAGTGTACAACCAGGCTGTCCTTGACGGCGAAGACGGAGTCGTCGAGAGTGTAGGGGTCGCGGCTGTCGTAGATCTGAGTGGTCAGAGGCGCGTAGCCGGCCTTGCGCACCATGATGTGGATGTGCGCGGGTCTCATCGGGCTGGTGGCGAAGCGTTAGTGGTTGTTTCACTGGTGGAGGATGCGGAGGGGAACTCACTGTCTTCCCATGAGCTTCAACATGTCACCGGCAGGACCGTCGTAAGGGATGGGGTAACTGGTGGGGCACAGGCACTTGAGCGAGTAGTAGCCGTTCTTGTCGGTGAAGAACTTTCCACGGTTGTTGTACTCGGGCTGGTCGGGGTCCTGCTGCTCGTACAATCCGTTGGGGTTGGTATGCCACAGGTCGATCTCAGCGCCCTCGACGGGGTTGCCAGCCAGATCATAGATGTGGCCGTCCATGAAGGTGGTGGGATCATCCTCACCGTGCTTCTGCACGATGTCGGCGCCGTTCTCGTACTTGGGGGCGTCCTCGCGGAAGAACGGGCCGAGAATGCACGACAGCGTGGCGGGCTTGAGCGCATCCACCGTCATCTTCGACATGGACTCCTGCGTGATCTGGTCGACCAGCGCCTCGAGACCGAGAACGTCCGAAACGAGAACTCCCTCGTTGCGCTTGTCGTCCGACATCTGCCCGGCGCGGTTGAGAGTGTTGACTCCCAGCATCCATTCTGGCGAGAGGAGCTGCACGTCACGTGCGAAGGAGTGCAGGTGGCGGATCAGAGAGGTCAGGACAACGCGTGCCCGCTCGGGCGTCTCGGGAGACATGGCGTTGATTACATTGTTGGTGAAAGGGTCGCTGAGAGTGGCCTTAAAGGTCTCGAGAGCTTGGTCGGCACCGGCGGGCTGAGGGGCCGCACTGCGGTCGGCGGAGGGGTTGTGGGAGGCGGACATTGTGGGGCTTTGTGTGGGGGTATCAAAGAAAGAAGAGGCGAGGAGATTGAACGGTGAGGGTATCGTGAGGTATCGAATGGGAAGATGCGGGGGGAATTGGAATTGGGGCAATGGGGTATTGCTGATCCTGGTGGATATATGTATCTACGAGAAGGCAGGGAATACAACCTTTCAATTCGTCTATGGTTGGAGGCTATCTTCTTGGGGGATATCTCCGTAACTCCTCTACTCCGACTGTCGGATGCGACGATTTTTCATGCGTGTCATTTGGTTGGAAGCTCAAATGCGGGGCGGACTTCGGGAATGGGGAAAGGAAGAGCTAGATAGGCAAGGATCTTCTCGGTCCTCCAGATGCGTCGGATGCTTGAGTTGCGGGGTAGACGAGATGCACCCTGATGGCGTCGGATGGGGGTGAAACTGCGTCGGATGCGTGGTATAAGTGCGCTATGTGCGGAGCTGCGTGGTTCCCCTCCAAACGGGCGGAAATAGAGACAGCCGGCGCTACCAATTGTTAGGGAGCGGGAAGTTGGCGTGCAAAAGAAATGGCTGGAAGGAGAGCTCGGACCAAGAGCTTGGAGATGGTGGCTGATTGATTGGCGGATGTAGCCTCTTGATACCTAAGCATCGGTCATCTCGAGATGCTCCGATGAAGCTCTGTAACTATCTAGACGCCGTGTGTGGGGGTGTCCATCGGATGGAATACCGCGGTAAGTCGCACCATGGCAACAGCTATGTAGAGCGCACGCGGATGTCGTGGGCCGAGCCTTGTGGCCAAAGGCTGATCCCTTAGGTTCGGATCAACATCGTTACAATTACCTAGGTATTCTAAAGTGGATACCGTATGGAGAAGCTGTTTACATTGTGACAGCACCCAAAAATCCATCCAAAGTACCGTATAGAGAAGCTATTTACACTGTGGAAGCACCCAAGAATTCATCCACAATCGTTGAAACCTCCTGTGGTGCCTCAACGACATGCCAGTGACCAACACCATCGATAACCTTAAGCTCTGCATTTGCGATCTCCTCGTTGTACTTCTGGGATCCCTCCATGGGAGCACTCTTGTCTTCACTACCAGCAACGATCAGGACACGCTGCTTGACCTTTGACAGATCCCCAACAGTTGACGTGGCAATGGCATTGCACAATGCAGCGTAGCCGTCAACAGTCTGACCTAGTAGAAGTTCACGGATGAATGCTCTCGTTAGTGGCGAGGCCTTCACGCCCACAGCGGCGTTGGGGACCACAGCGGCCATCGATTCCATTCCATCTGTTTTTGATCCCGTTAGAGACCCCCCAGACTGTACGTGAAGAGGAAGATATTCACCTTTCTTCACCGCGGGAATCCTCTTCTCGAAGACCTCCGCGAGACCAGCCGAAGGGTAGACTGGACCCAACAGGACCAAGCCCACAACCTTCTCCGGCGCAAGCTGTGCGATGTGAAGGGCCACAAGGCACCCCATACTGTGTCCGACTATCGTGACATTCTGTGCGACTCCGAGGTGCTCGAGAAGCTCGAGTACAGTTGCGGCAAGCGATTGAACCGTGAGAACATCTCCAGCCGGCAGAGGTGACCGCGCAGCACCCGGCGAATCGAGGAGGATGAAGCGACGATTGACTTTCTTCAGTGTGTATGTGAGAGGAATGTAAAAGTTCTGCGAGGAGCCCAGGCCGTGAACGAAGACTACTGTGTCCGAGACGTCCGACGGACTTGGGTTTATGTCGGTGTAATGGACCTTTGCGCTCTTGAGTTGTGCGTACGACATGGTGAAACTCTGATGATGCGGAATTGATCTGGAGCAGTGCGTAATGGGGATTTGGGACTCGGGAGTTTTGTCTGCTGTGAATGAACTCTGAGATGGAGATATGGTAGTGTACGTCATCTGGACCGCTGGTAGAGAAACCGAGGACCTTCGGATGTATGGATCCGATACTTTCTTCGCCGCAATCTCGGCCAGAATGTCACAACTCCGCGACCATCTCGAGCTCAAGGCAGACATCCGAACAATACCTTCAGGCATAGCAAGATAGAGTATATTACGAAACTACACACACATACCGACACATACATACACACGCAAAAAACAACCTCGATACCATCACCAACATCACAATGCCTCGGGATCACGCCGCTTTTGTTGAGTCGTTCTTCCTCGCGAGCGACAACCCAACGGACCATGTTGGATACACCGAGAACTTCACCGCCGATGCCACCCTCAAGATGGGCCTCAAGACCGCTGTCGGCAAAGACCGTAAGTCCAGCCCGTGCACCCCGAGAAGTCTCCGGGGCAGAGCTGACCGTCATTAGAAATCCTGGCCGTGAGGGAGGGCATGTGGGCAGCTGTGTCCTCGCGTCACCACGTCGTGACTGCGCTCTACCCGTCCGTCGCTGGTGCCGACGAGGATGCCGTGATGATGTTTGGCCACGTTGACTACACGCTCAAGAGCGGACGTTCATTAACAACCGAGTGGTCGTCTCGCATGGTGTTTGACGAGTCGGGGGAGAAGTTGCAGTTCTACCAGGTGTATCTGGACGCGAGCCCCATGATTGTGGCTCTCGGGAAGAGGATCGAGGCAGACGAGGCAGGCAATGTGAGGGTTGTGTGATGCAGTTTGTACTCTAATGACGACGATGATGGTAATGATGATGATGCAGGCGAGCCTGATTGCTGTTCGTCATGCCTTAGTCAGCACTTCCTAACTGTGCTGAAGTATTTGCACATGTGTCGTGCTCGTATGTACATACCGCGCGAAACACATCTGAATCTTCCATATGTATGAGTAATGGCGGGAGGTGTTTCGACAGAGCCCGAGGGAAGTCTGTTTTAACCACTGGATCGCTTCGAATTCGTGATGACGGGCGGGTGAATATCCACTAGGGGGTCCTTGCACGGGCTCACGTATCGCTGCCCCTAAACGATTATCCAGTGATATCTGCATAAAGTGTTTTCCTTCAGGCATTTCGCGGACGTGCGATATAAAGAATCGTGGAGATACGTAGAGACTCGTGCCTAGGTATCCGGAGTGGCCCATCGTGTTTGGCGAGACCCCGCACGATACTTCTCGATGCTTTGTCGCGACAAAGTCCCGTGCTTTCCGTGTCCCACCGACTGCTGCGCGCGCGCACCATCCCATTTGCCGAATCGACCGACCGCCCGGCCGGCCATGTCATGCTCCCCCCCGGTGCCCAGTGCCACTGCCAGAGAAAGCCACTGCCAATCGCAGAGCTGTTCACAGCACATTATCCACCTCCATACGACTCCACCCACATATGCAATCCTTATCGTCAACAGTTCCAGACCCCGATGAGGCGAGGCGGGCCAGGCGACGGGTCGCCGCCGAGCAGAGGAAGCGGATAGCCAACGCATGTCTCGCCTGCAAATCTCGGAAGCAGAAATGCGACGGCCAGAAGCCCTGTAACATCTGCAGCAGAAGAGGTGCTGATTGCATCTACGTTGAACAACCTCCACGGCACCTGAAGCGGCGACGCGAGAGCACCCAGACGAGCGACGGCCCCAGCGAGTGTGCCAGTGTGCGGTCGACTCGATCGCCGTGTTCGCCGGTCCAGAATAAGCAGATCGATGTCAGCCCCAATAGTAACAACAGCAGTAATCATAACGTGGGCAATGGCGACGGCACGAGCACCCTGCGCGTCGGCACTTACTATGCGCATCCGACAAACTCGGCTGAGGATCTTACGACTCACCTTGTAACGAGTCGTGCGGAAACCAGCGAGGGGACCGGGACCGGGACCGGAACCGACACGGATGACGATAAAGTTGAGGCGCCTATCGACCATAAGACTCGCCTGCTCTCCGACCCTAGTGGTCGACTACGTACGGCTAAGCCTGAGTGGTTGTTGACACGAGGCTGACAATGTCACAGTTTACATTGGGGAGACGGGATCTCTGTCGTTCCTTGCTCGAGTGCGGAAAACGGTGATGGACTCGCTCGGGCATTCGACGTTTACCTCCGACTTGGCACAGAACTCGATCGTCGACCGACCAATCATCCCACGGCTTCCATTCACCGTGGCGGGTTCGCTGCCTCCTCCTCCACAGGTGGCTACGGTGTTGATCGACATGTTCTTCACAAACGTCAACTGTGTGCACTATGTCTTGGACCGCGAAGAGATGAACCACCTCATCTCTGTCGTGTACACCGGTGGACCCGTGCCGGCAACGGGAGCCAGAAGCCGAGACATCGCATTTCTAAACGCAGTTTGCGCCGTGGGGACGTTCTTCACCACACAGCCCGAAGAGATGACTGGAGACGGGATGCAATACTTCGATGCGGCCAGGACTGGGATGGAGGATGTGTTTGAGTCAGCGGACTTTTGGTCGGTTAGATTGCTGCTAGTATTTTCGTTATACATGCAATATGCGTCGAAGCGGAATTCCTCATGGACGTACATCGGTCTTGCTATCCGAGTTGCCGAATCCCTTGGCTTGCATCGAATATACTCGACAGAGCTCCCCTTTGAGCAGCACCGCTGTGACGAAAGCTACTACAGACGTCGAAGACTCGTGTTCTGGACGCTTTATTCGCTAGATCGATTCACAGGATGTTCCCTTGGACGACCGCTAGCGATACAGGACGAAGACTGCAATGATCCAGTGTTTTCGACAGAACCAACGGACGATCCATTAACGGACTGCCGGTGTTCTGCCGAGCAGCCAGCGACCACCCACCAGATCCATCAGCTTGCGGCCAAGGTGCGACTTCACGTCATAATTGGCCATATCGTCAAGCTTGTCTACCTGAAAAGAATGATTTCCCGAGACGTTACCGAAAAGTTGAGCGCGGAGCTGAAGACATGGTGGAAGTCTTTGCCATCATGTGCTTCGCTGGACAATGACACCGATGCTGCAGTCGTGCAACTGCACATGGCGTACCTACATGCCGTCATCCTGTTAACTCGGCCTTTCCTGCAACGGGTCGTCGAAGCCTCGACTGAAGAGATCATGGACGACGAGAACTGCCGATGTAACAAACGGAGATCTTCGAGCAAGTCGAGCGTCAAGCGAAAGATGTTGAGATATGCTTGGGCCTGCGTGCTAGTAGCGGAGAGGACTGTGGCCTTGGCTCATCGGATGCAGAGACGGGGTAGTTTACAAAGGAACGACGCTGCACTGATGTAATGCCCCATGATCCATCGTTTATGCGGTTTTTCTTGCTAATCCGTGGTGTTTTGATGTAGTTACTATCTGTTTACTGCGGGATTGGTTTTGACATTCAGTGTCCTACCACAAGTCCTGTGTCCCCGTGACAGCCACGAAAACGAAGAGGACGCCCTTGCCAAGTTCCGCAACCGAGCGCCGCGGCTGATAGCACTTATGGGCGAATGCGCGAGCGTGGAGACCTGCACCGCGAAACGCTACCACAGCATCCTATTACACTTTAACCAGGCACTAATCGAAGGCTACGAGCGGCGTCACCAACAACAGCAAGCCCAACGAACCAACGCGCGCGGGCTGAGCGACGTTGGGGAAGGCCCGGGGGAGCCAGACCTACTGGACGAGCTACGCTCCACCAGCAACGAATACTTCGCGGGCACCTACCAGAGCCGTGCCGTTTCGACCGAGCCCGCAAGCCGCGAGAGTGTTGCCGCGCACGCACTGGTGTCTGTCGCATCCAACGGCCAACACGATCCGAACAACCAGATCCTCCCGACCTACATCGATTCTAAAGGGCCCATGGCGGGGCTCAGTATGACGCCGGGAGTGACGGGGCAGTTCGATTTGGGAAGCGGACCGCTGGTCAAGGCGGACACGGATATGTATGCGGGCGGCGTGGACTTTTTTAATCCCTTTGGCTGGATGGATCCTGGTGATGGGGCGGGGTATGCGGATACTCAGACGGTCCCGTGGGAGTTCTCGTGGGACGGCCCGCCGAGTAATTTCTTTATGAGTGCGCAGACGGAGATGGAGATGAATCCTCCGCCCGGTTAGGAGATGTACTCAAGGATCACAGGCATACTTTGGGGGAAGCGGGAGGGGAGAGGGGGGAGGGATATAGAATAGGCGTGGTAATCTTAGGAGTTGGGTATTATTGCTTTGACTTTCATTTATTGCTGGAGGATTGATATCAATCTTCCATTCCAATATATATGTATAGTACAGTAGGATTTATTTGAAAATGTACTCTGACTGCATTACATTGACGAACGAACGGAAGGACGCGGCTGGATATTGGGTATATGCAACTTCTAACAAACGGTGGGTCCATAAACCAAAAAAAACCCCCTCCTCTGAAAAACCCCTTAGCTCGAGCTCGAGCTTGTCTCCATCCACCACTCCGCCTTATCGTAACCGTTGGGCCTACTCGTCTCATTGAAACCATTCCACGTCTTCGCCATCTTGACCACGGGCCTAACGATCTTGATCTTCCCGCCGAAGCCGGGACAATCGATCTCCTGCAGGTAGGTATCCTCCTCATCCCAGTACCACGGCGCAACCTTCTTCATGCCCTTGAGCGCGGTCTTGCCGATGTGGTCGACCGAGTCGTTGTAGCGGATCTGGGCAAAGTCCTCGTGCTGCTTCGACACAAGGTTCTGCCAGATCTCGTTCGAGTACGAGCCCAGCGACATCAGGTACATGTCGAACTGCACCAGACTCGCCTTGCCCCACCACGAGCCTCCCTCCGTCGCTCGCCGGTAGAGGCCGGTCAGCGCCGCGATGGCGCCCATGCAGCCGGTACTATATACGAATTCCTGTCAGCTTTCTGTACGATAGTCGGGCTGGAGAGGGATGTCTTCTTACCCATAGTCGCTCATGGGGAACGGCGGGATGATGGGCTCGTTGCGGCCCATTGCGCGGCCCTGGGCCCACGCCAGACCACTCACGCAGTCCGCGATCTGCTGCCAGCCAGCGCGGTGCGCCAAGGGCGCATCGTATCCGAAGCAGTTCTCGTTGACGTAGACATAGCCCTTGCCGCGCTTCTGGGCGAGCTCCTTCAGAGCGGTAGGTCCGTATCCCAGCTTCTCGATGGCGCCGGGACGGTAGCCGTCGACGATCACGTCGGCGGACGCAAGCAGCTCCTCGAAGATCCGCCGGCCCTCGGGCGTTTTCAGGTCCAGCTCGGCGGCGTGCTTGCCGACGTTGCCATCCACCTGGAAGAAGGGCACGTCCGGGCTTGTGGGTGCGGTGATCTTGAGGACTTCGGCGCCGTATTCGGCGAGGATGCGGGTTACGGTTGGGCCGGCGATGATGCGGCAGAGCTCGAGGATGCGGATGCCGCTGAGGATTTGGGGACGGTCGTTGGATTCTGGGTTGATGGGGAAGCTTTCGGGGAAGGGCGCGGGGGGTGTCGTGGTTTCTATCGAGTCGACTTGCCAGTATGGCTGCTTTTGCAGGGCTTGTCCGTGGGCAGAGGCCAGGAACTCGTCTTCCTTGATGGCGTAAATGCCGGCTAGTTTGCGTTCGTTGTTCAGTTCCTCGAGCTCCTCGACCGTGAACTTGGCTACGGCATCGCCGATGTACTCCAGAATCTGGTGGTAGTCCTCATCGGTGAACTCCTCGCGGTGAGATGGGAGCCCAATCATCTCCAGCGCCGGCGAGGCAGCGAGAGATCCGTGGATGTGGTAGAAGCCGTTGTCCTTAGTCTTGTAGAGATTGGCCGACAATCGGCGGTAGATGTTGCTCTGGGCCCGGTTGAAGTCGGTATCCCGGAGACGGGCACGCACTTCTTTATCGAGCTTTGTGAGTCCGTCTACGGAGGCAAGATAGGCCTATTATCTGATCTCAGTTTCTGGATATTGCTGAAGGGAGCAACCCAAGAAGTTACTATCACTCACCTGGAACAAAAAGGCCGCAGCCTGCTCCATGTTGATCTCGATATCATCCTCCTTAAAGCCAAACCGCAACTCTCCAATGGCTGCGGCCATGCCGCCTTCAATGGCCTTCAGGGCCGCAGAGGCCTCAACCTCCTTCATCACACATGGGAGGAACACCTGGTCCCGGCCCGTGAACCTAACCTTGAGGGCATAGTCGATAGCTGCTTGGGGAAGCGGCAATGTTCGGCCTTCTGGCTGTGCAATGAGCTGGCTCAATGCCGCCTGTGCGCCAGTGATGATAGAGTACTTGCTCATTGTTGGTTTTCCGGGGGCGTTCGGTGGCTGAGGAACGGCTCTATGGGCTTAGACGTGGTGATAAATGTGAAGGAGAGCTCTCCGGGCGCTGGCTTGGTCTCGAGAGTGTGGTTTATCAGCAGCAAAAGCGTGGGTAGGTAAGTACTCAGCGGTTGTATAGCAGTGCGAGGTGAACGAACGAGGAGGCCGGAGGAGCTATATCACGCTGCCAACTTTCGATTTCCTTCCCGCATTCTTCCATCCGTGATAAGATTGGTGCAAGTCGGCTACGGCCGTGCAACTGGGTATGGGGACGGGTCCCGTGAACGCCCTCGGATGTTTGCACTTCCTCATGGCCAGGCAGTGGTTCGGATGTTGGACTATCATGCCTATCTACGGATGTTTCGGATCGTCTGGCCGACACCAACAGCTGAAGAGCCCCGGACCAAGTCAAGGCCAGCGGGTGGGCGACCCTGGCCACTCATCCGACGCAGTTGCGCAGAGGTCCGATGATGATGGCGCTAGTTCGCTGAATGGCGGCCATCGCACTTGGGTCTGGACCTGGAATTTTTCCACCCCTGGACGAGCGGCTGGGAACCTTTTAGACGGCCATGTGGGGGGACGCCAACTTAGACTTAATCCGCCCAGCATCTTGCGCTAGGCAAGTGGGTAGCAGATGGCCCCAGCAGATGCAACCCGACCGGGCATTTTGAAATCCGGTTGGGCTCGCGGATAGGCGGACGTGCCTGCGGAAAAGTCCCCACGGGGTAATTCGGTGAACCAGCTTGGTGGGGGCAAGTAGCCGATGGAGGGGGCGAGGGGACGCGTTATAACTGTTTCCCTCCGCTGCTCTGGCCAGGTTTCTCTTCACATCATCTCTATATCTCATCTCCATATATATCCGCTCCGTACCGTATCCATCCTTCGGTTCCCTTGTCCGTACCCCACTTCTATATTGCCGGCGATATACATCTCGTTCCCTACGAAAATCATCAGCACCCATCTCACCTACGAAACACCTCGCGAAGATGCTTACCGCCCAAGTCCCGAAGACCAAAGAGGTGCAGACATCCGACTGCGATGTCCTGATTGTTGGGGCCGGTCCTGCCGGGTAGGTCATCTACGATTTGGCGTACCAGGCCGTTGGACTTGCATTGCATGGAGTGGGGCAATATTCTAACGATCGCGCCTATTCAGATATATGGCCGCCGCATGGCTCGCGCGACACAAGGGTGTTAAGGTGCGCATCGTGGAGAAGCGCGACGGAAAGATCTTTGCCGGACAGGCCGATGGTCTGCAGTGTCGCACATTGGAGGTTCTTCAGAGTTTCGGCTTTGCCGACCGGGCCTGGAAGGACGCCAACCACATGCTCGAGGTCAGTACTGATGACAACCCCACTGTCGCGATGACGCCGATTTGCTGACTCGGTCCCAATATAGATTTGCTTTTGGAACCCCGACGAGTCTGGAAAAGGCGTAGTGCGGACCGGTCGCATTCCCGACATGAGCCCTGGACTTTCCCGGTTCCAGCAGATTGTCTTGCACCAGGGTTGGGTTGAGGGTTACTTCAAAGACAACCTGAAGAAGTATGGTGGCGCCCAGGTTGAGTTCAGCACTATGCCCGAGTCGATGGAAATCGACGAGTCAAAGGTCGACGACAACGATGCCTACCCGGTCAAAGTCGTCCTGCGCCATCTCAAGGAGGAGGCCAGCGCCCCCGAACAGTTCGGTCACGAGGTCCTCAACGGACTCTTCCGCTCCACAAACTTGGTCACCACCGCCGAGGAGGACAACGCTCTTGCCGAAGACACCGCTAAGGAGAGCACCGAGATCGTCAACTGCAAGTACGTTCTCGGATGCGACGGTGCCCACTCCTGGGTTCGAAGACAGCTCGGCTTCGAGATGCTCGGTGAGCATACCGACTACGTCTGGGGAGTCCTGGACATTGTCCCCATCACCGACTTCCCCGACATTCGCAACCGATGTGCCATCCACAGCGCCAACTCCGGCTCCGTCATGGTCATTCCCCGTGAGGGCGCTCTCGTGCGCTTCTACATCCAGCTTTCCGAGGTCGAGCGTGATGCCGAAGGCCGTGTCAACCGCGCCAAGATCACGCCCGAGATGATCCTCAAGGCCTGCCAGAAGATCATGGCTCCTTACACCATTACGTACGAGGAGATCCAGTGGTTCACCGCTTACCAGATCGGTCAGCGTGTTGTCGACGATTTCTCCAGCCACAACCGTGTCTTCATCACCGGTGACGCTGCCCACACCCACTCGCCCAAGGCCGGCCAGGGCATGAACACCTCCATGATGGACACCTACAACTTGGCCTGGAAGGTCGGTGCCGCCTGCCAGGGTATTCTTGACCGGTCGGCTCTTAGCACTTACGGCTACGAGCGCTCTGCCGTCGCCCACGACCTGATCAACTTCGACCGCAAGTTCGCCAAGCTGTTCTCCGGCAAACCCGCCACGGACGCCGCCGACGAGGCCGGTGTCTCGATGGAGGAGTTCAAGAAGGTCTTCGAGAAGTCCCACCTCTTCGCCTCCGGTGTGTCGATCGACTACAAGGCCAGCAACCTCATCGCCAAGCCCGCTCCCGAGACGGAGGACCCTCACAACCCCGTCAAGCCCGCGGTCGTGGAGTCCAAGCAGTCGCTCGCCACCGGCATCCCCGTCGGCCAGCGCTTCAACTCCTTCCAGGTGATGAACCAGTCCGACTCCCGGCCATGGCAGTTCCAGGACCTGATGAAGTCCGACTCGCGCTGGCGGGTAACCGTCTTCGCCGGTGACGTCCGCGACGCCGAGCAGAAGGCGCGCATCGAGAAGCTCGCCGCCCACCTCGACAAGCCCGACTCGTTCATCCACAAGTACACCCCCGCCGACCGCAAGCGCGACGGTCTCTTCCACGTCTTGACGATCCACTCGGCTCCTCGCGTCGAGGTCGAGCTCCACGATTTCCCCACCGCCCTCCGCCCCCAGCACGACTACTGGTCCGTGTACGTCGACGACATGTCCCACCACGAGGGCCATGGACACGCATACAAGAACTACGGCGTCGATCCCAAGCGCGGTTGCTTGGTCATCTCCCGTCCCGACCAGTACGTGTCGCTGGTCTGCGAGCTCGAGGACACCGACTTGGTCGAGAAGTTCTTTGCTGCTTGCTTGATACCTCAGAAGAAGTAGAGCGTTTTGCTTTAGCCCTTCTTTTCTTCATTCCTGTTGTTATTGTTCACTTTGGTCGGGCTTTGGTTGGTTATTCTGCTTGGGATTATGGGTTGCGGATATCGGTTATCTTTGTTATTTTTGCTCGTTGCTCGGATTAAGGAGTTGAAATCGTTTCCTTTTGTTGGGATGGAGACGTTCTGTATGTAAGTTTAGGAACAATATACCATATACCACTTGTCTAGGACTATGGGGTTACCTGTGTCGTGATTCGCTTCAGTGAAACATGTCAAATCACTCGATTTGCATTCGCTTTCTCTGGGATGATTGAGAGTGGTCTTCTGTTCAGTCTTGAGTAGAGTAGATGTAAAGTTAGTCGGGTGGTGAGAGGCTCAAAAACTTGATCAAGAAAATAAGAGTGCTGAATGATGTGTCTGTCTGTTATGAATGGAAGCAAGAAGAAGACAAGAACAAGACCAGAATAAATCAACGTTGATCCTCCGCTTCGAGACAGACCTACGTCACACCACCTCCGCCTCCCCGGCCTGTCCTCCATAACCACAACGTCTCTCCATAGGCAGTACATACCGCCGCTCACCGCAACACAGAGATGCCTCTACTCTACTCTACCCCGCGCTCCCTCAGTGGGCACTGGGCAGCTTGGTTGTATGACCAAGGTAGAGTACTCTACTCTACTCTAGTTGATCCCACCTTCCACGTAAGTGCCGCCTTGAAGACTCCGACACCGTTGACAACGAGAGTCGAGCAGGACTGAGTCCAAAATTCAAATGCCCGCCGTCCAATACCTAATGCGTTCCGGTATTCACTGTTTAGTGTAACGGAGCACCAACGGCATCTTTCTCCACAAGCAATCAGGAGTGTCTGTAGATACAGGTGGGGGTGCACAACTCCTACTCCATGGAGCCCGATGCTTCATGTAGGTATGAGGTATGATGTATGAGGTATGGATTGCGGTTGCGGTTGCTACCCGTGCCGTTTATCATACATAACCCGTTCCTGCGTAACGCGAGCTGGACACCCGTCCTGCATGCCGCTGCGGCGCTGAGAACACGGCAGGTGGTGACGGTGGTGCAGGGACGTCGTGTGCTGTCAGTGGTGGAGCTTGCATGGTGGGCAGTGGCACAACGGCGCTGGTGTCACCGTCGATCACTCGTATGCTATGCACGATGGCTACCCGTGAAGGGGTGGGAGGGCGGATTGCTTCGCCGCTGGCTGTTTATTTCTACATAAATGTCCAGGTGGATGCGTAGCAGCTCAGGTGCAGAACGAACAACGACTGCGATAGGTCATTCCAGAATTTTGGTCACTGGTTCGATTTCAGCACAGCACAGCCTCAGCCGCAAAACACCACGTCCAATCAATCAATTGCCCTGCCAACCAGTACACGAACATAGAGCACCCCCTCCCCTCTCTCTCTCCCTCCCTCCACCCCACCCCTCCGCTATTCCCCGTTTCAAACACAGTCCTTCAGCTCAACTCTCTCTTTCTCCTCGTGTTTCCACCTCCTAAAAGTCTTGACCGCCAGGACCAGATACCAGAGATAAAACGCGCTTCACCCATCAGCTCTGTGTAGCACCTCACACCAGCACAGCGGGGGATCTCGACTCACGTATTCGCGCAGCAGAACGTAGCATAGAGCACCGGCACGACCTTGGCCCCAAACGGGTCGCCCGTGTACAGGGACCGCACCATGGGCGAGCACATCTTGCACATGATAGCCGCGGCGCTGATCCAGCCAGCGCTCCATATCGACGCGATGCTGACGGCGTAGATCGGGTTCAGCCGGTGCTTGTAGAACAGCGTTATGTCCAGCGCCGCGAAGACCGCGAATGCGACGCCGATCGTAACGAAGATGGCTCTGTTGAACCCCCCGCCGCCATACCCGGCTCCTGGTTAGACGAGTGAAGCTGGGGGGAGGGGGAGGGAGGGGGAGCGGGGGGGGGAGGGGCGGTTACCCGAACAGAGAGGTGTACCAGTCCTCAGCTCTGACCCAGTAATCCTCAGCGGCGTAGACATGCAGCGCGCTGATGGCGGTGACGAGTATGCACACATTTGCGGCGAGGATGCCCAGGAGCGGGCGGTTCGGCGGCTGGACTTTCCAGCGGCGGTCGCCGACCGCTGGAGAAGGGCTGTAGAGGTTTCTGAGGGGGTCCAGTGAGAGCATCGTGATCCCGTGTGTGCGTGCGTGCGTGCGAGTGTTATCTGCTATTCCTACCTGGCTCCGGGGGAGGGAGGGGACGGGGCATTTATACTGGCTCATGTTCCACCACGAAGACACCGGAAATTTCAATCGGAACTGTGCCTGCCTGCCGGCGAGTCTCGGGTAACGACGAAACGGCGGCGGGAGGGGGGGATGTGGTGGAATGCGGCTTTTATGTATGTACATGGAGCGGCAATGCACGCTGCCGCTCCTCTTATCGTCCGTCCGGCCGGCCGGGGGTCTGAAATGCGGACCATGTGAGGTGGGCCATATGAGGAGGCAGAGATGCGACAGCCCGTGCAACTGCAGTACGCCGACTTCGTATTCTCGTGTGCTGGCATCTAGAGCTCGAGAGCTCGAGGGCGAAGTAGTTGTCCATAAACCAGATGCTGTTTCTACAGGTTGTACAACCAGATACGAAGAATATGTCAGGGCGCTGGTGTTTCAGCCAATCAGTGTCTCGTCGTACACCATTGACTGGCTGGTGTTCGTTGATGGGAGTAACCTCTGGCTCCACTACTCCGTCGTCGTTTTGTTTTTTGGTTGATCGTTACTAATTGCATGCGACCCAGCCAGATCATGGCAATATGTGCGGCGGCTTCTCGCCACTGTCCATCTCAATGTACTGCGTCTTGCCTTTGTTTACTCATTGAGTACTACGTCTTCCCGGAAAGGCGCATTCCATGAGCAGGATAGGTAGGGCCGAGTGATTTAGTTGAAGCCAGACGCCCAGCGATCACCTAGCCTCACTCGCCATTGATCCACTCAACCACCAATGTTGGCGTTGGTTTATGCTTCCAAATGTCGCTCAACCAGCTCCCATTCACTCTCCTCCTTCCTCTTTTCCATCGACAGCTCACCAGCTCCCATTCCCAGCCCCCACTGCCGCCGGTCACCGCGACGACTACCTACCTGTCGACGTCCTCCCACCCAAGGCACGGGAGGAGTAGTAGTAGGAGCAGCAGAGGCTACAAACCCCACAACACTATCACTGCCGCAACGATCAGACCGCCCTGTTACCGGGCAATGTGCGCACTCCATCAACCTCCCTCCCGTTCCCAGCAAAACAACCAGTGCTCACAGCCATTCCGCAGTGATTCGACCGCACGTACAATGCTCACGCCCGTCAATACTCAAGCTCGGGTTGTGCGTGCTCGGCTTCAATCTGGTGTTTGTATGATACCGGTAGGGTTGAGGGGTTTGGTTGCTGCTCTTCTGGGATGTGCGGGGGCGATTTCTGGGCGGTGGGAGAGGATGAGGATGAGGAGGTTGGGTAACTTGGGTTGGCTGGTATGTGTATAGCTTGAATACTACAGTTTTAGGCTTACGCAATATGATCTCGTGGTCTCGTGGTCTCGTGGTCTCGTGGTCTCGTGGTCTCGTGGTCTCGTGGTACCGTCCCTTCTTGTGGATGCCACATGTAATATCACCAGTTTCGCCAAACGTGCGCTGGGACACAAGACGAGACGAGACCGGTCCCGGCCCGTCCTCAGAGTCTCAGACTGCTGGCGGGTGTTTTGTCCAATCGGATACACGCACCAGTTCGTACTCACTGCCGTCCGTAGGGGCCCAGAACTTCTGGCTAAGGTCGACTGAGCTCTACTCGGGCTTTGGCCGGAGTCCGGCCCGACAGCGAGTGCAAACCGATGATCGGCGAGATTTCGCTTCCGCACTGAGTGCTCTGCCGATTGACTCTGGTCCTGGTCCTTGTCGTTGTCCTGGTCCTTGTCCTGGTCCTGGTCCTTGTCCTTGTCCTTGTCCTTGTCCTGGTCCTGGTCCTGGTCATTCCGGAAGACGCCCGCGAACCGAACAGATATGTATCTCCGCAATGGCACCGCTCTGCCCCGTGCGAAATTGGGTTTGCAGACGGCTCTTTTGCCAATTGGCAACACCCCTCCAGGCCGGCAGTGGGGCCGAGAGGAGAGCACAGCACACACAGAGGAATCGGAGGGGAAGGTGGGGGTTGATTCTCTATTTTGTAGAGGATGGTGAGAGAGCGAGCTTCGTGAACATTACCGCTCACCCCGCGATACCTACCGAATCGTTACCGTTCATTCAACCACACGAAGACGTCAATTCCAAGCTTCCATCGTCCGTCTTGCCACAGAGCATGTACCTAATACATCTGTTTCGCCGCCAACGTATATACACCACTTCCAGGGGTATTTTTGGCGAGCATGTGGTGCTGTGGTGCACCGTGCATGTGGAACGAATTAAGCTTCGGATCTCGATGGAGGTGTCACTGTGTACCAGGTAAGTACATATGCTACATTGGAAACGCAAGGGAGCCGGACGCGACAGTGGTTCTCCTCAAGGGTTATTACGATGCGCCATAGTGCGGCCCTGTGTGCACTGTGCGGTCGAGGGCTCGACTCTGGATCCGAGGGGGGTAATGTAGAATAGGCATAGCATACATGCCCAGAGCACGCTCATATAATGGGCACCTACTTCATACTTGCGCTTGCTCGTATGATACTTGCCGAATGAATGAATGCTACGACTCTGCGTGGTGTGTGGTGTGTAGTGTGCCGTATGTCCTCCGTTCCCCGGTCTCGTGTCTTAAAACAGCGAGCGAGCGAGCAAACGTGCCCGGACGGCGAAGGAGCCGTTCACCGAGTAGGCCGAGTACCGTAGGCCGAGCACGCACACACGAAGGCGGATTCAATCGCGTTGTCGGGCGAGCGAGCAAGCCGCCACTCTCGCCCACGCTCACGAAATCTCAAAACGAATACGAACGGGCCACCGAGCACCGCGAACGCTCTATCTACATAGATCCGCCTTCGCGCAAAGTCGGAATATCTAGGAACAAACTAGGTACAAACTTCCACGGTCCGCAGTGAGCGGATCCAGAAGGCTTCTACATCCATACGACTGCCACCCCTCCTCCCCCGAGAGCAACTGGAGTGCAAGTAAGTGAGGTAAGCTTACGGCGGCGCGGCCGAGCGCTGAAGATTTCTGGCGTGTTTCTGGCGTGTTTCTGGCGTGCTTCCTACCTGTTCTAGTTGTTCTAGTTCGGAAAAACAGGAACCAAGTTAGTACTATACGCGTATTTGCCACCACTGACTAGGTCTGGCGGGGGAGTAGGGGTCGCTCGCCGCCCGAGTGACCGCGGCGGCGAGCGGACATTGCCTGTTCCGTCAACTTCCGTGTTCACCCACGCGGACTTTCGGACTTGAAGGTAGGGCGTTCTGTGGAAGGTCTGGATATCTCATGAAGGGGGGTGGGAGAGGGAGGGTGGATCTGCCAGTCTGGACTCTGGACTTCAGACAAAGGGATAAAACCGACCCGGACATCGCCATTTAGCACTCGGTTCGCAGCTTACACAGCGCGCACAGCGGGGGCATCTGGTGTCCGCTCCGCCCACTCCGCCATCTCCGCCCACGAACCGCTGAGTCTCCACGAGTGATCTGCCATGACTTCCTCCCTCCCTCCCCCGCCTCCCCCGGTACCGTACCGCATTTCCCTTTCCCATTCCAAGCTGCGCAAAAAAAAGCAACACCGATAGCTTCCAAGAACCAGGCACCGTCTGTACATACCACGGGACATTGTCTTCGCTTCCCTTCCGTACCTACCGTACCTACCTACTGTACCTACCTACCTACCGTACCCGTACCCCGCCATATATTATGCGTGCATCCCACCCATCCCACCCATCCCACCCATCCCGGCCGTTCTCCGACGGGTTTTGTTTTTCAAGAGCACCCGCCCACCCAATCGCGGCCCACTGCGAGCGTATGTATGCGTGTATGTGTGTATGTATCATACTTACATACAGCGTGGGGAAAATAAAAGTCCCGCACATTCGAGCGCGTAGAGTACGGTTCGGTGGGTGATGGTGGGGGGAAATGTATGTGTGTACGGTATGTAATGCGGGATAGACTTTCCGACGCTGACCACGACGACCACGACGACCACGACGACGGCTGTGGGGCAAGAGCGCCGGGACTTAGAAAGAATCGAGAATCGAGATCGTAGCGGCGGGGAAGACTGAAGTACATAGGTGGAGGTGAGTATTTATGGGACTCGGTGAACTGGCTAGTACTGTACATAGCTGCTGGGAGATACCAGATACCAGATACCAGATACCAGATACCAGATACCAGATACCAGATACTAGATACCAGATAACTACCAGATACCGCCGTGCGGCGTAGATTTGGATGTGGCGGCGCCGCGGCGGCCGGAACTCTATACGTTAATAAATAGGATACGTAGACTCTAGAGCACCCACCCCCGCGTGCGGCCACGTCTCCTCACTCGATCTGATCGATCAAGCTACGATACGGTACTATGTAAAGCATGTACGGTACCGTGAGTGTTCGTCCCGACTCCCGGCGAAGCACGAGGAGACTCGAGGGAAGGAGAAAGAAATCGGATGAACCGCATTCCTTCCCGCAGGCCGCAGGCGGCGGCGGGTGGTGGTGATTGGCTACTCCGGACCTCCGCGCGATAGGTACTATGGGTACTCTGCGGCCAACGGGAGAAATCGCAGGATACCGTAGGTTCATACGGAAAGTCCAGCTCAGGAACAAAGGTTTACGAGTAAACCAAACTTTACGGACGGATAAGTCGGTCAAGTCGGACGAACGAACGAACGAGTCGGAACGCACGCAATTGGGCCGCCGGGCGAACGTGCAACGGTGCAAGCAATTGGTCATTGGTCATTGGTCATTGGTCATTCCGACGTGTCGATGATTTTCCCCATGACGCGCGCGCACGTTTACCGTACTCTGCACACTTTGCACTACATGGACGTGTCTGTCCCATTCTCGAAACGACATTCCGTGCATGGCCGTGCCATGGAAGGGGCGCCGGGGCGGGGCGGGGCCGCGAGGGCGGTCGACTGAGTCGAGTCTCGAGTCGAGTCGTCCGCCCCATCAATTTTTTCTCTCCCGTACATAGACTACCGTATGTACCAGTACATACGGTATTTCTCTTCATGTACCTACTCCCGCCCCCGCCCCCGCGCGAGTCCGGACTCCGCTCACTCGCAATAATTTTTTTCTTCAGGCTTCAGCTGGGCTAGGCGGAACTATGGAACTAGAGCAGACTTCTAGGTGCCTGGAGCCTGGAGCCTGGAGAGCCTGGCGACTTCTCTCGGAAGCTGCGGCCTGCAGCCGCCATGCCCCGTTGAGCATAACTAAGGTATATGTACATAAGGCAGAACGGAGAACGGAGAACATGCACGAATTCTGGACCAGGTTCAAGTTGGAGATGTCACTACCATCCCACCACCATCCCCACTACATACCATACGGTACCTAGATATGCTAGTAGAGGGGCCAGATTCCTCAAAGACTGACGTCGTTGGGGGCCAGCTTGGGCCGGGGTGAGAGATCTCCGCCTCATGTCATGTCCGACACTCCGAGGGCGCCATGTCCGAGGGCGCATGCTGGCTGCTGCTCCTGCTGCTGAGAGGGGGATCTAGAAACCGATTGGCGTGGCGTGGCGGGGTCGAGAACTCGAGGAGGGGTCGGAGAGGGGCGGGGGGATTTTTTTGTGCAGCTTCTTGCCTGCCTGTCTGCCCGATGGGTGATGGACGTGAGAGCTTAGATGGACGTGAGCCTAGAGGGATGGTGGAGAGGGATGGCGGAGAGAGATGGTCGAGAGGGGAGATGTAGTCTCTACATACGCGAGGCGGGCTCGTGGTTATGTACCGGTAGCGGCCTGTACCTACCGGTATACATACGCTGGCGAACTGCGGCCATATATCGGCTCGACGTATGTACGAGTACCGTAGGTACCGGTACCTGCACTCCCCAACCGTGGTACTTCCCTACCGTGGCACTCCACCCTACAAGTTTGAAGTCACGCAGCGTATTTCCGAGTCCGTCCAAGCACGTGCTTCCACTCCACATCCACTCTACATACATCCACCTGCAGCCGGGCGATCGAAGCAAGCAAGAAGTTGCGTGATGCTGATGCTGCTGCTGCTGCGGATCACGCACGGAACCACTCTAGGTTATGTAGGCAGGCAGGCCCACCGTTTGCGGCGGCAGTGGTGGTGGTCATGGTGGGGTGGGGTGGAGTGGGGTGGAGGGGTGGGCATCGCGTCCGTCCGGACAGTGCGGGGTCGGCGATGTTGATGTGTTGATGCAATTGATGTGCGGATGTGCGGATGTGGTGATGTGGTGATGTGGTGATGTTTGCAGATGTTCCTGGGAAGCACTCAGTTAATATCTGTCTCGCAATTGTGTTGCCTTCAAGCCTTGCCAATCTGTTTTGCTATGGTTTTACGTTGTTTTGTGGGGAGACGAATCACGAATCACAACCTGGCGATCCGGATTCCGGCGGAAGTCTGGGAGCGATTGATTGATTGATTGATTGCTCGATTGCTTGATTGAATCGATTGGGGAATTGAATTGAATTGAAATTGTTTTGATCGACCAATATGGCTGCGGACTGCGAGCTGCAAGCTGCGGGCTGCTGCGGGCTGCGGGATATATTGGAATTGAGGTCCATCACCGCCCGCCTGTGACCTGACTTCTTTTTTCTTTCTTCTTTTTTTTTTTTTGGCGTGTGCCGAGTTTTTTGGGAGAGGAAGGGAGGGGCGGAGTTTTCCGGCAACGAGAACGGGCGAGGCAGAAAGAGAAAGCGGAAGAAAGAAAAACTCTTCTCGAAGCTAGACGGGTTCCTTGTTTTCGGAACCGTCTTTAGTTACACTTCGATGCGAAGGCGCAATTCGTCTGTTTCGTGCTCTCGCCAGTCGCCAACATGTTTCGTCGCAGCCATAGTTAGCGCCTACTTCATAGGGCTTTTAGTCGAGGTTGGTTGGTTACCCGACTGTGCCGGACTTTTTCTTCTTTTTTCTTCTTTCTTTTCGGTTCGGCACCATGGCAGGATTCGGAGTAGTCACAAACGTTGAGTGCCGTTTCCTTCGTTCGGCTGTGCGTGACACACAGGGTCCTGCAGCGTTTCCTTCGCTCGCACCAACTTTTTTTACATGTATGGATACCGACAATCCTTGTACGACTGTCATGCAAAGCCAGAGCATGTGAGTGCACGGGCATGTACCCAGAGTAGAGTAAAGTACAGACCGATACCGATCCGCTAGGAAGCAGAGTACGCAGGGAAAACAAAAAAAAAGAAGGAAGGAAAGTGTGCGCGTGTCATCCGAACGACGAGCGGAACCAGATGTCGACAGGCGTGCTTGGGCGTCACGGGAAGAGGAGACAGAGAGGGAGAGAGGGGAAGAGTCGCAAGTATGCATACCGCTACCTACTTCTCACCTATGATGATGTCCGAGACGCAGGAAAGAGGGGTCACTAAGTAGCAGTAGCAGCGAAGCGAATGCCACTCTAGATGTGTAGAGTCGAGATATCGGTTGATAGCAACCGCAGAGTCTGTGTGTCCGTCGTCATACATGTGTCTGGAGCACAGACCCGAGGATCGCGATGGCGCATCGTTCCGAATCACAGGCTATCTATGTGGAGTCACCTCAAGGTTCGAGTGTTGCGTTAGGCATCCATTCCTCGAGCCGTATTCACGTCAATTCGACGTCTGGCGCAAAGTGTAAGTCAGGGTACCGACGCATTATTGCACTGGGAGCCAGTCATGGCTGTGGCCCATACTGACATATGTACCCTGGCCGGAACTCTGCAGCTCGAGAGTGGGAGTGCTTGCCTGCCGCTTTGCTTGATGCTTTACTTGCTTTCTTCGGGCTGGCAGACGAATAGAATCCAGGAACGAAGAAAGGATGGAAGCAAGGAAGGGGTTACGGGCTGAGGGACTGGAAGCTGCTGCAAATCTAGCTTTGAGCCGGCGGCCCCCTTCCCTTCGGAGACTTCGATTCCCAACAGTCAAGAAAGCCCTGGTGCTAGGGTCCAAAATCTGTCTGCGTAATCGAAAACGTATGTCGAAACGTCCCGTGTGCAAATTGTATGTACCATACTCTACCATCGGGACATGTACCTGCCTTCATACAGTCAGTCCCCCGCCCCCGTACAGCGTGCAGCTTGGCCGCCCGATAGCGCCCGGTCGCCGTATGAGCTCCTGGATCTCAAGAACGTGCGTGGTTGCTGTTTGCTCTTCTCAGACACCAGCACCTTCCTGCCTTCGATCGGGCTCGGTCAGTTAGCAATCAATTGACGCTATTCGGGATGGAGAGTCTGCTCACACATCTCCTCCCATCGTTTTGACTTCTCGGGTTGCCAGACTTTATTTCATTTTAGCGTTCATCGTCGTGTCCTCGACGCTCGTCGGTCATGTTGGCGCTGCGTTACCTTCAGCGCCCACCCCTTCACCACCACCCCGGCAAGTGCTGTACTCAAGGAAAATTCTTTAATAGTTTCGCCGCCCCTCCCCTCCTTCCCACGTCCGTGTAGCACCATTCTTCCCCGGAATATATCAGTTCCAATTCACCCCCCCTCCCTCCCCTCCATCAACTCAATTACACCCCACTATACGCATTCCCCCTCCACAATCACCCCCAAGAGCATTATCGTCAACCGTAAAGATGTCACAGGCCAGCACTGCCGAGTTGTAAATGCCTCTGGAGGTGCTTCTTCAAAGGAATCACCTCCAGCCGACCAACCCTCAGTGATTTGACAACATCAGAGCGACCACACGACGACGATACTCAAGCCGGCTTCTTTCCTACTCGAAAAGAAAGAAAGAACGAAAGAAAGAAATAACGAAAACAGACTAGGACGATCAGAACAGAGGAGCCTTTGACTACCAGCAACCATCCACATCCATCCCCCGCTACGCCGCTACACACCTGTGATATCTGGGACGCTACCCACGATCCCCGACAACTACCAAAAAAAAGTGTCTTCCTACTCCTCATTCTTCCTCTTCTCCTCCTCTTCGAAACAAGAGATATTCCCCTCACCCCCACAACCCCTCCTCCAATTGATCTCTACACTCGGAAATTCCGCTTCCGCACACCAACTCGAAGGGAACTTTCATAGGAGAACGAACTCAATTGATTCACACACCACTTACATTTTCGGAAGCGAACAATGTCCCGCCAAACCACACAACACACATTATCACCGTCGATACCGTCGCCGCACCGTCTTGACCGACACCTACCATCACTCTCGGACAACATGCCCGCGGAGCCGAAAACACCCCACGGCGGTGAGCCGAGCCGGCGGGGCGGAAAGGGAAAAGCCTCAATCGGTGGAGGATTGGGCGGGAGTCTCGACGGCCAGTCCGGCGCCGAGTCGGGCGAGGACGACGAGGACGATGGCGAGCAAGACGGAGAGACGGATAAGCCTGCTGTCATGTGCCCCGCCGGAGTGAGCTCACAGATGCCTCAGGCACGTAAGTTGAGCTTTGCGGCGGGGCCGGTCAAGCGCACGTTCGATGATGCCGATCTCGGTGAATTCTTCCCTGAGGGGCTGGACTTTGACTTTCCTTCCATTCAGGACGACGATGAGCCGGAGTTTCCGCGCAAGAAGATTCCAAAGCTTATTGCTGCCACCACCGAAGGGATCCTGACGTACACGGAGCCAATCTCCAAGGATGATGATGACAAGACTGAAGGAGGATATGATATTGATGATCTAGAAGACGACGAAATCACGTGCGAGGATGATGATGGAAACATAACCGATGAAGAGGAGGCGGCCATCGTGCGAGAGTTCGAGACCGACGAAGATCTGCTCAAAGAGATTGGTTTGCTGGATGCGAACACCCTCGCACCAATCGACCCGGAACTGCTGGGCGACCCATTCGACAACGCCCTGTTCGACGATCTGGACGGTGAGATCTTCGACGCAATGTGCAACGACCCTCATCGTTTCGACGATCTCCAGGGTCAAGTCGCTTTCGATTGGAACAGTTTCACCAACCCAAGCGACGATCTGTTCTCCGTCCATCCTACACCAGTGGTCACTCCGAATGCCACTCCCCGCGCATCCATCTCGGAACCGCGTGGGGGATCCTTCAATTCGGACGACAATGAATCCTCGGAGGACGAAGTGCAAAACCTGAGCCCGTTTTTCGAGATGAACAACGCAGCGATCAAGCACCTCGTCAGCGCCGGAGGAAAGGGCGGATGGAGCGATGGAACGGATGAAGACGATGCCGATCTTCTGAAATACTTTTTCTCGTCTGCGGATGAAGAAACCGACGTTGACAGTGATGATTCTCTGAGTAGGTCACACTGTACTTACTTGGCGAATACTCTGCTAATACCGCTTTGCTATCAGCTGAAGATGACGACGGAGACACCACCGACGAGGAGGAGGATCTGCCCATGCCCACGCCTTGCCATGCCTCGAAGCTGCGCCGTGTTTCCGTGTCATCCAATGCCGCACGGCCGCAGATCATCGACACCAACAAGGAGGGACCGGAACTACGTGCGTGGGTCGCTGACCCCTCACGTCCCATCTGTGTCATCGAAGGAAGCAAGCAGATTTTCCTGATTCCGGATTCGTTCCGGCACTTTTCGGTGTCCGGCAGGACTGGTAGCACCACTTCGGACATGTGGATTCCGATGGAGGGAGAGAGCGAAAGCGAGCAATCAACGATCCCCACCACCTTTGATCCCATGCTCTCCGAGCTGGTTGGAGTGGATGTTGGGTTGCTTGGCGCGGGCGAACAGCTCGGACCGGAAGGGTTCTTTCCGTTCAATGAGGAGGACGGCGGTGATATTTTCTCGGATCTCTTCAACGACGAAGAATACGATGTCGACGAGTTTGAGGCCGGATTGGAGATCAACGATTTCTTGGATCTGTCCTCTACGGAGGAGGGTGCCAGTGAGACCGGCAAGGATTTGGTGGAGGATATGTCGGATGACTGCGGAGGGGATGGCGAGGAGGATGAGGAGGATGCCCTGCCCGGCCACAATGCCGATGCCGACATGTTGTCGATTTGGGATAAGGTCAGCGTTACGGCGTTCCGCAAGCGCCAGATTCAGCACAGCCAGAAGCTGTCGTCGGCACTGCAGTTCGGAGGTAACGGGTACCACAAGGGAAAGGAGGGACGGCTTGCGGAGACGATCACGCCGACCAAGAAGAGAAGAGTTCGGCAGAAGTTCCTTGCCAGTAATCGCGGAGGAATGGGGAACAACCCGGTGGTCAGGAAGAAGCCGGCGCGGTAAAAAAAAAAAAAAAAAAAAAAAACTAGCCGGTCGGATACGGGTACGGGTTATGGCGTATTATCCGATGGAACATGGATGCCACTGCCATACACGATTGTGGGTGGGTTTTCCTGGTGTTGTCGGTACATGAAAAAGGAGCAACGGATTGAGGGGACATGAGGTCGATGGTGCAATATTTCCGGGGTCATTTTTTTCCATCTCCTTCCGGTCTGGTGTTTTTCTCTCTCTATCTGCATTCTCTATGGGGGTTCATGGCATGCGTCTGTTTTTTCTTCGATTCGAGCACCGATTGTACTTTCCTCATGGGTTTTTCCTGTTTCTTCATGGTCTTTCTTATGGTTTGGGTGGTTGTACTTTGTTTTTCCATTTCGTTTTTCATCAAAAGTTTGGGTTCTCTTGACCAGGAGGTTTCATGCATTTGCGGTTTAAATTTGCGGGCAAAGGATTCTCTCCACGATTTGCACGGGCACGGCAACGGCTACACAAAAGTCTCTCTTCCTTTTTTCCTCTGCTTGCTTTTTTTCTATCATCATCATTTCTCTTCCCTTCTCCCTCCTGTTTTAAATATTTTTTTTTTTGTTTGTGGGCGTCCTATTTCTGTTTGTTTTTTACAGCCCCAACGACTTTTCCATCCTGTTTGCTCTCTCTGTAGGTATAACTTCCTTCTGCAAAGGATGGCATTACCGAGAGACTGCCTTTTCTTCTCATGTCTGTACTGTTTGTATGGGGGGCTTTGTACCTTTCTGTCTGGTGTGTTTGGAGTCAAATAACTGCTTTTTACTGGGTTCTGCTGTTTCTATGGGGTGGGGGCGGAGGAGGGGCCGCGGGGGCGAGGGGAAAAGACGAGTCGAAAATATACTTAACTTGTGTTGAAGAGCTACATAAATGTTAAAACTTACCGAAGTGTCCTGGTGTCTGATGTCTTGATGTGTTGATGTGCGCATGCAGCAGGCTCCCGTATGTATGTTGTGGGTACTGCGGTCAGACCTAACTAACTATCTTGCCGAGACGATAGGAAGCTCATATCTTACCGAGACGATAGGATAGCTGTCAAAGTCGATATGATAGCTGTCAAGTCTCGGTACACTCCGTGAGAGCTATTGGCTACCCATGAAACATGCCCGCTCGGTGAGCCGTAGCTACAGTAGCAAAAAGTAGGGTGCGATTGATACGGGGTGAATACCGCCGTCATTTAAATACCGAAGAACTACCAGGTTTTTACTTAACCAAAACTACGGGACATTTCCGGGGCCTCCCCATACTAAATCTTTTTTCGCTTATTTATTTTGAATTTTGGTTGCCGCTCAACCACAACCTTTAAAAGAAAACGGGCTCTTTGACAATTTCAATCTCCTTCCTCTTTTCTATCGCTGTAAAGAGTTCGGTTTTTAAAATGGGTTGGCGTGAACTAACCGAACGTCATAAGTGGGGGTGCTTTCACTCCGGGACTAGATGTCCCCAACCATACATCCTACTAGCAAAGCATTACAAAGTACTACCGTATCTACATATCGCGTCTAAACGAACCAGTTCACTTCACTTGTGGTGAGCGATAGTGAGTCGACTACCCTTACTGGAGTAACGTAGGTTTCGATGTCTCGATTAGATGCTCGCAGCGATAAGATTCGCGCTAACCAGCTATCTAGATTCTAGAATAGCTACCCCTATCTATCCACAGTCTGCAGCTGCAGCTCAGTTACTACAGGCCGCACCCTCAGCCGCCATACCCTACACACCTACACACCTCGCACGGAAGAGAAACCACCAGCTGTGCTGTGTAGTGACGTCTTTCGTGTTCCCGTCCTCCGTTCCACCGTCCCACCGTCCCACCGTCTCACCGTCCCACCGTCCCACCGTCCCACCGTCCCACCGTCCCACCCTCCCTCGCACCCTCCCTTTCGCCGCGATGCAGCGCTCCACCGACCCCTTCACGCGCATCGACAGCGACAGCATAGCGTCCATCATCGCGCACGTAGCCCCGCTGGACATCATCGTGCAGCAGCGGGTATCGCGCGGGTGGCGCGCGCTGCTGGGCTCCGCGTGGATCGCGCGGCACGCGCTCGTCTCGCATTTTCCACACTCGTCGGAGACTGCCGAGATTCGCCGGCGGAGGAGGAAGGGGGAAGAGGGAAGGGATGGGGATGCGGATGGGGAGGTCGTGATGGGGTTTAGGAGGTGCGTCTACCGCTACCACACCAGGCGTCTGGGACGGCCGACGGCGATAGGACATCTGGTACTCGAGCCGTCGCTAGGCGTGCCCGAGTGGGGGACTACAGGGGGTGAGTTCTCGCTCAGTTGCTTAGCTAGTGCCCGCGCCGGCCGCGAGGAGGGGAGTGCGCGGCTAAGTGCGCGCAGATTATGTTTGCTGGGTGTCAAGGGTGGCGCTGCATTGTCAGCGCATCAGTGGCGGGATTGAGACCAGGAGGTCGACGCTGTTCATGGATGTCGTCGCGAAAAATAATCTGGCTATCACGGAGGAGGATATTGCCGCGTCGATGTTGCGGATACAGGGCGGTGAGGAGGTGGTCTCGGTCACTTTGAGTCTGTATGACGATATTGACGATGATGATGCGTCGGGGAGAAGGGCTTTGTGAGTATTGATACGTGGTTGCGACGAGGACCCGGGCGGGAGGCTGACGTTGTTACTACCTATAGTGTTCTCGTGTTTTCGCTGAAGGATCTCGAGTACCTCTGGCACAAGGCTATTGAAATGCCGTACAAACTGCTGGGAGAACCCGACACGGTAGGAGACAATTTCATATACGTGCGCAAGAAGGTGGTTTATGAATTGCTACCGCTCGAGGGAGAGCCGGAGGATGCAAAAGCCGCCGCCGCTGCTACCACCGTCCACCTCATGGTTCACGATGTGCGTACCGGCAAGAAAAACCGAGAGATACTGTTAGAGCACGGTGAGGAGATCACCAGAGGTGAATTGTTCTTCATCGTGGTATCGGATGGCAGCTTCAAACGGTTGATTGTGCTCTTCGAGCGAGATATCATGCTGGAAGATGCACGTGTCGAGGTGACCGCCCGGCTGTATTCCATCAATGACTCGACCAGTACGCCCGGAAAGCTTTTGGCAGAGTACACGATCTGTGGGAATCATAGCAACCTGGTCCCACGGGGAAGGCACCGCCAGTTCCATGCGAATTCAAGCGTCTGCGTCGAGTGTCCGGCACGCCTGGAGAAGTTTGCCATCGTGGAATCGCTCTTCGTGACTGCATGCGTGACCCGGGATGACAAGGAGAGGGCCCCCGCCGACGACGACCCAAGCTACTTAGATGAAGATGCCATCACCGACGACGTCGAGGCGGATTTCCTCCGGCTGGGCAGAGCAATGACTGGCCGACTAGGCCTCTTTGTACCACTGCACCTCAGTCCTCCCGTGACTCCGTACTGCGTATTTTCTATCACCGCATCTAAGACCGGCAAGTTGACTCTCGAGCCGAAGCGGTATCTTGCCGAGCTCTGCCTGGAAAACGACTTCTTCTGGGACGGCAAGTGTTACGAGCCGCCGCCACGCGCGCTGGATGCAACCGACACAACAAAGGCCTCTTGCCGCCGCTTCGAGGTATTCCTGCCGCTCGAGGAATGCTCCACCATCTTCTCCCAGCGCCGCAGCGGACGTCTCACCATCCACGTGGCCGAATACGAACCGCTCGACCGCGACGAATACCAGCAGAAATGGGCACACCGAACCACCGGTAGCTCTCTCCCGGGCAAGCCCTGGTCCGCATCAACTGAACTCGAAGCCAGCGCGAGCTTCGCAGAGTGTTACTCAAGCACTACCCCACCCTCACACCTCAACCAGGACACAGAAACCATAGCTTTGATGAAGCAGCGCTCACGGCACGTCCTCACCTCGCGCCGTCTCACCAACACGTGCACACCCCCACCACCCAAGGCGAACGGCGCCGGCGGCGTGATCGAAAACGTGCTCGAAAACGTCGTGCCCTACGAAATCGACCCCGCGTCCGGCGAGATCCTGGTCAAGGGAACGGTTAGTTCCCATTTCCTCCCCCATGTCCAGTGGTCGGAGAAGTGTATCACCGTGCGCACGAATTGGATGGAGATCATGCCCGATTCGGCGGATCCCGCGACGGCACATCTACACACTGGAGACCGATGGCATATGACGGGTATTGTGATGTTTGATTTCTCGCCGCCGTGGTAGCCCGGGGCGGGGGCGCTTGTATCTCGTATTACGGACTGTTTCCTGTTCCTGGTCTTGGTGGGAAAGCACGGCGGCATGGCATGATGGATGACTAGCACGGCTTTACGGAGTTTTGCGTTTATTGCGTTCTTGCCTTACCTTTACCTTGCCTTATTTGATTTTCCCTATTTCACCCCCCAGCTCTCGTTGGGTAGAGGTACATATCTCGAGCACTTCATGGACATAGGCACCCTTGGGCCTTCTTTTATTTCCGCTGTTTGTAATGGATGCATTACGCATGGGAACACATGCTGGAATCTGGATGGGCTTTTTTTTTGACTGGACTGGAAACTTGGGGCGTACGGATCGTCCGAGTGCTGGATTATCTAGGTAGCTGGGCACGTAGTACCCCCTCGGCCTCGGGGCTGCATGGGGGCCCTGGGAGGGGGGGGCAGACAGAGCCGAACGAACACCTAGGCTGCGGAATATACATAGTACATAGTACACTGTCACTGTCTCTTTCCGCCCTGTTCCTGTTACTGTAGGCTGTTCCTATTACTGTAGGCTGTTCCTGTTCCTGTACCTGTTCCGTCTCTCTCGAGAGAGAGAGCGTCCGCCGACCACCGACCGCATCACAGTGCATTGCTGAAAATGAAAGTCCCACGGTGTGCATTCCCGTCATGCTCCTCAAAGAAGAAGAAGAATGTGCATCAGCGTGCATCAATCGGCGTGATGTAGGAGGAGTAGGAGCGGGTGATCACATCGTGCGTGGGATCATGGTATGCACCTCCACCTCCACCGCGGACATTCAAGGGTGTGCACTGGGGCACTGGGGAATGCGCGATGAGATCACCATAGGGTGATTGTTCGCAGTTCGCAGTTCAGTTCAGTTCCAACCTCACATCACCTCACCGCACAGCACCGCAATACAGCCTACAGGCGGAAGTCGGCGTGTTGCTGTTCGCCCTGTTGCTTGCAGTGCACACTTGCAGTAAGGTAGACTTGCAGTAAGGTAGACTTGCAGTAAGGTAGACTTGCAGTATGTAATGTAGACGAGAGAGCATCATGGTTGGTTGGTCGCTATAATAAAATAGGTATGTCTGCAGACTGCAGGCGAGTACCCGTCTCCTCCAAAAACAATAAGGAGGAGGAGAGGGGCTCCTGGGAGCCAGTCGGGGGTAAGTGAGCACATAGCGAGCTCCTGGCTGTGGAACGGAGGCGGTTTGTGTGTTTGTGTCACTCGGAGGGACGGGCAATGCGGGGGATGGGGATGGGGATGGGGATGGGGATGCGGATGGGGGTGGCGAGATAGGTATGGTATGTACCTAATGTATGTTTGTTGATATCACAGCAGTATTGCTATCTACGAAAAGCGCAAGAGATATGTGCTCAATAAGCTATGGAGTATAAGATCATTCCCTCCTTCCGGTACTGCTTCTGTTCTGCTATTTTCCACCCAGTCTAATCCAGTCGATCAGTGCCTATATCTTCTCCGGTCCTCCAGCCCTCCAACCAGCCACCCATCCAACCAGCCATCCAATATATCCCTATTATACCTCCCTCCCTTCCCTCCCTCCCCCCACTCCATCTCCACACCACACCACACCACACCACCCGGAATGTCCGGCCTCGAACTCGGCCTCGCAATAGCCGGCCTAGTCAGCACCGGCGCGATGCCGCTGCTCACGTCGGCAGTAAAGCGATACCGCCGCACCCGTGACCGCACCCGTCAACCCCCCATTCCTGCTCCTCCTCTTCCTCCAGCAGCACCACTACCACCGCTACCGCCGCCGGCGTATGAGGAGGTATATCCGCCCGGATACTACGCCTACCCCTCTGCAGCACCACCGCCGGGGCAAACACCGCGGAAGGAGCGGGAACGGGAAAGAGAAAGAGGACGGGATAAGGGGCGGAAGAGCGGGAGCAACAGAGGGAGCAGAGGGCGGAAAGACGGGAGGGGTGCGGGTGGCGGGGAGGTGTACTACCTGCAGCACCCGAGTGCGAACGCGAGTGCCGCCTCGTGGAGCTCCAGCACGGGTATCTACCAGCTGCAGAACTCGAGTGCGTGCTCGGGGAGTTCGGGCGGGAGCTCGAGCTCGAGGGCGGGCATGGGCATGGGGTGCTCGGGCATGGGGTGCGCGGGCGGCTGGAGCTACAGCGGCTGCGGCGGCTACAACGGCTACAACGACTGCTACGGCGGCTGCTACAATGACTGCTACAACGACTGCTCCGCGTGTTGCTGTGGGCATGCTTATGGGTGCTGCGCATAGTGACGGTGGTCACTGATGGCTAAGGAAGTGCTTGGTGGAGGGTTCATATAGAGTCTTTTGTGTGTGTGTGTGTGTGTGTATGTGTGTGTGTGTGTGTGTATGTGTGTGTGTGTGTGTGTATGTGTGTGTGTGTGTGTGTATGTGTGTGTGTGTGCACTGTATCATGATAATGATTTGTATGATGATTGTGTTTTTGGTTTTTGGTTTTCTTTGAGAGGCTTTGTGCGGAGAGTTTTTTACAGTACCTATCTAGTTTTTTTTCGCGGAGGATATGTAGCGAGCGAGAAAACTTACCTCATAGTAGGCGGACGGCGACGGGGATGGGAATAATGGTAGTTGTCCGGGCAAATGAGACGAGATATATTCTTTTTTGCCGTTGTCCAGAGTCCCGCCGGAATATCATCAGAAATATCAGCCCATGTGGAGTATGTTCAAGCACCAACTCAATTCCAGACTCCAGAGTCACCGAAGGAAGGAATCCACAGTCCAGTCCACAGTCCACAGCCCCGCGCACGGGGGGAACTACGCGGGGGGCTGTGTTTTGAAGTCAAGGCCAAGCTCGATCCTCCGATCCTCCAAAGACCTCGAGTAGCATGATAGAATCATAGGTAATACTCGACCTCGTACTCGAACCTCATACGCAGCTATCCGATTCGTGGCTGTGTGCATTTCCCATGCGTCCGCGTGGCCAGCCGTGGCAAGCCGTGGCCTTAAGCAGCGAGCTCGTCCATGCGGCCAGCCAACCGCTAGCGCTCTCGCTCGTCTGGATGGTGTTCCCGCGCGGGGAAGAGGGAGGGGAGAGGCTACTATGTTGGGATAGTCGATGTTCCCCCCCACCGCGGAAACGGCTTCGTCGCGGGAAGAGTCGGTGAGCTCAAGTGCGGTTACCTGGTAGATCACGATCCGTGCTCGGAAGTGCGCTCTGTCTGAAGGGGGGATCACGAGTCTTGCCACGCCGAACCAGTGAAAATGGAGGAGATCTAAGATTGAATGCGAGACATACATACGATCAAGCAAAAAGGGCGGGGTGAACTGCGAACTTGTGCTTTCCGTCAGCGTATCGGAAAGTGGAGGGCTCCTCTCTGAATGGTTTCTACCCCGAATGGTTTCTGCCTGAGTATTCACTCCCCATCTGCACTTTTGCTCGACTACCTATTTTGCTTGTGTATGTAGGTCGTGGTGGAACATGATCACCGTCTTAGGGCTTAGGGTGCAGCTCAGCCAATGTTCTCCATGTCACGTGTCACACGGAGACACTCACCACGCTACATACCTGTCGTCTGCCACCACCATGAGAGGAGCACATGTAGGATAGATGGATGAGAGCTCTACATAGTCCGGTCTAGTCCGCCCGAACTCATGGACGGGACTGGACTACATACATCCAGTCCGTCCGGAGGTGTATGTTGGACGGACTGGTCCACCAGTAAGGTCGGACGAGACGGACTGCAGTCGACTGCCAGGACTGGTGCAAGTACATATGTCCAGCGGAATGCACGAAGGCGGTCCCGCGGAAAGGTCACTGTCATAGTTGGTAGTGAAGTGCTGAAAAGAGGGGCATTTTCTTTCACTACCGGACTGCAGTCCAACCCCGTCCAGAAAATCGGCGGATGCGACGGACTACTTTTATCCCGTCCTCTAAAAGGCACGGACGGGGCTGGGTCCTGGCAGTCCATACCGGACTATGAAGAACACTGGATATAGGATCTGATAAGATAGGAGGAAGAGAGGTTAGTCGAATCGGTGGATCCAAATGGTGGTGTCAGCCGGACTAGCCGGATCGAGTGACACCAAACGTTGTAGGCAGCGGAGGAGAGCCATATTAGCTGGCCCTTCGAAGTTGAATACAACCTCAACTTCTCCATCATCTTTGATTTTCACCGTCTCCCTTCCAGGGCTACGTCAATATCACACTCAACCACCCTCTCCGCCGAGTCGCCCACAGCAGCTCGCAGGCATCAAAATCCTCGCCTCTGATTGCACTAGACGGGACAGCGGCCTGGGTGGGTGGGAACGTCGGCACTCAGCCTTCAGGCCGCTACCAGAGGGTTTCCGGTTATTATTTCCAGCGAGACTGCTGCCGGCCATATGCAAAGGGATAACGGTGTGTCCATCGGGGATTCGGGGGCGTCGGTGGACGTTTGGTCGTTGACTCGTCGGGATTCGGTCAAGGTGGACCAAGCGCTGCTGCCGGCAATGCGGCCACGCGGCTGTGACCACTGACCTCACAGCACATACATACCTGTATGTTTGCTTATGCTATGATACATATGGTGAATTGTCGCAACTGCGCGTTGGAATTCGATATGCGCTACAGTGCCTACTTACTTACCTAGGTACTCTAGATACCTAGTACTAGTAGCTCTCACTTTTCTATCATATAGTACCCGGAATACTCCACGCACGCTTATTACCACTCCACTCGGACGGTCGCCGTCGATAGAGGACTGACGGACTGACGAGCAGACGGACGACGCATTTGCTCCGCTAGTCACGAGCACACTGCTGCCTATCCATCGTCACATACGTGTCTAGCCGCAACAGCATAACCCATTGGACAAGCCCACGGCAATTTCACAGACCGCTCGGCATCAGTCGGTCCGTCCACATACACCCACTGGGCGGCAGTATATATCATCATCATCGTTCCACCCCCCTAGCGGCCATCGTGGAGGGGGATTGTTTGCGGCCTACTGCTACGCCGCACTTCGGTAGATAGTTGGTTGACGGGCACAGGCTACCATACTTACATACTGATAAGAAAGCAAAAAGCTGACCAGCCAGCGCAATGCATGCCCACTTGCCATCATGATCAAACGGGATCGGAGCTGTCGATTGTGAGTTGAGCTTGTCATACCTGAGTGTCAAATATGAAGGGGGAGAGGGGGAAGAGGGGAAGAGGGGAGTGCGAGCCTTGAAAGCCAAACATAACTTACGGAATGTCGATCCCATATCACATTTTTCTGCCTGATATCAACTTTCATTTGACAGGCACGAAGCAGCCAATGACCTCGCTGACGATTTCCGACAGAAGAAAAGTGGACGAAAAACATCTCACTAGCTCCGATCACTGTCTTATCGATAGTTGGACCTCGCACAGGCGACCCAATCGGAGTGACTTCTCATGCAGTGGACATGTGGTGCATGATGTCTCGCACATCAGCATCATACATATACATACCTCCTACATACATATATCGTCATCTTCGTGGGATGGTTTCCTGTGGGCCGCAGCGCTGATTGGCTGCTCCACTCGCTGAACCCTGTACTTACGCGAATCGCTTTTCAGGGCGAGAAACCATGTTTATCATACCTGCTCTAGTGTATGATCGGGGTCAGACACTTGCACACGGACGCATCAAACCACCGAGCAGCCGACTGTATTGTGTGGGGGAACGCGGGGCACTCGCCGTCTTGGATACATTTGTAGCAATTGGAACACGGCAAATTGTCGGTATGTACTATGACCGAGACTTTTCTTTTCCCCCACCCGTTCGGAACCAAAGCAGAACGTCGCTGCCGTCCTGGCCGTTTGTTCATGCAGCTTGAGTACTGCAAATCACAGCCTAGGCACCCCTTCCAGCGAATTGGGAAACCCCATTCTCGTGCGAAGTTTTATCCATCCATAGGATATTCTGAACGTGAAGCCTGGCTTCGCAGTCTCTCGTGAGGACAGGAAGGGACATCCAAGGCCTTTATCGACCGTGCATGCCTACCTACTTACCTACCTACCGTACTGACTCCAAGCGCAAGTCCAATCGATCGCAAACGAAACTGAAGATTTCTTTTCTCTCTCCTAAGTCGGAACGATGCCGGCGTAGGCCCGTAGGCCCGTAGGAAGGAGTCCGGATGCAACCAGTTACCACAGACCGATATCTAAACTTATTTATGATCTGCAGGGGGATAAAAGCTGGAGCCGAATATAACAATATAACAGTACGGTGCCAATGGCTACGGCACGGCGGCCATTTGGCTGAAGCTTATCCGACAACCGCCCATCCGATTCGCTGCACAGTGCACCGTGCTCCGAAAACCCGGTATGTATGTAGGCATGTATTCCTACATACATCCATGAGACTCCGACGGGCATGGTTTCGAGTTGAAACTTGAGATCATTGCTGACACATGATGATGAGGAAGATCAGCACCCTATAGTACAGTACAATTCAACTCTGCTGCACGCACGCAACAACGGTGTTGTAGGTATGTACTGTATATGGCATCAGGCATCAGGCATGATGGCTTCCTCCTCTAGCCAATCTGATTTGCCCACTAACTACTGCGAGTATCTTTGGAGCTTTTGTCACTCGGGCCCAATACGAATGCCACCATAGGAAGCCAGAATACCTACAGCCTACAGGATCACGACTCACGAGCTAGCCGGTGCAGCTAATTCGGTACTCGGATGACGTTCCAGAATGGAGTGGGGGACAAGTAAAGATTATCCTCCAATGACACGAAAGTTCGGTGGTATCGGGGTTCGTCCAGTACATACCTCCCTATCTAGGGTACATATATTGCGGACACCGATGCCGGCAACCTGGAAATCTGGCTAGATACAGTGCAGACGGACCTGATATCTCCACGGTCCACCAGGAAAAAAGTGGTGGCTGCAAAAACTACAGACAAACCTGGAGCTCGGTCTGGAGTCTGGACGCCACGTGCCCCACCAGCATCGTACGGTTGTTTTGATACCTATGGACCTACTAACTAGTATGTATAATACCGACTTCCAATGTGTTTCCTGGAACATGCATGTATGAGGATGAGGTCCGCCGGATTCTCCACCGGCCGGGAATGCACTACCTTTCACTTTCAACTCGGATTGATTTCGTTTGTGTGCTTCTGCTTCCGCTTTTGCTGCGTGGAACATCGTGTTAGCCTACCTGGAGGCTGGCTACCTACTACCTAGCAACTACCCCATAACATTTTGACTGCGCGTTACGATGGGATCGATATCGCACAATCGGAGAGTAGTTATGATACGATAATCATAAAAGGAAAACACATGCAGCCTCAGAAGTTTGATATACATACCTTACCTAAGTATGCACCGAACTGCCGGGCCTTACGAGCAATTATACGTACTTTACATACCGGTACTCTACCCATGGTACATAACCAACAGCCTGTGGCCCCCACGCATGCACAGCACAGCAACACAAACAAATCTGATAGGGCGTCTTGCCCTGCATTGGTTTGGTTCAACTACACGGGTGTCGGGTGTTCCTGGCGTGGCGCGAGAGAGACGGGTGGGTGGATTAGGCGCTGTGGGACTGTGGGACATCATTGGTGGTTTCGTTTGGTGGGGGGGAGGGGGTCACGTACAGGACACGAGGATTGGCTGCTTTGCGGGGGGTACATACCGTGGCTCTGCACCGTCAACGGGAGGGGAAGCGGCGAGGGGGGCGGGGACAAGTCGGCAGTGCATCACTGCAGTGCTTGAGGCTTGAGCCACTTGCCAGCAAGGCGATCAGCCACAACTTAACAGCTTAACAGCGGCCAGTTCCGGTAAGTTGGCGTTAACTAACAGCTGACAAGTAGCGGTAAGAGTTCCTTCTACAGTCTCCAGTCTCCACTCTCCAGCATAAACGTCGTTAACCGCTTCCTCCCCGGGCTCCTTCCCTTCTCTTCCCTTCCCTTCCGTTCCCCTTGCTGCAGCATGATCGACGTACCTACATACATACATAAATTCCTTGTGCGCGTTTTCGAGCCTTAAACGGCGTCCCCAATCCCCGCATCTCAAGTAGGAGATTGAAGCCAGGACAACGAATCCACAGGATTGCAGTATGTGGGTAGTTAGCCTCGGGCTTTTCCCCTTTTTTCTTCATGTTCGAGAGGATCTGATATCCGGTCCGGGGATTGCGACTGACGAATCGCGTTGGAGAACGGAGAAGGAGAAAAGTTTAACCAACTCGGGCGGGGAGATGGTACGGTAGGGCGTTGTAGGATGGGGAGGAGGTGGGGGTGGGGGAGGAGGAAGGGTAAGTTGGAGATCCACGTTATACATACGGTACGGTAGCAAATGATCATGCCAACGGATGGGGGATGGGTTAACTACTCCCGCGTGTCGGTCTCACTGACTGCTGACAGTTTTTGTGCACGGGGTAAAGACGGATACGGCACAATACGGGGGGGCATGATGGTGGTGCTGATGGTTTGAACGGATAACTATGTATCGCAACTCCTGAAGAACTGGCAGCTGGCAGCTGGCCTCTGTTGGATGGTTACATACCGGTATTCTGTGCGATGGCAAGTGTGCATTCCCATTGGTCGATGGAACCAACGCTAACTAAGTTACTGTGATATGGTGGTACTCTACATAGCCCACATGGCCACCACCACCACCACCACCACCACCGCAGTTGCTAAACGATCGGAGTGGAGTGGCCATCACATCACATCACCAGCTCGGAAAAGAGATGAGGGCTGGGCAGTGGGTACGTCTACATACATGCCAGCCCGGGAACGCGTGGGACTGCCTACATGTGAGTTGGGTATGGTACTTACCTGGATACTTGTCTACTTGCACAACTCTCATCTGATCTTATACACGTACATAACTGACCCGTCTGTGCAGGGTTAACCACCAACTACTACTAAGTAGTACATATCATACTCCACGTCTGCTGTCCAGCATCACAGAAACCGATCCTCCTCCATCGTTAGTTAACTACTAGTACTCTCGGTCTTGCCCCAGTTCAGAGTTCAGATTGCTACCTATAGGTATGTCACTAGAGTGCTCTCCTTCATCACTCCTCACATCTCATAATTCCTTCCCCCCCACCGTTTGACGTTTCCACCGCCTCCGGCCAGCCATCCAGCCAGCCAGCAGTCGATAACCATCTATCGGAAAGCCCAAACAGGATCTCGTCCCCCGTGTCCCCCGTGCCGGCCGGCCACTATTATTTTGGATCACTCGGCAAGTTGACGCTCGGACTTCACCCCGTTGTTGAAATCGTTGTTGTTGTTGGGACGATTCAAGAAACCGCTCGCGGAAGTGCACACAGGAATGGAACGGGGACAGCAAAGTGCAGTGCAGCTGGGGAAGCTGGGGGAGCTGAGAGCTGGAGCTGTTGAAGCTTGGTGGCAGTTTTTTTCTTTTCTTTTCTTTTTCTTCTTTTACTTTTTCAGGTCGCTCTAGTGTACCTAATCTAACTAACCTAAGTACTTCTTAGTTAAACAATCTGCATCTACCGACTACCAACCACCAACCACACCCAACACACACACACATCCACAGACACACACTCATCGATACGATACATCATACTCTGTTCTACATACATACCCGTTCCCAGGTAGTGTCTGGCCCGTTTCTTTGGGTTTTGGGGTCTCGGGAATTGCATTTGCAGCTCATACTCTCTCTTGCATGCAGCACTTGCAGCACTTGCAGCTGGCCCGCACTTCTTTTTTTTTTGGCTTAGCTAGGGGGGGTGGTATCCCTAGTTACCTTTGCCCTGTCTGTCTGTCTGTCCGCCTACTCACAGGAGCTTATTTACCTGATCAAAGAGCGGACGTTGCCGCTGGGCTGAGTATAACTTTCTGTGGACGGGCCTCTCTTGTCAGTCCTTTCCTCTCCTGCGAATCCACCTACAAATCGGACCGTCGTGTGTGTGAGCATTGAGCCAGCCCCCAGACAGCCAGCCCAGACAGCCAGCCCAGAATACCATCTATGCCATTCTCCCACCACAGTCACTCGGGACAGTTCTGTCACCATGCCAAGGACACCCTCGAGAGCATGGTGAGAACCGCCATCTCCCGCGGGATGCGCGTGTTCGCCCTGACCGAGCACATGCCGCGGGACCAAGTAGAAGATCTCTACCCGGAGGAGGTACATCACCCGTCTCCCGCACTCCACGACATATCCGCACGCACTAACACCTCTCGCAGGTCTCAGCGCAAGCAACCAACTTCGACCTATTCCACACTTTCGCCGCGTACTACGATGCGGCCATCCTCCTGCGCGGGCAGTACCAGGCGCACATCCAGCTTCTCGTCGGCTTCGAAGCCGAGTACATACGGCCGTCATCGATCGACATCGTGCGGGACCTGCAACCGATCTACAAGTTCGACTTCTTCGTGGGGTCGGTGCACCACGTCAACACGATCCCGATCGACTTCGACCGGGCGACGTACGAGCGCGCGCTCGCCTCGTGCGGCGCCGGCGACAAGGAGGAGGTCCTGTTCGAGCAGTACTTTGATCACCAGTACGAAATGCTGACGCAGCTGCGCCCCGCCGTCGTCGGCCACTTCGATCTCATCCGGCTCATGGCGAGGGATCCGACAAGGGAAATACGCAGCTATGGCGACGCCGTATGGAAAAAGGTGCTCAGGAACCTCGACTTTGTGAAATCCTACAACGGCCTCCTGGAGATCAATTCCGCCAGCTTAAGGAAGGGCTGGGAGACGCCGTATCCCGGCCCTGATATCTGCTCCGTACGTCCCCTCCCCCTTCCCCCTCCCCCTTGTCACTGATGAGAGAAGGCTTTCATGTCCTTCGACGGCCGCTTCACGCTCAGCGACGACGCGCATTGCAACGAACAGGTCGGATTGAATTATGAGCGGACGCTGGATTATATGAAGCGATTGGGCATGACCGAGGTGCACTATCTGGAACGATTGCCGATGGGGGAGATGGCGGTCGATGTGCTGGATGCGTGTGCGGTTAGGAGGATGTGCATGGAGGACCTGGAGAATGAGGTGTTTTGGTTGAGTTGATCGGGTGTGGGTGAGGGTGTGGTGGGTGGTGGTGGTCGGTGTATGTAGATATAGGGTGGTGGTGGGGGATGATTGGAGATACGGACGGGTTATTTAGCCAGACTTCAGATGAATGGCGTCATCTGGCGTTAGCATTCCCGAGAGTGAATGAGTGATGGGGGAAGGGAACATGATCGCCCATCCATGCATGCCTTGTCATGTCTCAACATCGCAGACAAAAAGAAGTTCCCAGTCATCCGTCATTCACTCTCACTACACCGACTAGAAGAGAAGAGAGGTCCATTCAAATAAAATAGCTAATCGCATCAAAGCATCTATCCACTCAGGTCACTCCTCATTCACACTCGAAGGGAGACATCACTGGACCAAACCAAAAAAAGGTAACCACTCTAAAGAAACACCATCTACCCACCCCCACATCTACACAATCACCATCTACACTCACTTGACTCCCGGCACTTACACCATCAAGTACAGTGGCCTCTTGACTCCCATCCCGCTGCCATCACCACGCACCGTCTTGGCCACATACGCATATCTCATCCGCGGACACCCCTCAGTAACGCTCCAGCTCTGGAGTCCATAATACTGCGCGATGGAATGCAACAACCACCTCCTACGAAACACATCAGTCTCTGTACTCGCACCCCAGGAACGGAACGGAAAACATACCCAAATCCGGCACCCCTGTCCTCCTCCGCACTCGCAAGCAAGACCTTCTCGACGACCTTAACCTTCTCCCTCTGCGCGTCAGCGCCGGGAGCGGCGTGCTGCACGCCACGACGCCCCCGGCCCACGAAGACGATCTCGTCCTCCTCCGAGTCCTCGTCCTCATTAACGAGGACAAACCCCTCCTCCTCCTCGACCGCCGCGTCCTCAGCCCTGAGAAACTCAATAACCTCCCTCTCCAGGCTCTCCAGCAGGACACGCGCACACGGCGCCTTCTTCAACCTCCTTCTAATTTCACGTGGCACAGCAGCCGCCTCAACCATCTTCCTTTCTTTCTCCCTCTCATTCTCCTCGGCACTGCGACCAGCCTCGATCCCCGCCCACAGGCACGCAAACTCGTAGTGCACCCGCTTGTGCGCGTGCGTCGCCCCCGGCGCCCAGTCCCCCGCGCTCGGCGCTACGAACGCCGGGTTGCCGACCAGCCGCGCGTTTTCCCAGCGCTGACGGCGCCGCGTGCCGGGGGGGCCGCGGGGGTCGCGCGCGGTGGTGGAGGGCTTCGGCGCGCGGACGGGGGGGATGGCGGCGCTGGGTATGGCGGCGGAGGGCGCGGCGGGAGTTGGAGGTAGAGCGAAGTTCGGCCGGAGAAGGGACAGCTCCGCGGCGGTGATCGGCGGGTGGATGGTGCTTGCGTGGGTGGGGGTGAGGATCGCCATTTTCCTTTGCTTGGTTGGGGTGGAGGTGGAGGTGGAGGTGGCGGTGGAGGTGTTGTTGTTGTTGCGGGGATCTGGGGCGGAGAGGAGGGAGTATGGAGTGGAATGGAGTGGGAACGGGATGGGATGGGAGGGAGGTAAGGAGGAAGGGGAGCTATGGGAGGTATGGGAGGTAGGGTTGGATAGGAGCTCTAGGTGTCTACTCTAGATATCGGATGTGACTCCGCTTCCGCTTCCCGACCGAGCTCTAGAGTGGAATCCAGATTGAGTTGGCTTGGGGTGGAATATGCTCTACTTTATCTACTCTAGGGGCGAGATGCAGGCTTTAGCCTATCTAGCGCTGCTGGGTATCACGGCTACAATAGCCATGTGAAAGCGGTCATGTGGGAGCGAGTAGGTCATCGTGACTCAACGAGACTCACTTCAATCCCACCTATCATACTACCAGTACATACGAAAAGCAGGAAACAAAATTGAAATACAAAATTCAATCAGGATATCTGTCGAACGGAGCCAAAACGAAGCCAAAACGGGAAAGAAGTATATCTTACAAAAACGCAACCATAGGAGTTGCGGAAGGAAAGATGGGGCAAAAAGGCTTCCAAAACCGCGCAACGAAAACGCATCCATTCTACTCGCCATCAGGGATAGTAGTATCTTCGATAGCGGTAGCCATGGTGTCGTCTCCCTCCTCCCCACTTCCCTCATCATCCTCTTCAGTCTCATCGTCGTCCTCAATAATCGGGGGCTTCATGAGGATGGTATGGATCTTTTGAAAGAACCTTGCCGCGTGATCCCTCGAAAAGCTGATCTCCTGGCGGAGGTAGTCTGGTAACAAAGAGATCACGAATTCGTCCCGCTGCTCGTTGAGAATGGGCATGAAGACGTAATCTTCGTCGTCTTTATCATCCGAATCTTCACCGGTGCCGGGGGGCTTGGATTTACGAGCGGTATTTGGAGCGCGGACATTGAGGCGGAAGTGGAGTGCTGCGTATCATATCAACTTCCTGTAATCTTCAATTGAGCTCGGAGTGGAGATGACTTACTTCCATTCGTCCCGGTCTGCAGGCACTCGAACACATGCGTCTCGGCGTCCTTCTTGATAGTCATAATCACCAAGTTCGTGAGGTCCTGATACAGTTCCTCCTTGACTTGGGACTTCCAGGCATGATCACCCGCGATGCCCGCCATCGCCATTGCCACCACGCCTCCGCGACCGGGCTTCATAGCACTCCCGGGCACCTGAGTCCTGCTCGACTCGGCAGCCGTCAGCTTCGCCTGCAACACCTGATTATCCTTCTGCGCTGTAGCCACGGTCTTGCTCAGCTCCGCGATCTTGACCGAAAGCTTCGCGTTCTCGGCATCCTTCGCCGCGAGCTTCTTCGTTAACGAGCGCGACTCCGCCGCCAGCGCCGTTTGCGCCGCCAGATCGGCTTGCAGCGCCGCAATGACCTTGCCCGCATCTACACGCAGCGCATTAGCCCAGCCCAGCCCCACCCCACAGCCTTCCATTTCTTTCCGGATGACATACCAGTTTGAATAGCCTCGCTGTTCCTCACGAACTCCTCCAGCCGCTCCTCAGCCTCGATCTTCCGCATCTCCTCCAGCCGCAACAGCTCCTTACGCCTATCCACCAGGGCACCCATCTTCCGCGCAGCGGGCACAGACTCAACACAAACATCGTGCATGTAGACATCCTGCGTCTCTGCGATCTCCACCTCGACCACCTCCTTCTTACCGCGCTTCGACTTCGCCACTGCCACCTCCTTCACCTCCTCTTCTTCCTCCTCAGCTTCAACAGCCGCAGCCGCGGGTGCAGCCTTCCTCCCCCTCCCCTTCGCCTTCGCAGCCACCACCTCAACAACGTCCACCGGCAGCGCAGCAGCTTTCCGCCCCTTCTTTGCCGGCGGCGCGGCCGCAGCAGGTGCACCCCGCTTCTTCCCGTTCGCGGATGCCTTGCCGTTCGTTTTCACCGCCGGCGCTGTCTCCATCATCAGTCCACACCTTCCCACCTCCCGACCGTGCAGAAAAAAACAAAAGAAAGAATGGAATGGTACCTTGCGCAGCCGTAAGCTCGTCCTCCTCCCCCTCCTCCATTTCCTCTTCCCCCTCCCCATGATCCTCCTCCCCATCCTCCTCGTCGTGCTCGTCGTGCTCATCCCCGCTCGCCCCCTCCTCCTCATCGGTAATACCCCCCTCCTCCTCGGTATCGTCGCCGATCATGGCGCTGATAGTGCTCGTCCTCTTTGCCGCTGTCTTTATCGCTTTCGGCTGCGCTTTCGCCTTCGAATTCGCCCTGGCTTTTGGCGCGGCCTTGGCCTTGGCCGTAGGTTTTGTCGCTGCAGCGGCGGCTCCGGTGGTGGGTCGGCGACGGGGCGGCATTGTTTCTGTAGTTTTGCTGTTGAATGAGAAATGGGCGGGCGTGGTGGTGGGGTTCCAAAATTACGTGTTGTGTTGTGTTGTTTTCGTTGATGTGATGCCACGAGAAGAAGAAGAAGGCGACGCGACAGGACGGGACACGCTAGCGATGCACGCGGTGGCGGTGCACGGGACGGGGAACTTGGAAGGGAAGGGAAGGGGAAGGGAACTTGGAAGTGTAAACATGCCAAGGCAAACTATCCACCCTATCCACACTGCACAGCTATGGCCAGCGGGTTATCCAGGACTACATATCCTATGCTGGAGCACAGGTATCACCGCTTCTTCGTATGTACTCTACATACAGCATCCAAAGAGTGAGGCTCAGAAAAAGTAAGTCTATATGTAATTCACTCCGCTCCCATCTGTGCAGTGTAGTACCGTATCTCCTCTTCCTCCATTCTCACAGGATACACAAAAATCCACATACCCCAGCGAACTACAAGCTGTCTGTCTTCTCAATGTTGAATGTGGGGGAGGGCAAATTAAGTCAGGGCAAAGGCAAGGCAAGGCAAAGATGACATCGAGAAAAAAAACACCGCCGAAAAAGATACGAGATCGAATGGAAATCAAGATACAAAAAAAATGGGAAAAAGCGCAAGGGCAGCACAGCACAGCACAGCACGTCAAAGAAGGCAGGCACACAGACAGACAAGAAACAAACAGCGGGCAATCCCCCTCTCCATCCCCCTCCGGGTTCCTCCACAAGTTCCTCAAAAACAAAATACGCCTTAACATGGGAACCCTCCTCCTCCTACACACGCTACACGCTCAGAGATGTCCTGGATCTCGGATACTGCCCGGTGCATCCGACGTCAACTGGCCCGGACGGTTATAACTCCACCCGGTGAACTGCTGCTGAACCGATTGACTCAGGAATTCGCCGTCGACGACGGAGTCTGCGGGCATCTCCTGCGTGAACTCTGGATCGAAGTTCTTGGTGTCCATAGCGTCGAGCTTGATGGAGGTTAGCGTCGATCGAGACACACGTGACGACGAGGTTACTTACCACATTGGGACGGAACGTGGGCTGGATCTTCTTCTGGAGTAGCCTCCTCCAATCGATACTTTCAAAGAACCTGTGCGATTTGATTTCCGCAGCACCGTTGGCGCCCAATCGCTTGGCGGGGTCGCGATCCAGCAGTCGGATCAGCAATGACCGTGCGTGTGGGTCTATGTCTGGTGGGAACTGGAGCGGATCCTGTAGGATCTTCTTGTACATCTCGTTCGTGTTCTCATCGTAGAATGGTGGCAGGCCCGTAAGCATCTCGTACAGAAGCACTCCGAGCGTCCACCAATCGACAGTCTTGGTGTATCCCTGTCCGAGGAGTAGCTCGGGTGCCAGATACTCCGGCGTACCGCAAAAGGCTGAGCTCGCAATCAGCCATGCACCGACGAACGAATGATAAGGGGAAGAACATACTATTGGTCCGATCGTCCTCCTTCATGTTCAGCTTGCACAGACCAAAGTCGCAGAGCGCAATGTGTCCAGTGTAATCCAGCAGAATGTTCTCCGGCTTCAGATCCCGATAGATGACATTGAAGCCGTGCAGACACTCGAGGGCACAGAGAAGCTCGGCCGTGTAGAATCTCGCTCGGTTGATGTCGAACTTTCCTTCTCTCTGGAGATGGTGGAAAAGCTCTCCTCCGTTAACGAACGCCAGGACAAGGTACAGCTTCTCGGGCGACTGGAACGAGAACTTGAGCGGCACGATGAAGGGGTTGTTAATCTGCGCGAGCACGGTACGTTCCGCGAGGGTATGGTTGACCTCTGAGCGAGAGATGATGTGCTGCTTGCGGATGGTCTTGAGGGCGTAGATGCGTTGGGTATCGCGTTTCCTAGATGGCCGTCAATGCACGGACTCTGCTGCTCGTCGAGACATCGCAACGTACTTGACCTGCATAACCTTTCCAAAACTGCCCTTACCTACAACCGTCATCAAGTCGAAATCGCTCATGCTAAGCGGCATGTCCTGATTACGCCTGTACTCGACACCGATCTTGACGCTTCCTGACGAGTTGGAAAACGGCACCCACTCGGTCCCACTAAGACCTCTGGCCGGCTGCTGCTTCTTTGCGCCCTGGACAGGCTCCTCGAAGCTAGGCAGTATCCTGCAGCTGCCCAAAAACACGTCCTCGTCACCAACGCCTCTGGGGCCGGGATTCCGCATGTAAATACCGACGCTCAACTCTGCCTCCCTGCTGACATCGAACTTGAACTGAGTGGTGCCGCCAGCAAACATGGGAGCATCGGGCACACCAGAGTTGGCATTGACAACTACCTGCGTCTTGTCGAACTCCATGACACAGTACGTTCTGAACAGCTTGGAGAGGTGTCGCGAGTGTCCCATGTTATTGTTTGACGTTCCCGGCCTAGATGTGTTGCCTCCCGTGCCGCCAGACGAAGGGGGTCGCTGCGACGAGCCCGCCTGTGCCGGCGGCAGTGTCAGGCCCTTCGCCTCATGGAGTGTGACAATTAGAAGACCGGGCTTGACAGTGGAAGTCAATGATGCATCCTCCGGATTACTGGAAGTAGCTGTTCCCTCTCCCTGCACAAGGGTTGAAGTCGATGACAGTGCTGCCTTATCCAATGAGTTTTGTGTGATGGTGGATGTCGAGGCCGAGCGCGATTTGTCCGAGGATGATGATGTGCCCAGGTGAGTTTCCTTGAGCTCTGCAAGCAATGTCTCTGTCAGCAAACCATTCCGCTTATTCTTGATCTCCCTCTTCTTTTCCTGTTCCTCCTTCTTCTCCTTCTTCTTCTGTTTCTTCTTGAGCTGCTTGTCCTTCTGCATTCCCCACGGGGATATGGGAGCTGAGGGGGAGCTCAGAGCTGATGAAGCTTTGGAACCGCCTGGAGAGGGAACACCACGTTTTAGAGACTTCGGCAGCTTCCAAGAAGACATTATTGCTTGATTTTTTATTGATAGGCTTCTAAGTTCGGGGTGCGAAGACAGCCGTGGAGAAGTGTGCGGGGGAGGCGGACGGAGGTCGTGGTCGAGTAGCAATAGGTAGAAGAGGACTCGGAGATGTATTGACTTTCCAGTCAGGGGGGAGTTTTTCTAGGAGTGAATCTGTTTCGAAGGGGAGAAGAAGGAGAGGAGAAGGAGAAGTAGAAGGGAAGAAACAAAGTCAGCAGCAGTACACGACTCCGGGTATGTAACGTATGGGCGGGCGGAAAGCGGGAGGACGAGGCGAGAGGGGGGTAAGTTGGATTTGGGGGTGGGTGCGATCGATGGTAATGGTAAGGGGACGGGGATCCGGCGGCGGCGAGGGGGGTGGTGGGAGGGAGGATGCGGAGCTAAGCAACTGCTGGCGTCCTTTTCTTGGGGGGCGAAGGGTGTTGCTGTTGCTGCTGCAATTGGCTGCTCTTCCTCTGCTCTGCTCTGATCTCCGGCTGTGGTGGACGGCGAACAGTGCACGCCTCTCGCTCGGCTGGGGAACTTCAGCACCCTGGACGAGAGAGTGCTGATCGAGTGAGAAGGCTTTGTTGTTGCTGTCGACAGAGCAAAAGGAAAGGGAGAAGGAGAGCGGGGAGCTTCACGCAGAGTTCCCCTCATTCTGCTTCCTCACACCTTACTAAGCCTCAACTCAAACTCAACTCACATCATCACACACCAGCATCCCGTCCGTTCGGTGGGAAATTAAGTTACAGTTGGGTACATCCTCCTCTAGTGTGGCAAACTCCACGTGAGACTCCATCTGACCGTGTATCGTACATAACACGTATGATCATACCCACTTACATACTGCAGAGTATGTACCTAATCAAGCAAGCAAAGATACGTACTCGTTCTCGCCAGAATCTCGCCAGAATCGTTCATACTCTACATCCTAAACACAGTCCGGCCACAGGTACCTAGAGCGAGGAGCTCATTCAAACACCGCCGAAACCCAGCCATGACACCGAGTTGAGTTCAGACATGTAACGGACCCTTCCCCTTCCCCCTCGCCGCAAGGCCGCACGGCCCTCCCCTAGCAATTCCCTCAACAATCTCCGAACAACTTCCCCTCGCTCCCCCCTCAACACACCAGGGTCGCCTCGCGCTTAACACCCGCCTATATACGTCGCGCTTCCCCCCCCCACTACAACCCGCTCCTATGTATCGCATCTTTATTCCTACATAGCCACGGGGAACGCGCGGGGCTCGGCTGCCTCGTGTATAGTACTCTCTCTCGGCGTGTTTATTCCGCCGAGCGTTCTTTCTAGGGGGTGGGGGGGCAGGTGGGCCGTAAAGCGGGTGCTATGTATCCCCGCCGTGAGGGTTTGTAGCAGGTACCCAGGTCGCGCGGGCGATTGCGAGGCTGAAGGTTATGTTATGCCTGTGAATGAGCGCGAAGGGAGGGAGGGAGTGCCGGTGCCGGGGTGGTGGAGTCGGACATTGCAGTAATTTGCCTTGCTCTCGAGAGTCGAGGCGGAGGGATAGGTCGCGGATGGTGTCATTATACATACTCACGTTGGCCGCTCGCTACTTACCCATTATTGAAGCACGGCAATGATTCGATTTGACAGTGGAAAGATCATGTCACTTCTAGGGAGGTGGAATTGGGAGATTTCGCATTTCGCATTTCAACAAGCAATCGTATTCCATCATCCATGGTATTTACATACATGATATGCTTTTGCCTCCACCCACCACTGCACCCACCACATACACACAAAATCATATCATAAGCAAACTCCCCTATCCCCCAACTCGCATCACTAGACCACCCAACCAACCAACCAAAGGGAACGGGGAAAAAGGGCCACGCCAGACCAAAGCAAAGGTATCGTAAAGTACAAGAAGCAACACCGAGAGAAAAAGAAAGCGTGCGGAAAGAAAAGAAAAGAAAAACAGCACAAACATTACATGTCATATCATAACCATCCGAAAAGAAAACGTTATCATCGTCATAACTTATGGTTTGCCAAGGATGCCGCCTGCTTTGCCGAGGCCAAGTCGTCGCCGCCAGGCGGGTTGCGTCCATCTTTCTTTGATGCGGTCGGGCTCAAGCTTGACTTTTCCTTCGACGAAGCCGTGGATACCCTGGATTACAAGGTATGCCGACGACCCGATCATGCGGTACAGTGCCAGGACGGCGATGGACCAGAGGGTAACTGTTCTGAATTAGCATCTGTATTTCAAGGTCACGTCGGCGACTAGAGGGCAACTTACACTTGAGATACCCGTTGTCACCAACATCGTTGATATTGTAAACTTCCGTAACAATCATCGCAAGGACGGCATTGGCCACCATCCACACGACGACGACATACGTTCTGACAGCGCGATAATAATCCTCCTTGATCTGCTCTTCGGTGATGGGCAGCTCCTCGACTTCAAGACGATCCCGGAGGTTCCTGAGTGCCTCGTCGTATCCGCTATCAATATCCAACTGCTCACTCGGCATCTCCAACTCGACAGCACCGTTCTTGGTTGCGACGGCGGCTCCTAGATCGACCGATTGCATGTTGTCACCCTTGGTTCCCCAGGACACGTCGTGGGTGTTGCAGAAGGCATAGACTTGGAGGGTACAGATGTAGGAGGGAAGCATCATGAAGTACTGCAGCGACGACGTGAACATGTGCCATGGGTCGAAGTACAGGAAACTCATGAGGAAGTAGACACCGATGGTGGAACCGGTGGAGACGATAAGGTTTGTAAAGAGGTTGTCTCCAATTTTTAGCTCGGTCGCTTCGCCATTGACACCCCCCGTGAAGGACTTGATGACGATGTAGCAACTGCAGAATGTGGTGTATGCCATGATGATGCCGTACAGTATCATGGAGGATGCGAACATTCGCTTTGCACCCTGCGGACGGTTACCCATACACAGGATGAATTGCGTGCAGATCAGAAGGATGCAGAGGAAACGCAGGGCGATGAAGATGCGTCCTCCCCATCCATTGCCGAATGGATCCATCCTATCATCCGATAGAGATCCAGCGATGAAGTAGAACATAAGGTAGAAATTGGCCTGTTCCATGACGGTTAAAATCCAATCACTACACCAAGCCGGGGTCACTTACCAGAGAGAAGAACGTAAACAACAAGCTGACAAACTGGTAAACGAACTCCAGATGCAACAAGACCTTACGGACGACGGTATGATCCGTGTACCACACCTGCTTGAAGTGTACGAGCGAGTAAATGGCAGCGAAAAATGCACCGTTCAGCCATCGTCGACGCTGAGAGACAAATTCCGGCACGGCATCTGGCACGTCGGTCTCTCCTGTTGCACTTCTCACATATTTGAGCACCCACCGCTCACTCTTCTTGGCCACCAGCTCCCAGCACAGAATTCGATCCTCGGCCAGATACATGTTCGCGGTAAAGACATCCGCGTCCTTACCGTGTAACGTCTCTCCTTTGAAGTATTGCGCCAGTGGTCCACAACCGTTCTCGTCGTTCTGAAGTGCGTGATATCGGTACGCCGAAAGAGCTCCTGGAAGCACGGTAATGTATCCAAATACCGACTCGAGAGGCTTATCCAGGATGTTGGACATCTTGTACTCGAAGTTTTGTGATGCGACAAGGGGGTTGAAGAGACCCATCCAACCTCTTCCTTTCATAGCTTTGATCTCACCACAGGCTCCTCCAACCTCGGAATCTCTGTCGAAAGCTTTCCACAGATGGTACAGACTGTCGCCTCCAGGCTTGGTGCCGACATCGAGGAGAATGCACACATTCGGCGAAAGCGATGCTCCGAAAGCGTTAAAGAACCATCGGTGGGAGTTCAACTTCTTTGCGTTCTGCTCCTTCAGGCAGAAGATCATCTGTACCGGGACGATTCCTTTCTCGGCGCCCTTGAACTTCAGATCCGAATCCAGCGAGACCTGCGTGGTGTACTCATACACGTGTGCCTTGACGGGACGACCATTGACCAAATTCTTTGCGATACCGGCCTGGTAGACACCCATTGCGGCCAGGGCATCGAGGACTCGCGGGTGCACCTTTTTTCGCCCGTCGGCAACAATGCAGACGACGATCTTGTGCCATCCCTCCTTTCCCCAGACTCTGGACTTGTTACGAGAGCAGAAGTGAGCAATGTTCCTCATCACACCGTGCATGGTCCTGGTGAAGCATTGCTCGTCCTCGTTGTACATGGTGATGCAGATGAATAGCTCCGTCTCTCGCCGTGTCGGGTCCATGTTTTGACGCAACATGTATCCGCGTTTGACGAAATCATCGGGATCGCAGGTAACGGCGGTGTACCGCATGTGCGTGAATTCCATCTCATCCCGGCGAGGGAGGAAGGAATACAAAATCGTCGGAATCTTACAATCAAGGATAAGCTCACCGTTGATAAGCTTGACTTGCTTCTTGGTCATGAGCGCTTCGCGATTGAGACCTCGTCTAGCCTGGGGCGCCTGCGGGGCGGGTCCGAAATGCTCTCCCTTGGTGCGAGTAAGGCGGCCGGCTTTTGCCTTCTCAGGATCAACCTCCTCATCTTCGACATCGGTATTTTTTGCAGTCATCTCTGAGTTCAATGACTTTCCAGACACTGAGTTCCCGGCGAACGAATTGGTAGACATCGTGTTCGTCCGTTCAGTCATATCTAGCGAATGCCCCCTATCCCGACCGCGACGGGGAGTATACCGGGAATCGTCGTCGTCCGTATAACCATAGTCCTGATTTATCGGCACAAGCGTCTCATCGGTAGTACTCCTTCCCCGGTTCCGGAACGGTGTCGACGGAAGCGGCCTTCGTGAGGATGTAGCGCTTCGACTCCTAGGGCCGGTACTAGTGCTCGAGGCAGTCCCAGGCCGGGGCCGTCCATTGAGATCCGCAGGCTCAAACGACATGGATGGCGGTGGCCGACTCCATTCATCCGGCTCCCTTGTGCTCTGGCGCGAAGGCGGCCACGGTCGCTCAGGTTCCAAATTGCTGCCCAGCATCGACGTTGTCGCATAGGCGTCCAAGTTGCTACGCGAAATGGTCGACGAGGGGTACTGCATTCCCGGATCTACACTGCTGCGACCGTGCGATGAAGGCGCATACCCATGGCTCTCCGCGCGCGAGCTCGATGGAGAGTAAGGATACTGAGCCGAACCCCCATAACCGCGCGATGGAGTGGGAGAGATGGTCGGAGCGTAATCGCGTCTCGGGGCCGGAGAGTTGTAGCCCGGAACAGCGGGGGATTGGCGATATGCGAGGTCGGAATGCGAGCTCATCTGCTCGAAGCGCGCTGAGAGGTCCGAGACGGACGGCACATGGCTCGGTGTCGGCTGATAAGAGCGGTTCGGAGCATCTGGTCTAGTTTCATGCAAAAAGCGCGTCAGTACCCGGCGCCCAAAGACGAGGGAGGTGCAATATAGTAACGAACGTTCTGTACAGCGGCTCTTCGTCGTCGAGCAATCGCAGGTGTTGGTTGGGGCCTTGTGTGTACATTGGCGCGCCGCGAGGGTCGCGCATGTCGTCGTCATCTTCATCGTAGCCTGGAGGGGCAGCGTAACCTGGAGGGCGCTCCATGGTGATGGAGTTGTTCGTCGACTATCCACAGAGTGGTGGGAGTAAACAGTAAACAACAGAGAAGGATTGGGTAAGTGTACGGTATCGCGGCACAGATGGCAGAGATGGTTTAGTGGGGGGGGATGATAGATGTCTGAGAGCGAGGGACAGGAGCAATTGGCGGTTTTTCCTGCGAGGGTGGAGGGCCTGGGGGAGGAGGGCAGCCAGCCACCGGCGGCTGCAGTAGTGCGCGCTGGGGCTGTCTTAGACGAGTGACGAAACGAGGTTGTTTTTGTTGACGAAAGGCGTTGTTGCCACAGCAACACACGTTAGCGAATGGCGGAGCGCTTCGGTAAGCATCAACGGCCGTGGTCCCGCAAATGCAACTCTAAAGATAGCAACCTGCCTGCCATCACATCAACACACCTTTCTCGGTACCTGCAGATATCGCTCTAGGACAATACATAGAGCTATCCCACGCATGTCCGCACGGCTCTTTCGGTGCTTTTTTCCCGGGTACTTTACTTCCAAAAGCTCGTCTTCGTGTTCGATAACATGTGTTACTATGTAGTTATGCCTAGATAATGCAGGCCCTCCGACGCGGTAGGGTTTCACTCCGCCTCTTCGGATACGGATGCGGAGGCTGCCGAAGATCAGCTCGCGAGGATTGTTGCCATAGGAACTGTTTCTTTTGCCACTGGGCGGAGGAATGCCAAGTGCACATGTGTCGTCTTTGGAGTCTTGGCGACGCTCAACAAACTCGAAAGAAATTCTGCAGGATGCCGAGACCCCATATGTAGTGAATTCCGACGTGTCATCGCGAGTGGTGAGCGTGTTCATCTGTTTGTAAATAAACACAGCGACGATCACTTCTGGTTGGCCTTTGTGCTGTTTCATCATATTGCGTGCGATCTGCCTAACTGCCGAATCATAGCAAGTGAAAAACTCCTATGAAGGCCAGTCTGCAGTCCAGATCCCTCTGGTTGGCCAGAGAGAGTGGGAAATTCAGTTTATCCTCTGCTTGGCCATGCACGCGACACTTTAGAACCCAGACCTTTTCAGAGTGATATTTCATGCTGCAGAACACTACAGCAGACAAGAACTTATTCATTACATCCACTACCATTGATTCCGCTCATTACATTACGGTACATAAAAGTAACACTACATTTTCCTGGTGTAATTACCGGGTGCGGATGCGCTGTCGCCAATGAACCTTGCGCCATGTCGCCTGCAGAATATCAGTAAACTGTGCAGATTGTAAGAGTGGTAGGAAAACTTACTTGAACCAGTTCCGGGTTTGGAACCAACTGGCCTTAGGGGTTCGCTCCAAGGTATCGTAATTGAGGTACTGCAGACCAAAGCGTGTCTTAATTCCGGAGCCCCACTCGAAGTTGTCGACTGCGATTGAACCTTGATTAGCCCATCGTCTACAGTCTGCGCACTCGAAAGAACTTACAGATAGACCACACGTAAGCTCCAGTCACGTTGACTTTATCTTCCGTGATGGCGAGAAGAATGTTATCTAAGAAGCCCTGGATGTAATCCGACCGCCTTAGATCCCATGTGGCGTCCTGGACATTGGTGTAATCACTCTCGAAGGGTTCGGCAAAACCGAACTCGGTGACCTGGATATCCTTGACGGCGGGGAACAGCACCTTAGTGATGTGGCTGAGGAACTTGCGGACTCCAACGGGAGTGTTCTTGAGCCAGCTTGCGCCAAGGTCCGCAGCCGGGCCGATTCCAAAGCCGTCGGGTCCGATCGCAGTCTGGTTGACGCACTCGGGGAAGCTGGGGTGAGTCTTGTTTCCGGCACATGCCTCCACGCCACCCGACAGCTCGCCGACGTAGAAGGCGGTGTATGCGTCGATGGCGAAGAAGTCGCACGAGCCTTTGACAATCTCCTTCTCCTTCTCGGTAAACTTAGGGAGGAGGTCACCCAGGGTGTCTTTGAGGGACTGCGGGTAGTCTCCGTCGCTCCACACTCCACCGAACCAGCCAAGGACGAAATCATAGCTGCGCTGGGCTGCTGCAAGGTCGGCAGTCGAGTTGGTCATGGGCTGGAAGTAGTTGCCACTGTTCTTGAAGGTGATACGACCGCGGCCTTTGAATTCGTTGTGATACCACTTGGAGAGCTTGGCATGGGCGAGCAGAGTGTGGTGTCCGCACAGGAAGCGGGCTTCCATACCTGGCCCGACGCCGTAATCGGGGTAGAGCTTGCCGGCAGGATAGTAAGAGTATTGCCAGTTGCACTGAGGTAGTTAGCATCATTACATTGCTTTGAAAGAAGTGCGAAAGTGGGCATACGTATTGAGGCTCGTTGATGGAGAACCAGATAGGCACGTATTTGTCGTACCGCGTGATGATGAACTTCGCATAGTTCAGGTAATCGTCAATGATCTGAGGATTGGTCCATCCCTACTACAGCGTCAGAAAACATCCAAACCTAAGATCAGACCAGCACTTACACCATATTGGTTGAACAAAGCAAGCGGAGTGTCCCAATGGAACAAACTCAACGCCGGCTGAATCCCATTCTTTACCAGCTCCGCAATAACATCATCGTAGTGCTTCAAGCCAGCCTCGTTCACGGGTCCCTTCCCGAACGGGAAGATCCTAGGCCAGGAGATACTCGGGGAGTAGTAGGGAGCACCGAAGCTTTTCAGCCGGGCAAAGTCTTGCTTGTAGAGGTAGTAGTGCTGAGCGAGCACGTCTCCGGTCGAATTGTCGGCCACCTGATTCGGGTTGCGGTGGGAGAGCAAATCCCAAATCGATGGACCACGGCCTTCGTCGCGAGCAGCACCCTCGAGCCTTATTCCAAGTTAGTTTGGTGTGGGGTTGTGGTAATCGGGAGACTTACTGATAGGCCGAGGAACTGAGGCCCCACGCAAAGTCGGCTGGTAACTTCGCCTCTGCGAGCTGTTCTCCGTAGTTGCTCGCAACCAGAGGATGGAATTCGCCTGGACCTGCGTAGGAGGAAGGCTCCGCGGTAGGCTCCACCGTGGCGGTCACTACCGGGTGCGTGGAGACTGGCCCGACCTGGTACCAGAGCATTGCCAATTGCTCATTGGAATAGTCCTTGTTAGGGAGGTACGTGCTTCCTGCGGTGGAGTTGAAGGAGACCGTAGGCTTTTGTATCAACGTCAGTTGCGAAGCTTTGCGGGTACAAAAAAGAAGTGAGCCATACTGTGCCTTTCTGAGCAGCACTCGCCTCAAGGGCAAGCAGTGCCAGTACCAATGCTCTTGCAGTCGAGGAAAACATCTTGTCAAGGAATTGACCTAATGGAACCGATAGAATGAGAAATCCGTCGAAGCAAGTATCGACAGAGGTACCGAAGCAAATCTCCGGACCAAACCAGAAGCTTTATATACTCAGCGAATCCCTTCTTCATGTGGTTATTTCCCCGTGTCCTTCCTTCTCAGGAGAAAGCCAGAACCTAAGGCACACCATCGTAGATACACGGGTTCCCCGAATATGCAATTCAAAAATATATTCAGGCAACTCAATCGCTCTGTTTGTCCGTACCGATTTTGAGATCGACGCCGTTACATGGGTAATAGAGTGCTCAATGGCGTTGTCCCAGGGTTGGAGGCGGGGCAATCCATGTCCATGGGCTATTCCCACGCATTAGAAGCACATTTCCCCCGGCACCGGGAGAATGGATATGAGCTTGAGCATCACGAACGGCGGAGTGACGGCCCGCGATGTAGATATATCAAGGCTTCCCATGCCTAATCGCTCTGCGTACATAGAGCTTGTACTTGAAACTGTTCATCTCCAACAGAAAGTGGTCAGCCTGGAACATTGCGTGTGTACTTTGGAGATAGATACCTTCCCAGGTGAACATCGGGCCTCCTCATAGCCGGTAGAGGGCAAGGCCATGCAGCGATAAGCTTCACAACACCCCACAGTGAGGGGTTTCTTCCTTCGCCAGGTGGATCCTCATGCACTCCACAAACCACAACGTGGGTTAGACCCTACGGACGGCCCGGACCCCGGACTCGCCCCCCGAAGTTGATATCGTTGAAAAACGTTCATAGCGATTGTTTGTAGAATCGGTTCTGGTTCTGGGGATCCAGAATCCGGGTTCAAGGTTGCGGGAGCCCCCTCTTCGGTAGCGGTGTCGACACTGCATTGCCCATTTGCATATATAGACGCAATCGGTGGTAAGATGAATTCTATGTGATATAGAGTACGAACTGCCGAAGAGGCGCTCTTCCTTAACCCCCAGTCGTTGGGAAATCATCGCGACATATGAACCTACATACGCGTTCAGGCGTTTTCGATACCGAGTTAACCGGTCGGCATGCACAGAGGGGTGTAACTTATCCGCCTGATGCGACGCAATCAACCCTCCATATCAGCCGTTGATCTCACTGTCCGCTCATGCACATAATTAGGTACCGCATTCGCCGCATTACAGCAGACGAAAGTAATAAGTGGTGGAGTGCAGCTGTGTTATGAGGGCGGAGCTCCGGGGCACGTAGAGCTTAAGCCTAATCGGCTGGAAGGTCTGCAGAGAGTCTCGCGACGGACCGTTGGGCAGCAGAAAGAGAAGCTTGATGCTCAAGACAAAGATGATCCCTCTCTCGTAAAACGAGAGCTCCTAGTTTGGAGGTTGGTGCTACGGAGCAAGTACCTACTATATCACGTGATACTCACGTGATAAACTGGTTGCACACCAAAAACACGGCTTCCAAATAGTTAACCAGGTCAGAATTGCAACAGCTTTTAAAGACAACCACACCTAAGAAGTTTACATGATGTTCCTTTACCAGAATCTTCAATCCAACGGTTTACCAACCACGCTGGCGAGTTTGCAGAGCACTATGGTTGTAGCGATCCTCGCTATAATTCACACCAAGCCACCGCTTTCAACCCACCGCTTTCAACCCACTTCACTACATTCCAAAGAATTATAGCTCAATAACACGATTAAGAAAGACTTACATCTTGGAAGTTGAGTATTCCAACACTCATTGATGTCAAATTTTCTCGAATCAATGCGGAGAACAGCGTGGGTTGCGTAACCAGTTTCCGCCAGTGTTTTGGTGGGGGAGCGGCGTGTTCCGTCACTATTTGCGTCTGACAGCCAGCTGCATGTATTCGTTGTCTTCACGAGTCGACTCAACGCGAGCGAACGTGTGGCCAGAAAACTTCAGGGCAGCCGGTGCTAGGTAGTCCCGACAACGGATTGTCGCCAAGACCATTTGGAGCTAAACGCAACTCGGACAGGACCCCGCCATTTTTATGGGCCCCTCCTCTTTCACCGCGCCCTCCATTTTCTCTTCTCCTCGTTCCCTCAATCCCATCACGAATCCCAATCTCTCTCATCCAAACCAACCTCATCATATCCTTCAGAATGACTTCCGAGCAGACGTATGATTCCTTTCCTGACTACAATGGTGAATGTGAATCAAGAGGAGTGGACTGACATCCGATGTAAACAGTTTCATTGCGTACGTTATTCATCGTGACAACATTTCTAGCTTGGAACGAATGGGAATACTGACATCAGCCTCCTCTCTCCAGCATCAAGCCCGACGGTATTTGCATCTCACTCCATGATCCGAAGAACCTACGCTGACTCTCACCAGGTGTCCAGCGTGGACTCGTTGGCCCCATCATCAGCCGCTTCGAGCAGCGTGGCTTCAAGCTTGCCGCCATCAAGCTCACCACCCCCGGCAAGGCCCACCTTGAGCAGCACTGTTAGTCTCGATTCCCACTCCCTCTGCCGCGGCGAAACTACTGACCCACGATTCCTATAGACGCCGATCTCGCCGGCAAGTCTTTCTTCCCTGGATTGATCGAGTACATGAACTCGGGCCCCATCTGCGCCATGGTCTGGGAGGGCCGTGATGCCGTCAAGACCGGACGTGTCCTTCTTGGTGCCACCAACCCCCTGGCTTCCGCTCCCGGAACCATCCGTGGTGACTTCGCCATCGTAAGTTCTCTGGTTCGAACTTCATTGCATCCTGCATCTACTAACTGGAAGTAGGATGTCGGCCGCAACGTCTGCCACGGTTCCGACTCTGTCGAGAACGCGCAGAAAGAGATTGCCCTGTGGTTCGGCAAGGACGAGGTCGTCAGCTACCGCCAGGCCAGCCACGACTGGGTCTACGAGAAGTAAATGCTTGGCATAATTACTTCCTTCACCTAAACCATCTTATAAAAATTGTTCTCCTCTGTTCTCTTCTTTTCTTGATGCTTGATGCCGGAGGATTGGAGTAGGGGCTTAGCAGCAATGGGGGTGATATGATTGTAGAAATAAATACCTACGTGTTGTGGATCAATCTCAATCTGATCTCGTGCAAGATCATATGCTGTGACCCATTTTGTATCAACTCGGGATCCTATAAAGACCTGAACCACCAGTTGATCCGAGCGCTGCGCGAAGTCCCTGTCACTCGGCCGGCGGAAGGCGGAGACGGGGAAGACTAGAGTGTCTAGATCCCTGCTTGGCAACGGAACGTTAAATTCACCTCACATTTTCACCCCACAAAAAGTTTTAAGCCTCGTCCGAGTTGCCGTCGAAACCACTCACCACCTCTACCTCACCTCCAGCTCGTCGCAATACCTACCACCACCTACCACCACCCCAATCCCCTCCCCTAGCACCCCACACAAAACCTACAACCATGAGTTTCGGCGGCTTCAACCCTCTCGGCGGCCGCGGCTCAAACGAGAACATGACAGCCGAGGACCTGCAGCAACAGAAGATGATCAAGCTCGTGTGTCCCCGCTGCGCCCAGTTCTCCGTCCTCACCACTGACAAGCGCAGATGCAATCATCGATGGAGTCGTGCCCGGTCAAGACGGTGCTCTCCGGCGGCGCCGGCTTCGCGCTCGGCGGAGTATTCGGTCTGTTCATGGCGTCGATGTCGTACGACACGCCGATGTCGGGGGCCGCCGGCACCACGCCCATCACTTCGCTGCCGCTGCGCCAGCAGCTCAAGGTCGGCTTCAAGGATATGGGCGTGAGGTCGTGGAGCTCCGCGAAGAACTTCGGCATGGTCGGCGCTATCTTCTCGGGTACTGAGTGCTGCATCGAGGGATTCAGGGCGAAGAATGATATCTACAATGGTGTCGCTGCTGGGTGCTTGACTGGTGGCGCGCTGGCGGCGAGTGCCGGGCCCCAGGCGGCGGCGTTGGGTTGTGCGGGTTTTGCCGCGTTCAGTGCGGCGATCGATTACTACCTTCGCATGGATTGAGCGGCGAGGGGGTGAGGGTGTCGGTGACGTGTGGGTACGGTGCCGGGAGTGTACAGTCGCGTAGGCATGTTATTCTCTTCTCAAAATGGGCTTTGCGGGAGTTGGGTTTTCGTTTGCTTTTCGCTGGGTTGGGGCATTTGTACTATAGATACGGTTCGTTTGGGGTTTGGGGTTGGCGGGGAACTGTTACCCATAATAGATGGCTGGATGATAAATGGGAGAGAGAGAATGTTCATCAATTTATTGTCGCATACAAGGGCGATGAATGGGTCGAGCTTTAGCTTTCTATACATACACAACAGGCGAGTGATCACTCCTCAAACCCCCTCCAAATAGCCACAGACATATCAACCACCTTCTTCATCTCGGCCACATCATGAACGCGGACCACATCTGCACCACCAGCCACACACGCGGCGACCGCGCCCGCAGTCCCCCACTGTCTCTCCGCCGCCCTGAGCACTCCCGTAGCAGTCCCCACAAACCTCTTCCTACTCGGACCAAGCACCCACGGAAACCCGCCGCCGGTCATCTCTCCAAGCCTCTTGATGATATCCAGATTCTGCCCCATAGTCTTCGCAAAGCCCAGGCCAGGGTCCAAGAGGATATTCCACCGTCTAATCCCCGCCTCCTCGGCCGCCCGCACGCGCTCCCCCAATTCCCGCTTGACATCAACAATTATATCGCCATAGTTAGCAAGGGAATTCATTGTTTCCGGCGTTCCTCGAGTATGCATCAGCACGATTGGCACATTCAACCCCGCCACGGTCGAGAGCATCGCCGAATCCATCAGTCCCGCGGATATATCGTTGATGATATTTGCGCCGGCCTCGATGCTTTGCTGTGCTACGCTGGCCCGAAAGGTATCCACCGAGATGGGGATGGTGAGTCCGCTGGTGCGGATTGTACGAATGGCGGGGATGACGCGGCGGAGCTCTTCTTCTTCGCCGATGTCGACGGCCCCCGGACGTGTGCTTTGCCCGCCGATGTCAATTATGTCAGCTCCATGGGAGATGAAGGATTCCACTGTGGTCAGCAGGTTCGCCGTAGTGTATTTTCCGCCATCCGAGAAGGAGTCGGGGGTCAGGTTAAGCACGGCCATAAGTAATGTGTCACGCTTAGGGCTGGACGGATCAAGGGTTATCGTCGGCGAGATTTGGACGAAGGTACGGAGTGAAGGGGTGGAAGGGGGTGGTGTAGGGACCGCGGAGAGGTGATGTTTGAATGCTGTGGAGGTGAGGGGATGTGCCCTGTTCGGCGCGATATCGCAGAGTGGCCGTAGAACGAATTCGCGCTCAAGCATGGAGGCGTGTGGGATCGTGAGGGTTGGTGTGGACATTGTGAGTGCATCGTAGAGGAGGATGTCGAGGTCTACGGTGCGAGGCCCATTCTCCATCGTCTTTATGCGGCCCATGTAGTCCTCGATAGATTTGAGCTCCTTGAGGAGGTCTTCCGGGGAGAGCGTTGTCTCGGCCTGTGGATCATCATCAGCATTGAGCTTCACCGCATAGATGAGAAAAACTACCTGACAGACGCCATTCAGAAATGTCGGCTGGTCGATGACATACATCGGCGCACTCTGATACAGACTGCTAGTTCTCGTGACTCTAATCCCCCTCTTCTCCATCTCCATCACGGCGTCACTGATGTTCTTATACCGATCACCGAGATTACTTCCAAGGGCAATGAACACCTCATGCTTCCCGCCTCTCTCCCGCGCCTCTGGCAGCTCTAGTGCAAAAAAGCTTCTTTCTCTCGTTATCTTCACACCGGCAGCCTTCGCAAACGTCAACGCACTTGGCTTCTCCGCCTGAACCGTAACCTTTGAGACGCCACAAGTCAGGCACGCCTCCCTCGCCAGTGCCGTCACGAACGCCTCGACAGTTTTATACTCGGACCTCTCGACGTGCTCCGCGACGGTCCCCGCAATCGCGCGAAAATCATACTGGCGACTGAACCCCTCCGCCTCTGCCGCAAGCCGCGGCTTATGCAGCGTGAGGTTGATGACCACATTCTGTTTTTCCTCGCGCTCACACGGGTTGACGCCGATTATGGTGACGAGCCTCAAGTCGTTGATGAACACCCGATCCTCGCCCTCGCCCTGCACCTCGCCCTGGGGCCCGCGCTTCCTCACGATCGAGATCCCCGCGCTGTCGGCGCGCAGCAGCGCCCGCGGCTTCTCGATCGCGACCTTGACCCATTCGCCGTGGATCTCGTGCCCGAGGGCGAGCGCGGCCACGTCCTCCGCCAGGTGCTCGAGCGACTTGAACGCCACGTCGGACTTCTCGACGAGTTTTGTGACCGCGCTGCACACGGTGCCGTAGTGGATGCTGTATGGCAGGTGGTCGGTGGAGCCGGCGAGGGCAACTGACGTCTTGAGCCATAGCGACAGGCGAATTGGCTGGGGCTTGGGGCGTCGCCACGAGTCAACGCCGGTTGTGGCTCGGAGGTTGAGCGAGCGGACGAAGATCAAGTCGTGGCCATCTTCGGAGGTGGGAGCTTCGTTCATGATTTGCCGGGCGATGCGTGAGACGACGAGAACGGCGGGAGATGGTCGGCTGGGTGGGAATTGGATGTGCCTACGGCATTGGAATCTGAGGAGGTTGCAGGCTGTGGTAACCGTGGTTATGCTCCGGAATCTGCGCATGCAAAAGGAAGTTTTTTCTCTTTCTTTTCCTTTTGAGTTGAAAGGTGGTGGGGTGAAATGCGCTTGTACTTGTGTTACTTCGGAGTCTCATGCAAAGTGACAGCATTGGTTGCTTGAGCCGCGGGATATCATACACGGTCACTCGAGGTTTCACGTCGGACCCGATCGATGATAAAGAGCGGATTGAAAAAGGACCTGCACCAACGCCCAAAGGTGGATGAACTCGACGTCCAAACGCATCACCACCAGCCAAAAGAATTCGAACCAAAGATATCAACAAGGCGGGACCCGAACGAGAAAAGCATAGAGGGTACACGATTCTGACCATCATATGCCAACACGGAAACAACTGACCGCCCAGAAGTGAACACCTTATGCAAGCAAGCGAAATAGGAGACCAAGATGACCGCAGAATAAAAACAAATGGGACGATGTGTCAATACAAAAAAACACGCACCCGCCAAATACGCAAAATCACAATAATTACCGAGGAGTCATGCTAGGAAAGACTTTCCTCCCACCGATATCGATTCCGTATTCGACGACACCTCCATCGGTGGCCACATACCTAGGATTCCGGTGTTAGATAGGGCACGTAGGTAAGTCGTAGTTGTACTTACAGCTTCTTTCCATCCGGTCCCAGAGTGCACCCCGTAATATCCACGCCATCACTAGCATACGGATACGAGAATGACGCTGCATCGGCCTCAAACCGTCCACTCCTTCTCTGTCGGCGACGCTGCTCGGCGATAAGATTGGTGATTTGTTCGAGGGGTCTCAGTGAGGGGATAGTAGTAGAACCCCTAGATAGTCTACTCCTCTCCCTCTCGCTCGGCGTAGCAGCAGCGGATGTAGGACCAGTCGAAAGATCTGCTGGTGTTGAGGTCGAATGATCGGCGTATGAAGGATGGATCGAGTTTCTCCGCCTCGGTGGATCATGAATTCGTTGTCGCGCCCTCTCACGCTCAATCTGTCTCTCACGGTAATCGCGCAGGAGGGCAGGGGTAGTAGGCAAACCCGAACCTACGCCTGCCATCCGAAGCATCTGGTATTGCGCCGTTGATAAGGATCCCGCATCTGCAATAACCGGGCCGCTGGGTGTGTTCCTCACTCGTGAGGCAAGCCATTCGCTCGAGTTGTCAATAACAAGGCCCGCGAGTTCGTTTATGGATGTATCGCCCGAAATTAAGATGCGCTCTTCCGCCTCCTCGTCGTCTCTGGAATGCCTACCGGTGGGAAGGGTGGTGGGACTGCCGAGGCTCTGCGAAATATCCCAAGCTGACGGATGATCCTGGACTTCCTCGACTTCAGCCTCAATCAATTCATCTTTCCCCGAAAGAATATCGATTATCTGTCGGCGCGCAAAGTTACTCCTGGCATCAGCAATGCAAACCCTACCGCAGTGTTCAGCCCAGACCAGCAGATCCCAAGGCGCTGAAGAGAATTGGACACTACGGACGGCACCAGGCTCCTTGAATGCGCGAGACGAAGTAATCACTTTGACCAATGGATCGCAGCCGTCATCACAGGCAAGATATCGTGTGTCGAAGATGGTGATGATGCCAGCTTGCGAAGCGACGGCGCAATGGAGTGACGAAGACGAGAAGCTGGTTGACATCAAGGCATCGTTTTCGGTCCCAGCACTAAGCGGCGGATGCGAAGATAGGATCCACGACCCACATCCAGCTTCGCCGATGCCAGTAGCGGGCGAGCCACTGCGGGAACCAGTGTTGGCCGGATGGTAGAAGTACACTTCGGGGGAGTCGCCGACTACGACCAGGTGCTGTCCGTCGGGAGAGATCGAAGCATGGTTGGTCGAGACGTCGACATGAAGTGTAGTGATTACTCGGTTGTCGGCCAAATGAAAGATTCGAACCGTCTTGTCGTTATTACTATTTTCCTCACCGCGAACAAGTGTCAGCGCCCCGACAGAATTGGGTTTTCGGGGTAAAACTTCTGCATGGTTTGCCATACGTCAAAACGGCGAGCACATCGTCATCACTTGCCGACGATGGCGGTCTGTGCAATGTGACTGAATTCACTATGTAGCCACCGAGCTCCTTCACGTTGAGACGCGCCCTCCCGCTACTGCTGCCCGATGAACTCTCGTCCTCGCCGTCGAGCGACATCGTGTCATAAGCCGGCCCAGTGGCAAACGGATCATTGTCGCCGTCGCCGTCGCCGTCGCCATCGCGGTCTTCGGACTTCCGTACCCGGATGGTCGCGAAGTGGCCGTGGTCAGCACCTCCGGCGCACACCCAACCATAGCGAGCGCCGATGCATCTCGGGCTGAACGGGAGAGTTGCGACTAGTCGACGCTTTCGGGTGGCGGTGTTCAGCGAATATATCCGGTTGTTCGACGGGTAGTAGAGGAGGTCTGGAGCGGGTGAACAGAGGAGCGACCGGAGCTGCCAATGCCTGACGGGAGAGGAGCTTTAGCTTCAACTACTTGACTCGATTACAACCACGACAGAGAACAGGGAGCACAGAGGGGAGCGCACTTGAAGGGGATCTTTGCGCTGTAAAAGACTGGAGGTTTTTTTAGGAGGAATTGTGACGTCTGGCTAGAAGCGAGCCGACTAGGTTAGCTGTGAAGTCAAAGGCGACAAGCTTCAAGGCTTGTTACTTCGAGGCAGAAGGCAAATAACGTACACCGGATCGTCAATTGTCATTTTGTCTAGTGTACCACCGACAGGCGAGCAGACTGGGAGTAAAATCGACAGGAGCAACGGCAGGCGTTGAGTTTTGCGAGTATTTCGAGCGCCCAGTAGCAATCAATCTTGGACGATAGGTGCGTTGGTGAGTTGTAGCTGAGGTATGAAGGCGTGGTAGGCACAGAGTGATCGGATGACAAGTCTCGCGAGAGGATATGGTGCGTGGAAGAGCTGTGCGGAGTTTGAGGGTGTCGTGGAGGTGCTGGCAGTGCAGGTGGGTGGTGGTGATGGTGGTGGAGGTGGTTTGCCGTGGATATGTGTGTAATGTGCGTAAGGTGTGTGAGGTGGTTTGCGGTATGGTGTTGTCGAACCTGCTTTTCGTCCGGAGATGGGGAGGAGAGAGAGAAGCAGCAGCCAACCAAGCTGAACACAGAAATAAACAGCAGACTCGTCTTCTGCAAGCTCTTACTTTCTCTTTTCCTCAACTTTCTCTTTCCCTCAACTTTCACTTTCCCTCCGTTTCCTCTTCCCTCCACTCTCCGAAGTCGTGACCAACTCATCACGACTGACCAGCCAATTCTAACTACCAAAACACCAAGCCCTTTCTTGACCGAACGAATAGAGGATTTGCCGCGGGGCCGTGGCGTGGGACTGACTTGCAGGAGGCTTGCGGCACGGAGTGTGGAGAGTACGTACGCCATAGTCACGCATCACCTACATACCGCCCACAGGACAAAGCTACAAGCCACATCATGTGATCAGAGTGTCACCAGCCACTTCTCACTCGCCACAGAACGCCACCCCCGGCGCAGAAACTGCTGGAATGTTTCGGCTGAACCAACTGGTCGGTCAATCGGCCTTCACATGCCGTCTGCCTTTGCATGGCCACTCCGCGTCCCGGTTTTTACACCACTTGTCTGGCTGTTCTGGCATCGCATCTTCCAGGCGGTTCTGCGGAAGACTAGCCCCGATCGCAGCAGACTCTCACCAAATGCTCGGCTTTAGTCCGGCCTGCCCTTGGCTTGGCTTTCGTAGAGTAAATTTTTCTTTCGTGATCGGAACGCCGCTTTCTCTTCCTCTTCTTCTTAAGCTCCCACAGACTTGTCTGCTCCCGCTCTTCAATCCATCTCTCATACCACCCCGCCTCAATTCGCTCCAGGGTTTCTCCCACCCATCACCTTTACAAACGAAGTCATTTCGTGCTCTCCCACTTTCATTTCCTGTTTGTACAGTACCTTTTGACCCCACCCCCACCTAGCGGTTTTTATACTCGAAAGCCCACCACATACACATAATGATTGTCCCCAGACTCGCGCAGACTGTGAGTTCTGATCTCCCGGTCGTATTCTGTCCATCAAATCAAGTGCTGATCTGTTATGCAAACAGCTCCGAGCAACCCCCCGCACATTCCTTCCCAGACTCAATGTCGTCCGGACGGCTGTCCCCGCCTTTGCGCGGTTCAACTCAACCGAGGGTAAGGTGCAGGGTGCCGTCATCGGTATCGATTTGGGCACCACAAACTCTGCCGTCTGTGTGATGGAGGGAAAGACTCCCCGTGTGATTGAGAACGCTGAGGGTAAGTAGATCGACAAATACCCATCTCCATGAAGTAATTGTGACGCTGATGTGATGACTTCATCAGGTGCACGGACAACTCCTTCGGTCGTTGCTTTCACTCAGGACGGTGAGCGATTGGTCGGTGTTGCTGCGAAGCGTCAGGCCGTTGTCAACCCCGAGAACACCCTCTTCGCCACCAAGCGTTTGATCGGACGGAAATTCACCGACGCCGAGGTGCAGAAGGATATCGCTCAGGTCCCCTTCAAGATCGTTCAGCACACCAACGGTGATGCCTGGGTTGAGGCCCGCGGTCAGAAGTACTCTCCTTCGCAGGTTGGAGGATTTGTCCTCAACAAGATGAAGGAGACCGCCGAGGCCTACCTTGGGAAGCAGGTCAAGAACGCCGTCGTCACCGTTCCTGCCTACTTCAACGACTCTCAGCGTCAGGCCACCAAGGACGCCGGTCAGATCTCTGGTCTTAACGTCCTCCGTGTCGTCAACGAGCCCACCGCCGCCGCTCTTGCCTACGGTCTTGAGAAAGACCAGGACAAGGTTGTCGCCGTCTTCGATCTTGGTGGTGGTACCTTCGATATCTCCATCCTCGAGATCCAGAAGGGTGTCTTCGAGGTCAAGTCCACCAACGGTGACACTCATCTTGGAGGTGAGGACTTTGACATCACCCTCGTCCGCCACCTGGTCGCCCAGTTCAAGAAGGAGAGCGGTATTGATCTGTCCGGTGACCGCATGGCCATCCAGCGTATCCGTGAGGCCGCTGAGAAGGCCAAGATGGAGCTGTCTTCTTCCCTCCAGACCGATATCAACCTTCCCTTCATCACTGCCGACGCTTCCGGACCCAAACACATCAACCAGAAGATGACCCGTGCCCAGTTCGAGGCTCTCGTCGGTCCCCTTGTCCAGCAGTGCATCGAGCCCTGCCGTAAGGCCCTCAAGGATGCTGGTCTGAAGGCCAATGAGATCCAGGAGGTTATCCTGGTCGGTGGTATGACCCGTATGCCCAAGGTCGCCGAGACTGTCAAGTCCATCTTCGGCCGCGACCCTGCCAAGGCCGTCAACCCCGATGAGGCTGTTGCCATCGGTGCCGCTATTCAGGGAGCCGTGTTGGCTGGTGAGGTCATGGACGTTCTGCTGCTCGACGTCACCCCTCTGTCGCTCGGTATTGAGACCCTCGGAGGTGTGTTTACCCGTCTGATCAACCGCAACACCACCATCCCCACCAAGAAGTCCCAGGTGTTCTCCACCGCTGCCGACTTCCAGACCGCCGTCGAGATCAAGGTCTACCAGGGAGAGCGTGAGCTCGTCCGTGACAACAAGTTGCTCGGAAACTTCCAGCTGGTTGGCATCCCCCCCGCGCACCGTGGTATCCCCCAGATTGAGGTCACCTTCGACATCGATGCCGACTCGATCGTGCACGTCTCGGCCAAGGATAAGTCCACCAACAAGGACCAGTCGATCACCATCTCCTCCGGATCCGGTCTCTCCGACTCCGAGATCCAGAGCATGATTGACGATGCCGAGAAGTACGGAGAGGCCGACAAGGCCCGCAAGTCTGCCATCGAGGGTGCCAACCGTGCCGACTCTGTCGCCAACGACACCGAGAAGGCGCTCAAGGAGTTCGAGGACAAGCTCGACAAGGAGGAGGCCACTTCCATCAAGGAGAAGATCACCGCTCTCCGTGAGGTCGTTGCCAAGGCCCAGTCCGGCGAGACCGCTGTCTCCGCCGAGGACCTCAAGGCCCAGACCGACGCTCTCCAGACCGCGTCCCTGACCCTCTTCGACAAGATGCACCGTTCCCGTTCCGAGCAGGCCAACCAGCAGGAGCAGGCCAAGTCCGGCGAGGGCGAGAAGAAGGAGTAAACCAACAAACAACTCTTTTTTGATCTGAAATGTAATGAATGAAACTTGTGCAGGAGGGGTTGGTTGTTAAAAAGCGATGTCTCCTACTTTGTTTCGTTTATTGTGTATTTTCTCTTTCTTTTCTTCCTCTCTTCTCTACTAGGGTGCGCGCAGACGGGGGGTTTGCTCGGTGGGTGGATGTGTAGGATATGATCTCCTTTTCATGCGGAGTTTGCTTTGGGTGTTGTGTTCCTTTTCTTACGGGTTGTCTTTTTTTTTACGGATGTTTCGAGATTTTTTCTTTTTTCAGAGCGGATGGATGGAGGGTGGTAATTTGTACATTACAAAAAAGATGCGATTTTCCACAAGGAAAAGGAAAAGGAAAATAGTCTTCTCCCCTCTGCTTTTGTATGATCATCGCCCATCATTAAACTGCGAGAGTCGAGCATCCATCGAGCATCCATAAATCCTTGGCACATGCACTGGATATAAACCTCCCCCCCACCACAGTCCAACCACTACCCCCGCCCCGTCTACCAAAGCACTCAGCATCAAGAATGTCACTCATCAAGTACCCCCCCCTCCCCCCATCCCCCCATCCCCCCATCTCCGCCAGTCCCTCCCTCCTTGGCCCCCCCGCCTGTCCCCCCACGCCTCTCCCCATCCCCCCCCTCTCACCCAGCCCCTCTTCTCTTCACCCTAGCCACTGATACATAAGCCATGTAGCTTCTACCGCTCCCTCCCCCCGCGCACGCGCGCAATCCTGGGCGGCGCAGTGGTCGTTTACGCGACGGTGGGGTTGTACGTCAGCGACTTTGCCGAGGAGAAGCTGGGCTTCACGCCCAGTGAGCAGGAGAAGGCGCAGATCAGCGGGTTGGTTCCTAAAGTGCGGGTTGTCGACCGTGTCGACCGTACGGAGTAATTGGGGGGCACTGAGAAATGGGGGGTGGATGAAGTGGATGAAAAAGATGTATTTACGACAAGAAGTACGTACACAGATGGAAAGAAGAAGAAGAAGTACGCTGTGGTAACGGTAACTAAAGGCCAAAAATTGAACTGAACCAGACCAAACCAGACCAAACCAAACCAAACCAAACCAAACCAAACCATCAAACCAAACCTGACGTGAAACTGAAGTGAAAACTGAACTGGTAACAGCAAATCCCCCGCCTATCGTATCGTATCGTGTCCTATCCGCATGGTCCATCCATGATCCTCCTCCTCCTCCATGGCCCTCCATGATTCTTCATGATCCTCCTCCTCTTTCCCTCCTCCACGATCCTCCTCCTCCAACCAGACGAAAACCAGCGAGCAAAAAACTCCACAGAAAACTCCGTAGAAACAGAAACAGACGAACAAATGTACATGATTAAGCCCCTCCCGAGCCTCACCCTTCCCAACGCACCCAGCCAAGCTGCCCTATGTACGGTATCCGTCTTTTTGTTCTTGCCGGAGTCAATCGTCGTAGCGAAAAACGAGCGAAAGGAAGAAGGATATAAAGGCGTGAGTGATATAGGTAGCTCAGAAGGGGAAACGTGTATGTAGGAAGAAAACGATTCCGAGAACCCCGAAGGGCCAGGACGGAAGACCCATCCCATCCATCCGGTGAAATCGCTGCTCGCGGGGATGGTACTGTACTGTGGACTGTAGCTAATGGATGGATGGATGGGGGTAGTAGGTATGGCGAAGACCGAAAAAGAAGAAGAAAAAAGACGTGCAGTTAGTAGAGCAACTTTTGTATGTATGTATCTCGCTTCTGGCAAGAGTTGGTTTGATTTGGAGGGGGGGGGCTATCGGTTGTGGCTAGCGGGGGGGAAGATGAAAAAACGAAAACGAAAACGAAAACGCAACTCCGGACTCCGATATATAGTAGTAGTGTTGATCACCGAGCAAGAAGTAGTAGTAGTAGACGACGATGACGATGATGGAAGTTGCAAAGAAACAACTGGAAAAACGAAAGACGTAAAAATGTAGCCGAAAAAGGCCGAAGAAGAACGAAGAAACTGAAAAAATGCGGTAGGTATATGATGATGACGATGACGGTTCTCTCTGTGCACGCGGGCGGGTAGGTAACTTGCGGTGCGCCTTCCTTCTTCGTTGCGACTACATCTGTCCCTTAATGTCGACCTTCTTGAAAGCGCGCTTCTTGGCCTCCTCGAAGATGGGGTACGCCTTCGTAGTCTGGAACCGAATGGACGTGGGGACCCCCTTGTCTCCCGACTTCTGTTCTATAAGATCGGAAGTTCCATGGTCGCAGAGGAACTGGACGCACTCTGTGTCGCTTTCGAATCCAAGCTCTTCGGTCAGAAATCTAATATCAATGTCCGGACGGTAACTGTATAGGATAGCATCATCAGCACACATCCTCTCGCCCACGGACCAAGCAAGCATGACTCACGCTTTGCAAATGCACGCAAGCGCCGCCATCCGTTCGCGGGCCACGAAGGAATCCATCAAGTAACCGCCCATGCTTGGGGCGTCCAAGTAGAGTCTGTAGAACCTGTGGAAATTTCCCGCGGCGAGCGCTGATCGGACCTCCAAGGCGTGCTTGATTGACGGATGTTGTTTGTCTGTAGGGGTTAGGATTGCCAGCACCTCGTTCATGTCGGCACGGTTGCATGTGTGTAGAAGGTAGAGGATACGATACGCCTTGAACTCTTCTTCGTGTCCCGAAAAGCCCTCCGAGTAGAGCGTGGCCAGCTGGGACTGGCATTGATTGTACTCACCCAGATCACACTGCACGCGGCAAGTCAGCTCCACGATCCGACGTGGACAGAACAATCAGCATCACTCACCTTTTCCAGAGCTATCCTGGCATGGATCTCGTAAACAGTCACTGTAAAATCGGTCTTGATATGCTGTACTGTTAGGTCTTGTCGCAGCGACTTGAACTGGTCGCAGATGTACGAGTAGTTTTGTTCGTCTCGCCATTTCTTCTTTAGTAGTTCCAGAGTCTTTTCAAGGATGTGGAGAGGCCGAACATTAGCGGGATCCGGCGCGGAAGTCAGCCGGAAGTACTGTTTCTCGAGGCTCATACACCGTCCGACGAGCGGTTGATCACCATCGATATCCATAGCTGACGTATTCCGACTTGGCGGAGAGACGGGCTGGGGGGAGGACCCGCCAAATCGCTTCGCGCGCTTCTCCTTTTCACGTTGACTTAGCTTGTCCGTCGACGACGACGTATATGAATCCTGCTGGCGAGCACGCTTCTCCCCTCTGTTGGAGTGTTTCGCGGGTGTGCTGCCATCCTCGCTGCTGTTGCTTTCGAAAACGTCAGCACCCGTTGTCGCTATCATTCGCGATCAAAAAGGGGCAAGACTCGACTCGACCTACTTTTTCCGTTTCTTATCACTGATGCTGAACTTGCCGAGCCTATTGGTGGCGACAGCGGTGTTCACAGCCGTTGTCGCAGCCGTCGTATCCATCGTTGCGCCCGTGCCCGTGACCTTTGACTGCTGGGCCCTGCGCTTCGCCATAACGACCTGCGGCAGCGGCATGTCGTCCCAATTCACGGTCCACACCACCTTCTCGTTGAACGCATCGGTAATGATGCGCTTGAGCTCGGCCTCGACATCCTTCTTTTCCGCCAGCGACACGTCCTCGAACGTGCGCGCCACATACTGCTTCAAAGACTCCGGAAACGTCGTGCGGTTGCCGTGAGAAGGGGGTGAGGTTGGGGCGGCGGCGGTGGAGGAAGCCTGAGAAAAATAAACGTTAGCGGCCGGCGAAAGAAAGAGAAAAAAAAAAGGACGGAATGGAAAGCCGGCGAGCGCAAAAGTAAAAGCTTACCATTGTGTAGCTGCCGGCCTGCTTCGAGCCGCCGAATGTGCGGCGGGCGTCGACCGAGGTGAAAGATCCGTTGCTACCTATGGTCGGTCTCGAGCATTAGCGAGGAGCCTGAAACGTGCGGACGAGAAACAGCTGGCTGCTGGAACCTACCCCCGGTTCTCCAGGGAGGTGGTGCAGTCATGGCGTTGGTTGTTGGCGTTGATGATGTATATATCTATAGCGGATGCCGTGAAGTTAAGTTGGGTGGTGAATAATAGTTGTGCAGTGTAGTTGTGTAGCTGTTGGTTGTTGGCTGTTGGCTGGGTTAGTTGTGGTTATTGCTTTGCTTTGTGCAGTGCTGGGTTGGGGAAAGAAGAGGTGGAGGTGTTGAGTTGTGTTGAGTTGTGTGGATGTGTGTGGGTGTGGGGGGTTGTATGTAGGAGGAAAGAAGCGACCCGGGCAGTGGTGGTTGCTGTTGGGAACTTTCTACTGTGGGCGTGGGTTATGTAAGGAACACCTCGCAACTCACAACGAAAACCGAGAACCTCGCACCGTACCTCCATGACAACCAGTGAGAAATTCTTCGCAACAAGAAGAAAGCTATTCAGAGTACAGTTTATTCAAATCGAAATCGAACTGTTCTATTCCTATGTGACTTCGATTACATAACTTGTTATCAATGGAACCTGTAGGGTCTAATTAACTACGATTGCACACTCCCCTCACTCCCCTCACTCCCCTCACTCGGACCAATCACCTCCGTGCATAGATGGGTACTTTGTAACTACCACCCACACAGCGTCCACTGATCTCGTGCGAAATACCTCGGAACCTCGCTCACTCAGCATTCCACTCACCATCCCACTCACTCATTCACCAACTCGTAGCAAAACCCCAATCAGAGCACAAAAGATTTCAGCCAAAATTGTCTATGTACTCTACCACTCAAGTGAGCGCAAGGGAAGCATCATCAAACAACCACTGCCCCTCTAGAGTGAGCGAATGGAGTAGCTACTATCATAGTTACAGACCTTCGAATCGACGCAGCATGCACTGGGATGTATCTACTTTGTGACTACCACCCACAGTACACACAGCGTCCACTGATCCCTTGCGAAATATCTTCGAACCTCGATCACTCACTGGTAGATATCTCGTAGAAAGACCCCAATCTCGTACAAAACCTTCAACCAAAACGGTCTACCGTAGGTACCACTTGTGCGAGTGCAAGGTCCTTCAAGAAGCTCATCATCGTCAACAAACAGCCACTGCCCCGAGTCCCCGACAGAGTGAGCGAATGGAGGAGAAGTAAATACCACCCACACAGCGCCCACTCTCCACTGATCTCTGGAGAAATAACTCCGAACCTCGCTCACTATTCTCACTCACTCATTCACCATCTCACTCACCATCTCACTCACCGCAAAGAAGTAAAGAAGTGAAGAAGCGAAGAAGTGAAGAAGCGATATCACCACCAAACAGCCGCCACCACCCCGACAGAGTGAGCGAGTGGAGGAGGAGTACCATACCTATCATATGATAGTTACAGAGCTTCGAAACGACGCAGCATGCACTGGGTATGTAAAGTATTTGATAAGCCCATGAAGAACGAACAGAAGAAGGAGTACCAAGTACAATACATACAATACATACTCTGCATACTCTCCATACCAAGTACCTACATGTATTCTCAGAGCAGATGAAAAGAAGATACACATAGCATAGCACACGGGGAATATAGATATCATATAGATATCACAGCTACCTCCTACTCGAGAAGAAACAAAACAACTTACACCGACGGCTCGCGAGGACGGACGGACGAACTTCAAAGCAGAAAGATTCGGCAGAAAGATTCGAAGCAGAATGATTCAAGAATCCAAAGATTCAGCAGAAAGCTTCAAGAAGAAGAAAAAACCTGCTCCTAAAATACTTCGATGAGGAAACTGAAAATGAATTGAAAGAAGAGAAGAAAACCCCCGGGTATGTAAAGTAAAGTAAAGTAGAAAGTAGAGTGTACCTAGAAATGAAATGAAAAACAGACAGACCCTCGAAGCAGCAGCCCCGCAAACCACCCTTTTGCCTTGACTCGACTCAAAGACACAGATCCGATCATTCCATGTGATGCTACCTATTGCAAACATATCTCCACCTACATCGCCGCCGCCATTGCCGCCGTCACGATCACCACCACCACCACCACCACCACCACCATCACCACCACCACCTCCATCACCACCACAACCCGCAGCTTCGTGTCGCCGAAATCACAAAACACCCCAAAGGAAAAGAGAAAAGAGAAAAAAAGAGAAAAAAGAAAAAAGGCACCAAAAGAAATCCACCACCTACTCACTTACATCATCGTATCTCGTTCGTCAAATACATCCAGTGGCTCGGCCCGGCTCGGGCGTCGCGTCAAGTCAAAACCCCCACCACCGTCCACCCGGCACCGCAACACAACAAAGAACCCCTAACCGACAGACAGACAGACAGACCGACACCACCAACTCCGTACAGACAGAAAGAACAGACAGGCAGCCAGCCAGATCTCTGGCGGCATCGTCCACACCTAGTTGACAAACAGCTTCAATTTCGGGTTGCGGCTGATGGCGGTATTGAGGTCGATGTCGCCGTACATGTCCATGACCTGTCCGGACGCCTCGTCCTTGTACTGTATGTTGTTCAGGTCGACCTGGCCGAGGCGCTCCTGCAGCTTGTCCTGGAGCTGCGCGAAGCTCACGTCTCTAGGCAACCGGACGGCGATCATCTCGTCATGGTATTCTATCTTAATCTTGAGGAACTGGCCGGACCCCGTGGAACTCATGCTGGACTCCTGCCGCAGCATTCTAGGCGGCTGCAGGTCTGACGCAGATCGGATGTGCACCTGCTGTGCTTGCGCGATGCCGTTGTTTCTCATCTGTCCCGACATCCGTGGTGGGGGTGCCGAGAGTCCCGGGTAGCCGTTTCCTCCGCCGCCGTTCAGGTTCTGGATCGACGATTGCCGCGACGGTTCCCGCGAAGAGTCACTCGATTGCTGCGATGCGGTCGATCGTCGGTTATCGTGCGCCGCCAGTTGCTGAGATCCCCGGTAGTGGGTGGTTTCTACATCGCCGGGCCGCGGTGCAAACAACAGCTTCACCAACCGGCACTTGGATATGTATGATGGCATGCTGAGAAGCTTCTTGATGTACTCGTCCAAGCTCTGTCGTCGGGCCGCCGAGATGGTATCCGTAACGTATGTTACCGGACCGGGCATGTAAGGCAGCTTACGAGGTAATCCTGTGTGGCCTGCCTCTTCCTTGAACTCGTCCAGCAGCGCGATCTGGAAGTCGTAGAAATCCTCGTAGAACCGGCACAGACTCCACGTCCGTCCATCTTCCATCACGGCGTTCACCACATACCAGTACCGGCTGCTTTCGAAGTTGTAGTCATCGACGGATGCACTCATCGGTGCCATCAGAAGCCCCTGCGTGGACCCCCTCGATAGCCGTTGGCCCTCGTAGCCTGTCCCCGCTGCCGCTGCCCCTCCACCTCCGTTGGTCTGTGCGGGTTGTAGTGTCTGCGATACATTCTCGTCAGTGACCCCGACCGACGCGTAATGTGAGAAAAAGAGGTAAACCCCGCGATTGCACTTACGTTCCGATAGTTCCCTTGCTCGTTCGCGGCTGGAGCTTGCGGCTTCGGTGTGCCGTCCTCAAACTCAAACTGCCCCAACGCGATGCTGCTATTCTTGTACTCGGCCGCCATCTTCTTCCACTCCTCGACCTTCGGCACGCCCGCACGTGCGATCGCCGCGCGCTTATCCTCGACCGGCGCACCCGTAGCCATGTCGCGGATTTCGACGAAATCCACCGGGATCAGCCCGGGACCCCCGAGTCGGCCTATCGGCTTCGCCACGAACCACTCGTCGTTGGACTGCGCGATCACGATGATGTCCTCTCCCGTCTTCGCCTCGAGTTCGTCGGGTCGCTCCGCGTTGAAATCGTACAACACGACTCCGTACAGCGGATTCCCCGCCGCGCGTCCGCCGCCCCCGCCCCCTCCGCCCCCCCCCCCTGCCATCGCTCCCATCCCACTTCCCGATGCCGCTCGCGTCGACATGCGATCTTGCATTATGCTGCGGTCCGAATAGCCCGAGTCCTTGTCGGTCTGATGGTGTCGATCAAAGTTCGCGAGAGAAGAGTCCTGACTGTCGCGTTCGTTCTTTCCCATCACCTGGAAGTAAGGCACAGGGACGAAACCGCGGGCGTGCGTGGCCGGATTGCAGGCTTCCCACCAGTCTGGGTCGTTCTCGTTGCCGATAACGTGGAAGAAATCCCCCTTTTCGAAGCCGAGTTCTTGGTCGCTCGCTGGCTGATAGCTCTCAATAGCTTTTATAACCTAATCGAAATTACTTTTCAGCCCCTGCCCCTCTCGCCCTCGCCCCTTCTTCTTCTTCCGTCTTTCTTCTTCTTTTTTTTTGCCGCCGCCCAAGAAAAGGTGATTGCAGATTGCGCCTTTTTCTTTTCTTCCAACGGGTTGGCTCTGGCTGGCTCCAACAGCGAGCCGAACGAAACACCGCCAACGCCAACAGCGATCACACACATACGCGTGAGTATGTACGCCGGGGGATGCACAGGGGACGGGGAGTGAGGAAGGAGTATGTAGGAGACAGACAGACAAAGAAGAAGAAGAATGATGAAGATCGACGTACCTTCTTTGGCGGATTGATTGTCAGGGCGGACTTCGGGGTTATTGAGATGTGCGAGAGCTTTGGGCCGTGGAAGTGGTCGCTCCTCTCGCCCTTGATGGAGCGCCGAATATTCTGCGAACGAGCCCCCTCTCGAATTAGCACTAGGCACGCTATGCAAGGCATCGCGATTTCCCCGGCGGGGGAGCAGCAGCAGCGGCTGCGACGATGACCTGACCAGTCGAGACCAGTCCACCAGTAGATAGATAGGTAGCTGAGGGGCAAAAGACAGACACACACACCTTCATCATATTTGCGCTTGGGCGGGGGGGAGGGGGGGAGGGGCAGAGAGGGGGGGGCGGGGTACGTGATGTGTGGGCAGCAGCAGCGGCGACGGTGGCGGGGGCGGCGACGGCGGCGGGGGGTTGGGTTTGGGTTTGGTTGGGGGAGGGGGTTAGATACAAGCGATCGCGGTATGTGCAGACAGGTTCTGCAAGATGTGTGGTGGGTGGTGTATGTATGATGTAGCCCGTGTCTGGGGGGGTTGTCCCTAAACAATTTGGCCGGAAGAGATGCGGCCCAGGTCGAACTATGTACGAGTGGGTGGGGGACGGGGGGGGTGTGGGTTTCAAGCTTTGGGGGAGTGGCAAATGATGGGGGATAAAGGCTGGTGGCTCGCGAGTTGGTTGGTGACTCTCGAGATGATGACTGGCGATTGTGGATTGGATTGGGTCTTGGAAAGTCTTCGGCGCACAAGGAGTAGGAGGAAGAATGGAGTGTTGTTGTTGTTGTTGTTGTTGGTGGAGGGAGGTAGTTATTGTTGTTTATGGGATGGGGTGGTGGGGGGGGGGGGGGGGGGGGGGGTTGCGTAAGGGACCTTTTTCAACGGGGCGATGCTAACATGGGGAAGGAGGAATGAAAGGAAGCGAGAATCCCTTCTGCCGTGCGGCGGCGGTGAGTGTGGAATCGAAGATGGAGCGATGAGATGAGGGGTTAGTGGGAGTTAGTGAGATGGATACTCCCAGCAAGAAGCAAGCACAGGCAAGCAAGCAGACTCGAGGCGTCCGGATCGCGAGTAGAAGTGAGAGTGAGGCACGGCAGGCAGGCAGGCGCACGGGATGCTGGGCAGTATATAGACAGTAACGATACGGTAACCAGATAGGTATGATAGTTATGTAGACGTGCAGAACGCGAAGAATGGCAATTAATCTATCGGCGCAACGATGAGAAAAACGCGGATGTGGAGTACCTTGCAGAGTGATGGAGCAAGTAGAAGGAAGGGCTAAGGAAATGGAAGTGCGGTCAGTCAGTCAGTCAGTCAGTCACGAATGGGGAGGAAGAAGAAGAAGAAGAAGAAGAAAGTCCCCAGAATTGAGCTCATGATACTACTTCCTACTACCTAGTAGCACACCCACCTGGCTATAAAAATCTTCTTTCTTTCTTTCTTTCTTTCTTTCTCTCCTTCTTTCTTTCTTTCTTTCTTTCTTTCTTTCTTCCATCTTTCTGCCGCCTTCCAGGTAGTAGATAACCCGACCGGGCCAGATAGATATAAAAAGACGAAGGAGAAGACGACGAAGAGCGCCCACGGCTAACGAATCCGGTTGGCCCACCCGGTACCCCACCGAGCACCGCGCTCGCGGTAAGGGATGCGTCACGGGAATGGAGGGTTGCGGGTGGAGGGTGGAACCGTGGAGGGTGCAACCGTGGAAGCCAGCTGGACTCTGAAGCGGTAAGGCAAGCAAAAATAAGCAAGTTGCGTTGAGGGCGGCGGCTATGAGGTTCACTTGTCGGGGCGCCACACATTCGCGCCCCTCTGACTCTTCGAGGCCTGCTGCTGGTGGTGGTGGTGGTGGTGCCATGGTGGATGGATGGAGGGTGGTCCCAGCTTGTTTATTGTTTATCGCTCGGGACTCGGAGTCGAGGATGGGATGGGCCAGCCGCCAGTCCGCAGAGACTCGAGACCAAACAGTAAGGTGCCATTTACCTTTTATGTAGGTACTCTACTTCGGTATTCTGAGTGTGTTGGGCTTCATGCGAGCACTGTGCAGGTGCAAAGCCGAGATCAGGAAGCTGTTTACAGTATCATATCAGGTAGTGTAGTGTAGGTATCCAGTTTACTCTAGGTAGGGAGAAACATTCCGTGCAGCCGCGCATCATCCAACCATCCAACCATCCATCCATCCATCCATCCATCCATCCCGCAACCAAAGAGTCAGCAGAGAACCATGTGCGATCCTGGAGTACCCGAGATAGTCCACCACCTAACCATCCTTCCCCTACTTCGGCTCCGATCACATCTACGGTCTGTGATATGATTGGATTCCGACGCGTGCTGCTCACACACGAAAAGAAGAAAAAAACGTGGGCTGCGAGGGCTGCGTGGGCTGCGAGGGCTGCGTGGGCTGCGAGGGCTGCGAGGGCTGCGTGGGCGGCATCAAGATTCAAACAAAAAATAATGAGCGTGAGGGTTCAGCCTCAGCCTCATGGTCACCGGTGGGTGACCGGAGCTTCCCGGAGCTTCCCGGAGGGGTGCTGCAGCCTGGAGCTGGGAGCTGGGAGGGTGCGCGGCTGAGAGCCCGGGGGGAGAGCCAAGAGGGGAGAGGGGGTGCTGGGATGGGATGGGATGGGATGAGAGGGGCGGTCGGTGGCTGGTGGTCGGTGGCTGGTGGCACTGGCGAGCGACATGGTAGATGGGGAAGGCTGTGAACACTAAGCACTGGAAGATGATTGGCGCAGGTGTTCGACGGTCCAGTACCTTTAAACTACTGTATGTTCTTTTCATACAGTGGCCGCAGCCTATATAGGCAGGTACGGTAGGTGCTCCACCGCCTCAGCCCCCCATACCGTGCGCTACATAGCCCATCTCCCTGTCAATGGAGTCCACAGACGCGCGGCCTTGGCGAACAGTTAACCTGCCACGCACCCACGCACCAGTAAAAACGCAAGGAATTCGTTTTTTTAACAAGTGTAGTAGTTTAAAGGTACTGGACCAGTGGACCGTCAACGGACCGGTTACTATTCTGGGCGCGGCGCTTCTCAAAGAGTCAACACTGCCGCCCGGTGCCGCCCAGTGCGCAGCGCCTAGTCTCGAAGATCTACCTCTCCATAGCCGCCAGAGAGTCAAAGACCTCGACGACGTCCCCGCTTCTTTTTCATTGGACAGTGCACTTCTCTCTCGCAGACAGGCGGCGGCGGTGGCTCCCTTTTGTGTGGACGTTGTGATCTACTTAGGTCTATAGACACGTCAATAAAATGATTCCCCCCCCCGTCCCCGCTTCTGCCTCTGCGGAGATAACCGGCCGGCCGTCTCTCGAGTTTTCGACTGGAAGAGGGTGGTTACTGGTGTGTTGACCGTCTGTACCGTAGTGACTCCACTCGCTGCCAACGGCCACTTTCCAACTGATACCTAGAGTAGGTACATGCATAAAATGTACCGACTCGGCGGAAGGAAGCAAACTCCGAGTGCATCCACTGGGGAACGAACAGCCTACAGGCACACACAGGAATGCCAAATCGTGCGCTATATATCAGGCTATCCGTCCAACCGTCCACTCCTCACTCGACTATATGCTTTCGATATCACTCGCTCTCCCCATTCCTCAAGCAGAGCGGATCGACGGTGCATGCATTTACCTCGTACTCTAACTACTACGCAAGCAGGTAATCTAGGTACATATCACCGCCCGGCGGTGTTCACTGCTAGGCTTCCCCAACATTCGCCTCTGGGCCGGTAGGTAGAGTGCTGTAGATCATTGCGGTGCGGAGTGCATGCGTGCCATCTGCATCTTATGTATGCACATCCATACCTGGGCGAGTGCCAGTCCCAATCCCCAAAGTCAACGGTAAGTTGGTAACCAATCACACGGTTCACAGTTTACACGGTTTACAGATTACAGATTAGATAGATACGGCACCGGAAGAAGAGAGAAGCGAGACCAAGAAGAAGACAAAGACAAAGACTAAGAAGAGAGGCCAGAAGATTTTTAGGTATCATGACAATCTACCGCTTCGCCCAGTTCCACCGCATCACACTCGGCACTCGAACCGCAAAGCCTTGGATTTTAGCAGCAGCCCCAGCTCCATCTTCGTATCCATCTACCACACCCCCCCTCCCCTCCCCCCCACCACCACGGCAGCAGCGGTGACCAGTGCGACCACCCCCCCAGCCACGCCGAGCTCATGCACCACGATCGCGGCACCGACCGCATACAGCGCGATCTTGACCAGCTTCAGCGCCCGGCGCGCCGTATGCTCGGGGATAGACGGGTTGTGTTCCCACCATTTAGATTCTCCGGGCTGGCCACGCTGTTCCAGAGAGGAGGTGCGGGAGGAGGGGGGGTGGGACGAGGAGGGGTGGGAAGAGGAAGGGCAGCCTTGGAGGTAGGTGGCGACCTGCGGGGAGACGTGTGAGGAGGCGTGGGCGTCGTCCAGCGGGGTGTATGGTGATGAGTGGCGGAGGGAGTGCTGGCGGGGTAGCATAAACTCCTCGAGGGCTTGGCGCTCGGCGGGCGTGAGAGGAGGGGGATTGGTGGTCGGCATCGTGACTCGAGGGGTGTTGGGGTGGATGGTCGGGGGAGGGGAGGGTGATGTTGATGTTGGTGGTGGAGGAGGAGGTGGAGAGGGGGGAAGGTAGAGGTGGAGGAGGAGGAGGAGGTGGAGAGGGGGGAAGGTAGAGGTGGAGGAGGAGGAGGAGGAGGAGGAGGAGGAGGAGGGGTAGTGGTGGTAGTGGGCTAGCCACCAAGCACATGTTATGGCCCACAGACAATCGACCCCGAACTTGCCCGTTGTGAGGTGGGATCACGATCACTCGGACTCACACTACGAATGATATCGTGTGCAGCTCTAGTTTAGATCTGAAGCACTGACTGGGCTAGGCTAGAGCGAGGTCCGGTGCAACGTCTCGTCACTCGGCCCTAACTAATAGGGATCCCGAGCACCTAGGTGTCGGCCCACTTAGGACAGGAAAGTCGGGAAGACTTTCCTGGGGATATCCAGAAGTGACCATCCCCAGATCACGCTGTTATTCGCATGTATGCATGTGTGTATATGTGTATGTGTGTATGAAGTATGTTATATGTGCATTTCTTTCCCGTACACTACAGTACAACCACCCCCACCCCCAAACCCCAAATCCCAAACCCCAAACCCCAAATCCCAAATCCCCTCCGGCGCAGCCGGAAATCCACCCTTATATACACTCCGCCCACCTGTTCTACTCCGACCCACCAACAACCTCACCCGCCGCCTCACCAGTCACACCCCCGAGCAGCCCACTGAGCAGACTACTCAGATCTCCCGTGCCTCCCGTGCCGCCCGTACCGCCCAGCAGCCCGCTCAGCAGACTACTCAGATCTCCCGTGCCGCCCGTGCCACCCAACAGCCCGCTCAACAAGCTGCTAAGATCAGGGAGGCCGCCGAGGGCCGTCGTGGTCGTGGCAGCCGGGGCGTCTGCGGTGCCGGTCGCGGTGGGGACCGCGGGCTCGCCGGCGTAGGTGGATGCCTGCGGCGATACGGGGGCGTCTGAGCCGGCGGTGGGGGCGACTAGTCCGGACGGAGCGGCGGGAATGTCCGTGTAGTCGCCGGCACCGCCGGTTGGGTAAGCGCCGCCGCTGGGTGGGAAGATTCCCGCTGGGATGCCGGTAGGGTATGCGCCGCTGGGAGGGAAGATTCCTGCTGGGATGCCGGTGGGGTACGCGCCGCCGCTGGGCGGGAAGATGCCCGAGGGGAAGCTAGGGAAGCCGGAGGGTAGCCCGCCGGTGGGCGAACCGGGGAAGCCGCCCGGAAAGCCGCCGGGGAAGCCGCCGTGGTGCTGGCCGGCGTGTTGGACGGCGTGCTGGCCGGACAAGCTGCCGGCTGGCATGCCGGGGAAACCGCCAGTGGGAAGACCGGTAGGAAGGCCAGTTGGCATGCCGGGGAAGCCACCGGTTGGCATGCCGGGAAACCCGCCAGTGGGGAGACCAGTCGGCATGCCGGGGAAACTGCCAGTAGGGAGGCCAGTCGGCATACCAGTGAAGCCGCCAGTCGGCATACCGGGAAACCCGCCGGTAGGCAGACCAGTCGGCATATCAGAGAAGCCGCCAGTCGGCAGGCCGGTTGGCATGCCGCTGAGCAGGCTGCCCTCGGGGAAGCCTGTCGGTATACCAGTAGGCAAACCACTCGGAAGTCCCACTTCCGGTAGGCCCGTAGGCATACCGCTGGGAGCCCCGGTACCAGTCGGCATTGGCAAGATGGTCATCGACCCATCAGCAGCACTGCTAGGGATATGCTGCGGCTTCGGCATCGGCGCGGCAACCGCAAGTGCCGCGAAGAGGAGAGCGACGAATGTCGAGGAGGCGTACATCTTCAAGATGGTGGGAATGAAAGTATGATAAAAGGCTGGCTTTTGTGTGAAGAAGAAGAAGAGAAAGAAAGAAGGAGGGAAACACGGCCTGCGGTTCGGAATGGAAAGACTGGAAGGGAGCTGCTGTTGATGCTGATGATGCAAGTGATGTTGGGTCTGGGCGGGACTCTGGGACTTATATACCGAACTCGAGTGTTGTTCTTCTCCTCTGGTGCATCAACATCTCCACGGCCAGGGACTCGGAAACAACATCCTTGCGCACTGTTACGGGAAGATTAACCGTGTAGCGATCATCGTAGCTGGGGGTTTTGTTTTGTTTGTAAGGCTGCAGAGGCGAGATGCCTGGCTGTGGCGTCACGGGTACTCTACATCCAACCGCTACCATTGACTGTTATGCCTACCCAGCTACCCGTATCGATGCTCAGGAGTCAGAGCACCAAAGAAACTTGGAAGTACCGGCATACCTACCGCCAGCATGACCCCAGCACGCTGAAAATCCCTCGAAGACGCGAACGGAGACGGAGACGATGACGGAAAAATATCTTCGAAACAGAGAAACAAGCCTCGGTGGTATGCGTCCACCAGTAGGAACCCAATCGGCGATGCTACAGCTCAGTGACTCCTCACTGAAGATTCTAGGGCTTGATGTGATGTGATGCAGGCAACTCCACTTCCACCTCTGCATCTGCATCTGCATTTGTTCGAAACGAAACGAAACGGGGCTGCGATCGGCTTCCACATCGGCATACCGCCCACTCGGGCGGGCGGGTGAACACAGTCTGGCCTGGCCGAAACTCCGGCCATGTAAGAGAGTATTACAGCTAGCTGGGTAGGCCGGGGTTCTTTACCGGGAGAACCATCATAGCGACTCTGTGTGTCTTGCGGTACGGACGGTACCTGTGCGTGCATGCATGCTCTGCAACAACACCACTCACCGCAGCATCAACCTATCAACCAGTCGTCATAAATCGCGAACCACCGTCTCCGTCCCACCTCCGTCTCCGGCTCGTCGGCAGTGACATCCGTCTGCTGCGATATCGGACGAGCCGTAGATTGCGGTGAACACTCAATTCAATTCAAGGCGAGATTTTACATGAATACCGTAGGAAAGGGAATTTGGAAAACGTGGTTGGTTACTTGTTACGTTGACAGATTGTATTGGCTGTATGTGTAAATACTCAAGCTACCAAACTTCAAAGGAAACACGTGGTGATCTTAACTGTACCTGAAGCCTTACACAAATACCTACCCAGATCCGTCGGAAGGGTGGGGTGGGGTGGCGACTTCAAGCTTGGAAGCTGGACGTTGTTTATCTGAAAGCCCCCCCGTCTCACAATCCGAAACGTACCAGTTGGAGTTGGAGTTTGGATAAGCCTCGGTCCATGTACTCTACTCTACCGACAACGCGAGATCAACCACCGGTAAGTACTATATAGGTACCCCATGCACATACAGCCTCGGGAATAACCGAAGATCATCCTCCCCAGATAATTTAGAGTGGATTACAGTGGATGTTCGTGTGGATAGTAGGTACGCGTATGCGCCCTTTTTATATGCGACTGGGGTTATATGAGGTTACCCAGTTGAAGGATTTGTGGATGGATGGATGGATGGATGGAAGTGGGATTTGGGATGTTTCTATGTACTTCTAGTATGTTCTTATGTACTGAACTGATACGGGGTCTGGGGCAGGTCAGATTTGCGCTGCGTCAGTCGGTCTACATATGCCAGAGTTTGTCGGGCGGATTCGACACTCATCATGTGAAGTCTGGGAAAAGCTACATATCTTTTGATACCGCGCTTTTGGTCACTCGGTCCCAGCCCTCGATTCCATCCCCATGTCGGTAGTCATCCACATCCATTAGGCTTGCGCAGATCAGATCAAATCAGATCAGGCGCAGGAGGTAGGTAATTCTCTATGGGAACGAATAGGTACCAGACATAAGGGATCAAAAAAACTCCAAAAAATTACGTGTGGCAAGAAAAGCAAGCAAGCAGTGAAGCAGTGAAGCAGCAGGAAGAAAGTAGAAACTGGGCAGGCAACCTGATATTATACAAAGCTGGCCGTCATCAAAAAAAAACACAAAAATAAAAGAGTTCGAAGATGCGTCTTGTCTTCGACTAGTTCAGGCCCCTCTTCTCGCTCTCAGAGTAGAAGATCAACATCCTCCACACTTTCCTGACCATGGTCTCGGCGTCTTCGTCGAGTGCCTGGAATCGTGTTAGTACCTGGGAGTCTTCGCGGAGGTATATGAAGGGAATCTTACCATCTCCAGTTCCTTGACTAGTTCCTCAGCACTGCCTCTCTTCTTGATGTGGCCGAGCACGAAGCCGACAAGCTCTTGTTCCTGAACACCAAGGTACTCGACAATCTTCTTCTCGACGAATGGCTGCAGCTTCTCCTTGACGATAGCTTCGTCGACCTGATCCCACTGCACTTTCCACTCGAACAAGCCCCTCCGCTCAGTTGGAATCTCTTGTGCCAGTTGTCTGACCAGGCGCTCTCGTGTCTCGTCGTCCATCGAGCTGGAGACATCATACTGTATGGGAATGAGCACACGACGAGTCTTAGTTTCATCTTCCTCCTCATCTTCGAGCAGGTTCTCGACATCGGCAGCAGTCTTTCTCCTCGGTTTCTCCTCATTCGCCTTGCGAGTGGCCGCCGCCGCACCGAGCGACAACTTGAATCGTCTCGGCTCTTCGCGCGCAGCAGCCGCCTTCTCCATCTCCGCCGCCTGCTGGGCAAGGAAGCTGTCGGCCATGCTCTCCGCCGCACGCTTCTTGTCAGTGTCGGCCTCGAGCTGTCTCTGCTCCGCAGCACGGTCCCGTTCATCGAGCTCAATCTCTCGCTGGCGGAACGCACTACGGTTACGGATCCATACGGAGCGGTCTACATAGTACTCCTCGGTCTTGTTCTCGGCCTCGATGTCATCATCCCACTCCGCTAGTCTTTTCGCCATGGCGGTGCGATCCACCTCCTCGCGACGCTTGTCATCGTCATCTCGCTGGCGCTCACGCTCGAGGGCAGAGGTGCGGGAGCGCTCACGATTTAACCAGCGGCGCTCGTGGTCCAGGTATGTCTTCTCCTGGTCCGCGGTCTTGCGTTCTTTTCTCCTGCGTTCGAGCTCCGAGTCAGAAGCATCGGACTCTTCTTCTTCACGGGTGTATGCATAGCCATTGAGACCACCACCGTTAACAAAGGAAACACCTTTTTGGTAGTCGCGAGGGGCAGAGGAGGGACCTGTAGGGATACGGGGAGCGGTGGGTGTCTGTTGGTCTCTAATGCGGCTGGGGCCGATGGGGATTGCATTCGCGCCACCGCTGGGGCCAGTAGGAGCTGATGCGGGCGGTGAGGCAAGACGACTGACGCGAGAACTGGGAGGGTTGTTCCGTTCCCGCTCCATGCGTTCGATCTCTTCTTCCCGCTTCAGCCGCTCCATGTCGCGACGGTTGGAGCGCTCGCGGAAAGCTTGGATCTCTTTCGCCACCATCTCTCGCATATCTGCTGGGATATCCGAAAGCTCGTCGTCGGTGGAGAGAGGAATGGTGACGATTTCAGGCTGCGGGGTGGACTCATCTGGTTTTGGAGAGGAGGCCTTCTCCTGAACAGGCGTGCTCTCAGTAGGTTTCGCCGTGTGTTTCGTGGGATCTTTGAATTCGGCGAGCGCGTTCTCGAGATTGGTCTTTGCTGTGTCGAGACGGATTTCCCGTAGATCGGCGTTGTTGGCATCCTCCACGTTGTCGAGGTAAGTCTTCGATTTATCGTCGATTGTTACCTATCGATAGAAGAGTTGGTCAGTCTGGACATCGCAAGGGCGGGGTGTATGTGGGGAATCGGTACCAGTAATTTGGAACCTTCCGTAAGATTGTCAACAGCAGGTATCTCTAAATCCTTAAGAACTTCATATGCGCACCCAAGAGACTCTGGATCCGCATATTCTGCGAATCCGAACTTGCACGGTTTTCCGTCTTCATCAGTCGCTCTCGTCCACTTCCTCAGCGTCGCCGTCGCCTGTGTACTCAATCAGCACAATTCCAACTTCCAAGTTCAAATCAAGGGTGCTCACCCTCAAGATTCGTTCCATCCACTCATCATCGACGCCCTTCGGTATTCCACCCACGAAAACAGTCTTAAGCTGCTCCTCAACCGTCGGTGGCAGAAGTTCATTGACCTCCCTTGCCATCGAGCCTGCTGCCTTGCCCGCCGTCGAACTCTGTGTAGGTAGAGGATTCTGCCGCGTCACCGAGGTGCCCAGTCTGATGATTGGCGCATTGAAGTTTATGTTCGGAAGATTCGCGGGCGGCGCGAAGCCAGCTATTCCAGGACGTGCGCCCATATTGGCCTGTTGGGTGCCGGGGGGAGCTCCAGTGCCAGGTGCGCCAACGCCAGGTGGAGGCGGCATGCCCGGAGGCCCACCCATTCCAGGAGCTGTGCCAGGGGGCATACCGAAGCCTGGAGGAACACCAGGAACTCCCATCCCAAATCCAGGCGGCATGCCCGGCGGCATTCCGGGGCGGCCAAACGGCGCTTCTGCAGACTGTCAGCGACACGCGACAAGCGGGCGTGGAAGAGGATGCGTACGGCCAGGATACTGGTACATTGTCTTCTGTTTATGCTATCGAATCTGAGTAGGTAGGGTGAAGGTGGTACTGTAGATTGACGCGAAGTTGAAATGAGAGTCACGTTGTGATTGAGTTGTTGCTGGAGAATGGCAGAGTTAGAGCAAAGTCGAAGCAGCACCGAAAAGAACTCAAGACGTATCCGCCGTGAAAGTTGCGCTAGCGGTTGTTGTTGGCTAGGGCTTGGCAGTTACGGCTTTTGTGGCTCACCTTCTTTCGGCTCCAACTCACATCGCCCACCCACCACCGGCTGTCAATTGCTACCCCCACCATCGCCCCCACCACCGTCAAAGGGAGCTGAACACTCCTTCAACCCTTCTCAATCCGCCATGGAGTTCCGACGGTTCGCCTACACGGCTATCTCTACACGGCCAGTCGCCTCTCTCTATCCCCGCGCCGTCCGACAATTCGGTACCTCCGCCGCCCGCCTTGCCGATGACCAAAACCCCAATGCCAATGCCAACAGCAGCGGCGCCAGCAGTGCCAGCAGTGCCAGCAGCAGCGCCAGCGCCAGCAAAACTACCGGCAGCAACAATGCTACCGGCCGAGGAAATATGTGGAACACAGAATGGCTGAATGACCTCACGGCGACTACCATGGCATCAACCAGCCAATATCGTCCTCAGCACAACAACCGTACGGCGATGGACTCTCCTCCGTTGGAGCACCTTACGAGTAGCATGAACACCAAACTCCCGAAAATGGGGCCGACCGCGGGACGCTCCATCATCGTTCAGGCGGACGTTGCACAGGCCTTCATGAAGCTGCGGTCAATAATCTCGCAGAACAAAGTCCGCCAGGACTTCCACCGCCAGAAGTTCTACGAGCCCAAGGGTATAAGGCGCAAGCGGTTGCGCAGCGAGCGGTACCGTGTGCGTTTTAAGGAGGGATTCAGGAGGATGATCTCGGTGGTGCTGGATATGAAGAAGAAGGGAATGTAGAGGTTGCGGTTATGACGTGGGGAAGTGGATGGGGGGATTGGATTTGGGTTCAGGTTCAGGATGTACACAGACGGTGCGGTTGATTGGCGGTAGTTGCTCCGGGTATGTAACCAGCAGGGTGCCGCGAAAAGGACACATGGACGCGTGTGCGTGTGGTGGGATGATCATCAATTGTACATTATAACGCGAGAGTATAAAAGGAGCAAAGGGACATTCATAAGCAGCCGATACTGCTGCATCCTGTTGTGGTCCAGTAACCACCATCGCCATCGTAAGCCCATCGCCACTCTGCCAATTCTCGGTAGGGCTGTGGTTGTATTATAGTCACACAAGTTCCCCTGACTTTATTTGAGCCGCTACAGCTGGTAGGAATACCATAGCTACAGGGACACACCTCCCGTCTTCATCTCAATTCCTCACCACGAAGCAGAAACTACTCTGCCATTCCCGGAACCAGCTCTTCCGCCTTCTCCAAGCTCTACTGGAGCGTGCCATTCCTTCTCCGCAATCATGGCTCGCCTCGGGCGACTCGGCTTTCTAGCCGTCGGTGTTGTCTTTCACTTGATCTACATTTACTCCATCTTCGACATTTATTTTGTCTCTCCGATAGTGTCGGGCATGCGGCCGCATCACGTCGATGCGCCGGCACCCGCAAAGCGCCTGTTCCTCGTTGTCGGTACGTTGCTCGTCTCTTTCCCGTAGAAACCGAAGCTCACAGGGTCCCTCCGCTGCAGGTGATGGCCTTCGCGCCGACAAGTGCTTCCAGCAGCACATCGATCCCGACGAGCCCTCGCAGACCCGGTATCTCGCGCCCTTCATCCGCGACAAAGTCCTGAACGAGGGAACATTCGGCGTATCGCACACGCGCGTCCCCACCGAGTCCCGGCCCGGCCATGTAGCGCTCATTGCCGGCCTCTACGAAGACGTCTCGGCGGTGACGACGGGATGGAAAGTCAACCCGGTCAACTTCGACTCGGTCTTCAACGAGTCGCGCCATACGTGGTCGTGGGGCTCGCCCGATATCTTGCCCATGTTCCAGCTTGGCGCTTCGGACAAGTCGCGGGTCGACGCTTGGACGTATGACGAGGAGATGGAGGACTTTACGCAGGATGCTACAAACCTCGATATCTGGGTCTTCGACCGGGTCAAGGCGTTCTTTGAGGATGCGCGCAGGGATTCCGAGTTGGCAGACCTGCTGCAGAAGGATAAGTTGGTGTTTTTCTTGCATCTGCTGGGATTGGACACCACCGGACACTCGTACAGACCATACAGCCCCGAGTACTTGAAGAATATCAAGGTGGTGGATCAGGGCCTGAAGGAGGTGCATACGCTGGTGGAGGAATTCTATGGACATGATGGCAAGACGGCGTGGGTGTTTACTGCGGACCACGGTATGAGTGATTGGGGATCGCACGGCGACGGACATCCGGACAACACACGGACGCCTCTGGTCGCCTGGGGAGCTGGTGTCAAGAAGCCGGAAAGTACGCTGAGCCTTCCTGCCGGAGAGAAGAACGGACACGAGGATGGGTTCTCGGGAGACTGGGGCCTGGGAAGTGTCCTTCGACACGACGTAGCGCAGGCTGATGTGGCGGCGCTGATGGCGTACCTTGTCGGCCTGGACTTCCCGGTCAACTCTGTTGGAGAGCTGCCGCTGGACTTCTTGGATGCAGATGACGAGACTAAGGCGAAGGCTGCGTTGACAAACGCGAAACAGATCCTGGAAATGTACAGTGTCAAAGAGGGTATTGTCCGAGTGATGCCTAGTGATTATTCCTTGAAAGCTGACAGCTAGCAGCGCAGAAAAAGGCCACCCACATCAATTACAAGCCATACGCACCTCTGGCCAACCTCCTGGAGCAGTTCGCTGAGATCGAAGGCCTTCTCGAGGATGGTGCTTACGAACTTACCATTAAGAAGTCCATGAGACTGATTAAGACCGGTCTCGAGGGCCTCCGCTACCTCCAAACCTACGATTGGCTCCTCCTACGCACAATCGTGACGCTCGGCTATCTCGGCTGGATGGCATTCGCCCTCACTACCGTTCTCGACTCCCACATTGTCGATGGCACCGCTGAAGCTGATCGCACTCCGGTGTCCACCTTCCTGTTTTCGGGAGTCCTAGTGGGCTTGTATACCCTCTTCTTTATTCAGAAGTCGCGCCCAACATACTACGCATATGCCCTCTTCCCCGTTGTCTTCTGGGAAGAGGTCTTCGTCCGGCGCAGGTCGGTCGTCAGGGGTGTAGCACAGCTTGTGCGCGAAGTGCCCGGCGGAACGAGCAAATACCTGGGACTGGCAGTGCAGGCGGTGATGGGTGTGGCTTTGTTGGAGGCGATTGTTCTCGGGTATTTCCACCGTGAGGTATTTTCGGTTTGCTTCATACTTGCGGCCTTCTGGCCGATGATGTATGGTGCGGCGTTCATGAAGACCAACAAGCTGCTGTGCACCCTATGGCCAGTGTGCTGTTTTCTCATGAGTACTTTCACTTTGCTTCCAGTCGTCAAGACTGAGAGTGAAACTCAGATGTAAGCGCCCTTCCCTCCATCCTTTATGGTGGTATCTAATGATGATAGACTCCTCGGCGGCGGCATAATGTTCTTCATGGGCGTTGCGTACATGATTTTCGGCACCACCATTTCCGACGGTGTACCGAAGGGGCAAACTCTCGGCGCAACTATCCTCGCGAATTATAGCCGCGACGTTATCTCCAAGTCAATCGTCGGAGCTCAAGTGGGACTGATCGCCCTTTCCATGATCGTCACTTCCTCCTCTCTGCGGAGCCTGCAACAAAAGCAAGGCCTCCCACTCGGGAACCAAGTCCTGGGCTGGAGTATCCTCGTCCTCTCCCTCACCATCCCTCTCCTCCATGCCCTCCAACCGAACCCCCACTACTTCCACCGCCTGGCGGTATTATTCCTCACCTTTGCGCCGATCTTTGTCATCCTCAGCATCTCCTACGAGGGCCTCTTCTACATCGTCTTCGCGAGCACGCTGCACCTCTGGATCTCGCTCGAGTCGCTCCTCTCATCCTCCACCCCCAACACCACGCAGCCCCGCGCCCTAAAACTAGCCGACCTCCGTCTCTCCCTAGCACTCACGCTGTTCCTGCAATCCGCCTTCTTCAGCACGGGCAACATCGCCTCGATCAGCTCCTTCAGCCTTGACAGCGTCTACCGGCTGCTGCCGATCTTCTCCCCCTTCGCAATGGGAGCGCTGCTGATCCTAAAGCTGCTCATCCCGTTCGCGCTCATCTCCGCCAACCTAGCGGTGCTCAATCGCCGCGCCGGACTCGGCGGTAGCGCGGTGTTCATGTGCGTCACTGCCCTGAGCGACGTCCTCACCCTCAACTTCTTCTGGCTCGTCAGGGATGAGGGTAGCTGGCTGGAGATTGGAACGGGGATTTCGCACTTTTGTATAGGTGGTGCACTGGGCGTGTTCCTGGCTGGGCTCGAGGGACTCGGTACTTGGTGGGGGAAGGGTGTGCAGGTACATGTTCCTGCTGCCGCTGCCCCGGCACTGGAAAGTAAGGCGGAGCGGAAGGAGATGTAATGATGTGGGATAAGTGATGCATGATAGATTTTTGGATTGGATTGTGGGCAAGGATATACTCTTGTATTTCTATGTAGATGCTTTACTTGGATGGATGGATGGATGGATTTGGCTTTTTCTTCTGGCTTCTGGCTTCTTGCGGGTGCGAGCGCGCAGTGACTGAATGTGGTTTCGTCTGATCGTGATGCAGTAGGATACACTGTTCGATACCAGACCTTAAACATCAGCCGGCTATCTTCGTGGGTGCGTCGGCAGAGTTCAAAGTTCAAACAAGACAAACCACGAACGGCGGGCGTCCGCCTTGGAACAGCGACTCGGCGAGTGCATCAGGCACCTACATCATACCTCTTAGCACACGCACATAGGAAGTAACCATCCCATCCCACCATCCGTCCGTCCGTTCTTTACCAGCACCACCAGCACCACGCACCACGCACCACACAATGTCGCCCCCCCAGCCTGCACCCCAGCCGCAGCGCACGACCTACATCTACATCATCACACTCCTCCCCGCCAGTCGCACACTCAACCTCGACTCCCCCTCCCCCTCATCCCCCTCATCCTCCCCGTCCGCCAGCACACACGCGTTCACGTCGCGCATACGCGCGAACGCCGTCGCGCGCCGGGAGCTGCGCAACCACGCAGCGGAGTTCGAACACCGCCCACGCCTCGAGGAGTGGATGGATGAGGCGGGGTTGTTCCGTGGGAGTGCTGTTGATCCTGATGTGCAGCTGGAGGGGGAGGGGGTGCAGGGGGAGGTCAGGGTCGAGATTCGGGTGGAGGTGAGGGTGGATCGGGTGCTGTTGGTCGAGGGCGAGGACGAGGGGATGGGGGACGGGGAGGTGGGGCTGGGGAGGGTGTGGACGGCTGGGGAGACGTAGCCAAACAGATGTGTATTCAACGCGGTTATTAATGCCAATATGGGACCCACCCCACCCACCCCGCCCCGCCCCCCCGCTCGCCGTCGTGAACTGTCGCGGTAAACGCGTGTATAATACATATCCCGTCCCTCATCTCATCTCATCAAACCGGTCGTGACAACCCAACCCAACGTGACAACCCAACGAAAGAAAGCAAGAAGGCAAAGGGGAGCAACAAAAAAACATGCGCTCTAAGTTACTTAGTCTAGATAGTATAATCAATCGACCCTCTCCTCCTCGATGCGCCTCGCCTTCCCCAGTCGCTCCTCGACCTCTCCAACGACCCTGCTAAACGCCTCGATCTCCTCCTCGACGGGCCTCCTCCCGCCCGCCCCACGGCGGAAGAAGTCCGACGTTGCGACGCCGCGCACTTCCTCGCGGTTGATGCTCCCGAGGCCAGCCTCGCCGACCTTGCGCCCCTGCGCGACCTTCGTCTTGATGTACTCGCGGACGGGGACCATCGCGGCGTCGCGGCAGGCCTCGGTAAGATCGCTGCCACTCATGCCGGCGGTCTTCGCAACGAGCTCCTCGAGATCGAAGTCCTCCGTGGCGAGCTTCGTGTCCTTGAGGATCAAGCCGAGGATCCTGCGGCGCTGCGCGGCGTCCGGCAGGTTGATCGAGAACTTCTTCGGCATGCGCCGCAGGATCGCCTCGTCAATGTCCTGGATGCGGTTTGTCGCGCCGAGGATCATGATCTGCGCGGGGGTGCCGGACGAGTTCGTCGACAGCAGCCCGTCCCAGTGCGTCATGAACTCGGCCTTGACCATAGTGCTCGCCTCGTGGTCGGTGGAGCTGCGCGAGCGCAGCACCGCATCGATCTCGTCGATGAACACGATTGTGGGCTGCAGCTTCTTAGCCAGCGAGAACACCGCCGTCACCAGCTTGTTCGAGTCGCCGTACCACTTCTCTGTCAGCGTGCTGATGTGCAGGTTGATGAAGCAGGCGCCGGACTCCCGCGCGAGCGCCCGCGCAAGCATCGTTTTGCCGCAGCCTGGCGGCCCGTAGAGCAGAACTCCCTTGGGCGCGGACAGCAGCGTCGACGTGCTCGAGAACAGCCCCGGGAGCGTGAGCGGGTAGATCACGCTTTCCTTCAGCTCCTCGATGATTGGTTCCAGCCCACCGATATCTGCATTCGCCAATCGCAACATCAGCCTCTCGCACCACCCCGCGCGCCACACATCGGAGGGAAACTAACCATCAAAAGAAACATGAATATCCTCGGGCGCGACAACCTCGGTCAGGATGGTCTGCTCGTAGGAGTTGAGCACGAGCTTTTCCACCTTCCCGCCGGCTGAGGTTGCGCCGCCGTTCGCGTCTAGTCGCCGCAGGATCGCATCCGACTTTTTCTTCACGGCCGCTTTCTTTTCGCGCTCGGGATCGCGATACGATATGAGCCAGCGTATTAGGTAGTAGGCTGACACTTGCTAGATGGGGCATCAGTTAAAGTGCCTGCGCGCGCGGGCCCCGGGCTGGGACGGGGGGGGGGGTTGCTTACTGCCGCGGCTACCCAGAGGATGTCCACCAGTAGCTTGGATTTGCGACCGGTGCCGGAAGTCATTGTGGCGATGGAAGTGAGTCGGGGTTTGTATGCAGTGGTGGTGGTTGTGGTTGAAAGAAGAGCGTGGTGATGTTGACTACTGGGGGGGGGGGGTGGGTGAATGTTATGTATGCCACGAAGTTCTTCGAGCGCTGTCGTGGTTGAGTTACATGGATCGCCTTGAGATGCGAGGCTTGGGGGGCGAGAACACATGTGATGTGATACCTGGCGAGAAGAGTCTCCGCTAAACTGCATGGAGAATACCGCGTGAAGAGAACGCAGAAAGAGCCGCGGCCACTCTGAGCGCGTCCTCCCGCAGGTCTTCAGACGCACACGACAATCGCCAGGCACTCAATGCGCGACTGCGACGACGGAGAAGAATCACTCCAGCTGCGGTGCATATTACCCTGGAGTTCTGGCCCGCTAGAGTTAACGGGAAAGAGGAATAGGCCCAGTCTGTGTGTAACTCACATCGGACACTTGTGCTTTCCATTGCACCGTCGCTACATCTCCCCGCCATCACCGTCCCCGTCCCCGTCGCAGTCGCAGTCGCAGCCATGACTACCTCCCGCCCCTCCTCCACCAACTCTTTCCATCGAGCGTCCCACATGAATTCAAACACCGCCTCCCCCAACCCCCGCACAACCAGCAATGTGCGTGACTTCGTCAACCGTCGCAACCGCACTCCCTTCCTCGGCCGGAACGAGGCGCCCTCGCCCTCGCCCTCGCCCTCGCCCTCCCCGTCGCAATCGGAATACTCCGATCGTCGCCACAATCGCGAGACACAGGACGACCCTCCCACCGGCCATCTGTTCGACTCGTCGCTTACAGACACTGACTCAACCATGTCGCGGCGCCAGATGCTCGAGGCGCAGAAGCTGCCAGTTCCACTTGTTGGTGCGGCAGTGCGCAAGAGGGCCGATGTCAAGGATGAAAAGCCCAGAATGTTTCAGCAGCAACAGCACGAGGAGGACGACGACGTCTTCCCGCCCCTTGAGAACTTCGATGCGCAGGATGGCGAGTACGATGACGATAACGGCACCGATCACGATGGCTACGGCGGCGTTGACAGCTACAGCATGTATCCGGAGGACGACCGCTATGGCACCGACAGGGGCGGTGTGGGCGTGCCGGATGAGGAGGAGTACGATGAGGAGGAGGAGAAGTCGGAAGACGAGGAGGACGTGACGCAGCGCGTCGTGCCTGGCGGCGGACTGTGGGATGATACTCGGACCAGTGGGGGAATGTTTGATCAGACCGCCGACAACATCTTCATGCAGCGCTCTCCACCTCGGAGGCAGAGATCGCCCGGTATGTACCCTCTCTACTGATACAGCTTCGCGATACTAATTGCCACAGACTCACCGCCCCGTCTCCAAAACCTCCCCGTCCGCAGTACTCGCTTTGAGGCTCCCCATCCCAAAGACCCCCCAGCCCCACCCTTCGGCCTCTTCAAGCGCCTCCCCGTCAACAACAACAACAACAACAACAACAACAACACCCTTGCGCAGCCGCAACCGCAGGTGCAGCAACACCGACTAGTCCAGCCCGCGGGCCCGGACCCCGACCGCACCGTGCGCCTCGCCCCCGCCCACCGCTCACCAGACTCCACACCTCGCCCACCGGAGCCCGCCAGCCCGCAGCCCTTCCTCACCGACGCCGAGCTGCGCCCAATCCCCAGCTTCTCCGCGCTCCTCTCGCACCTCCAAGCCACCCACGCCGCCAGCCGCTCCTCGCCGCCGCAAGACCTCGAGAACGAGCTCAAAACGCTGCTCGCATTCGCGTACCCAGGCCGCGACGCCGACAAGGTCGGCAGTATGTTCGCCGCGCTCCCGGACGCCGCCTACGAAGCCGCAGGCGACATCATTGTCGCCCGCAAGCGAGAGCTCGAGGAGAAGATTCGAGAGGCTGGCAGGAAGAGGAGGAGGGTCGTTGCTGCTCGTGTAGATACGGTTAAGGTCGTCGCTGAGGATAAGATGCACCGTCTGGAGAGGCTGACGAAAAGGAGGGAGGGTCTCAGGGGAAGCGTGGGTAGGCTGTTGGTCGAGAATGGGTTTGCGGTTGAGTTTTAGGAGGGAGTGGAGTTTGGATTTTCGGACTAGACGAGGACTGGGCGCTTGATGTTGATGTTTGCGAGCGATGTTTGCGTGGGATTGTATTTTACTGGACACCTGAACGTTGATGGGGTGAGGTGGGGTGGATACCTAGGTGGATATACCCACGGCTGGATCTGGGCTTGATGATTGATTGATTGATACATGGATCTGTGTTTTGTGCGTTTCTTTTGCTGCATATAGTTGATTTACTAGTAAATTTATTTACAAACATCATTGCATGGCGTCATGAATTCTTCAAGTGCAACTAGATGAAGTAGTGTTTTCACTTGTCTAAACTTTTGAAGTAAAAAGTACTGCCGCATGAAATATCACTCACCGGAAGATGACGAAATAAGAGCGGAGGTTGTGAGTACTCCACATCATACTAGCAGTAGTTCTTCGGTATTCAAACGACCGCTGTATCCTTCCCGTATCAATTAATCAATCGCGCCCCCACTTTTTTTTTTTTTTTTTTTTTTTTTTTTGCTACTGTATGGTGCCTGCGCTTTTGGAGGCCCATCTTTTTGCGGTTCTATTTTCAAGCCAGCTAGCAGCCGGCAGCAGCCAGCAGCAGATGTGAAACCCATGGTGGGGGAAAGTCACAGGCTATGTGCCTTCCTATGTATGGATTTGGATTCCTAGACCAATGTGATGTGGGTGTAGAGATCTTTGACAAGAGGAAACACTGGGTTTTGTAGGGAAATCAGGCTGCGGCGCACCACACTCTCACGAGTGGCGAGTGGAAAGGAACGGGTGTGGTATACTAGTCATCGCCGAGTAGTGAAGTTGTAGGTTCGAGAGTTGTTAGGTGATCTTTTTTGATCTTTTTGGTGGGGCCGACTGTTTCCATGTAAAGTCATGTAAACTTTCCGCGTGGAGAGCTAAAAAAAACACTGTGCCCTTCTAGGCCGCAGGCACCATATATGTGTACTTTACTTTCATACCAAGTAAGAAGTATGTAGCTCTCTATCTCTTACATCATAACATTTCTTACTTTCTTCACCGATAACTGTTTCAAACACACTGGAAATTACTCGTGGAAGGGGATTGAGGTTTGATGAAGCACTCAAATCTCATGAGAATTGCTTCGAAGATTCCTTCGCAACTGGCACTGCCGGCAGTGTGAAAGCTACATGCTCTAAACTCTTGTCAGGATACTATACCTCCAGGGAACTTGTCGCCATTGACTGGGAGAGTTTACTGCATGTCGAGATGGGAGCATGCGGTTACCATCAAGATTTAGAATCTTTGCGAGAGGGTGAGTGGAATCATTCGTGATCACTCGCCCCGCTAGCGCATTTCAAGAACGAACCCTTCAAAAGCTGAGGTCGACTGAGATTTTAACCAGCTTTTGGTTCTACTCCTCTACCATCCTGCCAGCCAATCATTCAACACTACCGAAACGAAACGAAACGACATCCTAACACACGAGTCTCCAGCCACCGGTCGCACCACCATCAAGATGTCCGACACCGCTTCCAGGATGTCCGACACCTCCAAGCAGTTCAACCCGCCCAACCCGCCTTCCAACTCGGATACGCAGGCTGTCGATCCGCCCGCCGTCGCAACCCAGACCACTGACAAGCCGGCGACCCCAGCGGCTGTAGCAGAGCTGGAGCAGCGCTCAATCCAGCTAGTGCAAGACTTCCACCACCTGATCCAGAAGAAGCGGGCTCTCGACCGCGAGGTAACGGAGCTGGTGGAGTCATTGCCTACCGGCAAGGCACTTCTCGAGCGCCACGTTCGTCTCCGCCGCCAGCGCCTCTACAAGTACGAGCAGCAGGTCTTCGACCGCTTCCTTGGCGAAGATGTCGCCGCTTACACTCCCGCCGCTGTGATGCAGGCAAGGGAGCAGCTGGAGAAGGCGCTTGCTGCGGAGAGGGCTGCTGATAGAGTTAAGAAAGTGAGCGCCGGCGAGGGAAGCGTGCGCGAGAGAAGCGTGCAAGCCCAGAAGGACTTCAGGAACAAGGTCTGCGGAGGAGTCACGCTTGTGGCGTACTTTGCGCTCCATGGCCTGGCGGCTGTGGGCTTCTTTACTCTGTTGGTGCACTTTAGACTCTTGTAGAGGGCTTTGGGTGCAGATGATGTGACGAGGAATAAAACGGTCTTGGTTGGGAGAGGGTGCTGTCTTCTGTGTGCGTGTGCGCGTGTGATGTGACCTGTCTCTGAGTGGCATTGCTAGTGCTCTATACTGAGCTTCTTCTCTTCAGCCCCATTGATTTATGGATTCCCATAGTAATTCTCCAAGCAGCGAGTGCAAACTAATGACCGAGGCTTCAGTGTTCTACATAGTCCAGTCCGTCAGTCCGTCCGTCCGTCCTGAGCCCCGGACTGGACTGGGCTGTATCCTGGCAGTCCGTCTGGAGGTAGTGTTCAGACGGACTAGTCTACCAGTCAGGACGGACAGGACGGACTGCAGTCGACTGCAGTCCAACCCCGTCCAGCAGATTGGCGGACGGGACGGGACGGACGACTTTTGTCCCGTCCTCCAACCAAGAGGCACGGACGGGACTGGGACTTGGCAGTCCGTCTCGTCCGGATCGGACTATGGAGAACACTTGCGAGGATATTTTCCTCTCTGCCCGTCCGGATCCTGCCATGTAGGGATGGGAGTGAGTGTCCTCGAGTGATGCTCGTCAAAACTCGGGGCAAATCTGAATTCCTGGTTACTCGAGCACAGCGAGAGATCCTGAAGCACGATGTATTTCAGTTGGAATTACCCTCCAGCCACCATACAGCAGAAACCAGAACGCCCATAGATGCCCGCCGAATCAAGTCATCGAGGATGCTGTGTTTACTTGTGTAGTAGAGGAGAATTCCCACCTTCTCGGCTGCGCTTTCATGGCCGAGTTTTGGTGCTCGTGAGTCGTGGCAGTCAGAGCGAGGGTTTAATCTACTCTATACAGCTCACAACTATGGTAAGGTACGTGGGGCTCACTCATTCAATGCGAGCATCACGGCCCGGGATCGTGAAGAATTAATCGGCCTTGCGGGGACGGGACGCTACCTATTGAGTGGCTGGCACGTTATGTACCTACATTGGCTGGAGATTTCTAGGCCAACCAGGCCAGATTCCCGTTGCCTTTATAGTGCCAGTCGTCCAACCTGCTGCTCGACTAGTCCTTGTGGGTTGAAGGTCGTACCCTCTCATGAAGTTCCATGCGTATCATACAACAGCGCCGATTACCCACCCCTTGCCCATCCCTCCGGTAGAACCCACATAAGTCAGGTCGACTACTTTACTCCTCAGTAGTATGCCGGTATATATCTCCAGATTACTCAGGTTTTTTCACGAATGGCGGCGTTGCCTAGTGCTATATTATCTATTGTTATCACTAATAATCACTCGGCAGTCCTGAAGGAGGAAATGTTGATATTATGCGTCTTGTTACCTGTTTCCGGTGTCACTGCTACTTTCCACTTTCCTTTGCATACTGCCCTCATTTCCTTCGTGGCTTTATCTGTGGCGTCTCATCATAATCAGCCTCGTCAGTTGAAAGCCTTCAAGCCCCCAGCCCAGTCCGGCGACGACTATCGTCGCATACTCTGTCTGAGGCCCGGCCTTCTCGTCGTCCACACAAGCTCGTTTCCCTTTATAAGCAGCCCTCTTTCTCTTCTTTCTCGTACCAATACATCAATCAAGTCAAGTTCTTCTCTAAATTTCAACAGGAAAGAAATGAAAACAAAAAGGAAAGAAAGTGTGGTAGAATTGATCAGCTTTAGAGAACAGTGGCAACTACTATAGAGCTGAGCTGTACATACCGCTTAACATACAGTAATTTACCTAGGCCATTTCCTTCTTTTTTCTTATGATTTTCTTACTTAGTTTCATCTTCCAACTGAGTACTTGGTAGGCCTCGCCGCCGAGAGGATCTCGTGACTTCACTTGACTTCACTTCTCTTCACTTCTCTTCTTTTCAAGACCTCGTTGGACGTGTGCCTCCGATTTCTACTATAGTTTGCAAGTGGTTTGCAAGTAGCTTGCTTTTTTGGTTTTGGTTTTGGTTTTTATTCCGTCAAGAACGCACCTGGCGTGAACGATCGGCTATGATTTAAACTGGGACATTCCCGATTTCTCAACAGTAGCTACCAGCCAGCCTCCCTCTTGTCCTCCTGTCCCCCTGTCCAACTCCGAGTCTACGGAAGTGCATAGGTCGGATACACTATGGCAATGTGGCGAGATAGAACCAGTTACCAACCCGAACCGAACTGGAGACCAGCGCCGACCTCCATTCGTCCATCTACCAGTATCTACTAGGTAGGAGTGCGGTTCGCCGTGGGTGCATACGGGAGCACTCGCACTCCACTCGCACTCGGCCGCTGTCCGGACGATTACGGAACTGGCCGGAATCTCACGAGTCACAACGTTTACCAATCTCGCCACCGTGAAGCTGGAAGTATCTCCAAGACTCCAAGACTCCAAGACTCCAGCAACCCGGTAGAAGGCGTCCTGACCCCGCGATCAGGTCTGAGGTAGGTACATTGCTCGTGGCCACTGGTCATACATATCCTGTTACCGGTATTTCGGACATCACCGCACTCTACTCTGTTTTACTCCACTGTGCGCTCGCCGCTCGGATGGGACTCGAGGCGAGGCGAGGCGAGTCCTGGATCTAGGTACTCTACATATATGTGATCGTATGAGCGCAACGGTTAACTTCCTTCCTTCCTTGTGATTATGTACCCACGACTATGACAGCGGCAGCCTACACTGTACAGTACAGCGCCCATAGGCCGCAGAGTACTCGTAAACACTTGTAGCGTTTACCTGGCAGCTGGCCCGGCCCGGCTCCGAGTCCGGTTCCGGTTCCGACGAAGAAGCAAGGCAGCTATGTACATAAGTCACGCATCGCATCGCATCTCCAGCCCGGATCTTTCCATTCCATGATATTGCATATTGCAGACTTACAGTCACGGCACAGTGGCGAGAAGCATACATAGCAAGCCTACGTAATCTTCCGCACCCCCTTCCATTCCCCCAACCCATTCCCCCAACCCATTCCCCGCTCAAGCCGCCGTTGATATATAGCGAGCGCATTAGCGAGTCCCCCCGGCACCACCACCACCCAAGCTTGCGGACCATGAAAACCTACATAAATATGATGTATGTACGACCATGGAAAGGAAAGGAAACGAAAGGGTGGGTGGGGATATCTATGCACACCTACTTATACATACATACATGATACGGAGATCACCACGCCGTCTTGCATGCATTCAATGTGCAGGCTGACATGGAGATGAAAGGATGAAAGGTGAGAGGTTATAGGTGAGAGGTGGGAGGTCAGAGGTGAGATTGGAGATGAGGATTGTTTGATGCAGAGTTATTGCCATCTCACGCATTGTTTCGGCGGGTTTTTGTTGATGGTATGTAGTGGTGGTAGTGGTGGTGGTGGGTGATCATATCGATCCGCCGCTGCTGCTGCTGCTATGTAATATCCTCCCACTTCCACCCAGTGCACCCATCGGTACGAAGTATCCACCAAGGGAATTTGAAATTATGCGACTGGAGTGGAGTGGGAGTGCGTATCCCACTCTACTCCTTTCCTTTCCGTCCATACATGCCCAAAATCAAAACCCAAATGCACCATACCTATACATGTACCCACATATCTTGAATCTTTCCGTGCAGCTGTTGTGTTTTGAACTTTTGATTCCGGGATTCCAGCTGCACTCTCTGCGGCACTGGGCCTAAACTCCGAGTGACAAATATTTTCCGTTTCGGAGTTTCGGCCTCGGCCTCGGAATTCGACGGTGGTCTGAAACCGGTACTGCTGCGCAGAACAACTACCTACTGCACTCGACTCCCGGCCAGCCAGGAAGAAGAGATGCAGGAACAAAGAATGGAGAATGCGCCGAATATACACCGATTATTGAGGGCGGTGTACAGTGGTATCCGGATTCCGGACGACGGAGTGTGGGCTCTGGGAACTTTTGAACTGCGCTCAGCTACTCTATATTTTGCGCTGTGAGGGTATGTACAATACGAGTAATGCGAGTACCAGACGGGAAACCACGGGCTTTACCATGAATATCGCGATATTTTCCAGCAGGAATCCAGCAATCTCCCCGTCTCCAGTTCCAGTTCCAACGGGGCCATCAGTTTTCCCAACGGGTGCCAAGCACGGTAAGTACCTTCTCGTACATCATACATATCATGACCTGCAAGGGACCAGCACATGTTTGGCGCTACCCCGGAAACCTCCACCAAGCTTTCTGAGCCTCGGTACAAATGCTAGCGTTTTTTCTCGCGCGTCATCCAACGCAACGCAACGAATCATCAGTCTCTTGCCCCTGAGCGGAGCTGAGGCAAAAGAAAGCGAAAGGGGACTCCCCCGGATCCGCAGATTTTCTGGGGGGTGGAGGGGTGGGGGCACTGGGGGAGAAAGAGGACCGGGAAGATCCGGAGGATGAGCGGGAATTGTGGTGATGCTGCTTGCCTGCCTACCTACCTACCTGTGTATGTGGCCCGCGTGCCATGTATGTACAATACAATACTTACATACGATGTTTGACCACGCGACGAGGTAATTGTGCGACGGTTGTTCTTGCGGGGCGCGCACCGGTGAAGGCGTGGGCTTGGGCTTGGGCTTGGGCTTGGGGTCTGCAGAGACTTCGTGGGATCTCTGACTTGTGACTGTTGGAGAACTATCAAGTTTCTGCAGCTTGGGAGGAATTGGAATGGTTGATTTCGAGCATTCGCATGTGCTTTTTGGCAGGCTGGCGTCTTACTTACTTACGTGCTGCGCCCACCGAAGGTGCAGCCATCTGCCAGCACTAGAGCAGTCAGTAGAGTGATCAGTATGTGCCTAAGCAAGCTATCAGATACACATGCAAGTAAAGCAAGTATGAAGCATGAAGTAAGTACTTGGATACTTGGACGGGACGGGCCCGTTATGTGTGTGTACCAAAGCCTTGCTCGTGGACGGGGCCTGCCACACGGTCGTCGGAAAAAATCGAACAAAACCAGAGGGTTGGGAGGACTTCGAGAAGCAGCGGATAGTTACCCCGCGTTTCGTCTAGGTAGGCTGTCTGATCACCTTCACCATCGGGGTTACCGAATTCCATAGATGGGGCTGATATGATTTTCAGGCTCAACGTTCGTGCGGACCCTGGTGGTGGTGGTGGTGGTGGTGGTGGAGGGAGGGAAGTGGGCACTGGGCACTGGGCAGACTGGCCGTAAGGGGTGCTTTCAAATATCCGACCCTGGATTTTCTGACGAGAGCCAGATGAGCACCGGTATAAAGGGGAGGGATTCAAGCTCCAGATAGAAGCGAGATGTGAGATGAGGGCGGTGATCTCATATACTTCTTTCCTGGCTGTCTGCCGCGACGGGTCGGATGTTCGGAGCACTCTTTGAAATCCAATCATACATCGTATCGCCGGTCTTGAGTCTCGACTCTCGACGTCTCTTCACGCTTTTGCGCGGCGTGTTCGGTTACTTACCTGGTATTGCGTGACCGAGTTTGTTCGCGTAGGGTTTCGCAAGACGGCGAGACTCGAGAGATAGGTACCGATATGCTGTGGAATCGAATCGAGTTGAGTTGTATGTAATCAGTGGAACCGAGCGGGAGCTGCTGTCGTTCCGTGCCGCTCTGTCTTGCCATTCTGGTGTGTCTTAGTCGGCCATCGCTCGCTCGCATCTCCGACTTCACCGCCTCGACTTTCTTGCTGCGGATGAGCGGCTAAGCACTTGCCGCGAAGAGCTCTCGCTCCCCCGATATCGCCGCCGGCACTCCGCTCATCAACAACATCAGTCGGGGGGCGTGGGCACCATGCGGTCTGGTTTGTTTCGTGAGAGTCAACTTATCACAGAGAAGGTCAGCGGAAGACGAAGACGAAGACAAGAAAGACTTACCGGTGCTACAGAGAAGAATGGGGAGCAAGAGGAGGTTGTGGTGGTGGCCTGGTCGTAGATTAATCCAGGGACCTTTACTCGATAGTTCCCATCATCCCCTGGGCTAGGCTTCATGACGGTTGTCCTGACGAATATCGACGTGTTGGCCTGCCACCACTGAAGTCCAACTCTTTCTTCCAATCTTCTTCGGTTCTCCACCTTCCCTCCACCGTTTCGAGTCACACGGCAGAATCACTTTCCCCTCCACCCTCCTCCTCCACACTCTCCCCCGCCCGTCATCGTCCTTCGTCCTGCCTTCATACTCACTTGGTACATGTAGACTGCCCCCCCTCCCCCCCAGCCCAGTCTAACCAACCAACTAACTAACCGTCGCCCTCGAATTCCCCACATCCCTCCCCTCCTGCCTTCCTTTCCGGCTTATGTACTCCGCAGTCGAATCTCGATGCTCTCTGGCCTGAACTAAACCTTATCACCATCGCACATCCGCATCGCAACCCCGTCGTCGTTGCAAGTCATCTTCTCCGGTTCCGACGCACTACTGATCATCCAAACCCAAACCCCATTCCAGCCATCCATCCATCTCACACCACCACTCGCTACCACCACCACAACCACACATACTCACCATCATCCACCCCCCACAACTCATCCCATCCAGTTCCCCTCCCCACGCTTCCGAGCTCCGTTCCTCGATTTACCTTACCGTCTACCCGCCGCCATCAACGCTGATTTCTCGCTTCCAAACTTTGAGCTGACGGGCCTATTGCTATTACACTTTTGACTATTGCCACCGATAACCACCTCCGAGAGAGACGATCGCATCTACGAACAGAGAATAAACCTACACATACACATACACCTAAACATACAGCGCGGGGAAAAGAAAGGAAGAAAGTTGTCATCATTTAAGGTAGGACGGCGTCGGCCGAAAAAAATAAATATTGCTTCACGACACCGTCGCGTATCCGACGACGTCATAAGTTCGCGCGGGAGCCTGTCAGTGGACGTAAGAGAACGACAACATGTCGCCGGAACATCGCGCAGAGAGCACGGCTAGCACCGCTTCCAACGTGTCGAACTCGAACAACGGCGGAGATTGTGCGCGGCGGGATAGCATTGGCGGCGGCGGCGGTGCCGACGACGGCACCGGGAGCAATGGTGGAGGCCAGAGTTTTCGGAGGTAGGCTGCTCCGTCTCCCCCGACCGCTTCGCCGGAGAGCGCATGAGCGCGGATGGTGTCGATGCTGATGTCTTTGCGCGTAATAGACAACGTGCCGCGCGAGCTTGCGAAGTGAGTATCCATCCGTCCAACTCGCTACTCGACCTACCTCCGCATGGCTGGTTTCGCGATGATGGTTGTCGAGGCATTGCGGACCTCGGTCGCTTGAGACATGCGCTAACGATTGCTCTTATCTGGGTTTCAGACATGCCACGCGAGAAAGGTACTTTCAGCGCGCTCCCCAAGGCATGCCTTGCGGCCCATGCTCACGAAAAGTGAAATTCTAGGTTCGTTGCGATGCTGCTAGCCTCGGCGTACCTTGTACGAACTGTGTCGCCTTCTCGATCGACTGCAAAATCCCCACGCCGAAACGAAAAAAGCTTGCCGGCGGAAAGAAAGACGAGACGGAGTATGTTGGTCTGGGATGGGTCCATCAGAGGAAGGGGAGTGTAGCTGACTGTTGGGCGCAGTGGTTATGGCAGGCGCGGCTCCACAGTCGGCCCTTCACCTTCGCCGGTGGATGGTAATCCCATGAATTTCAATCGCACCCCACAAACAATCGTTGCGCCGCATCTCGACGGCACGCCTCCGGTGACCTACCCCGACGCCAAATTCGCCCAAGTCGCAACTGATTCCGGAACCTATACGCAGTTCATGAGACCCAAGTTCGCGCGAGCACCCATTAAGGAGGCTGGAAGAGTGGCATATTTAGGTTAGCATCGAGATCCCCGGGTTTGGCCATATGGCGGTGGTGCTGATGAGGGGGGTTCACACAGGCGAATCGTCGAATCTGAGTTTGCTCGTGCAGGACAAGCATGGATCGACCGACGTTGTCCATTATCCGCTGCCCGAGAACATTCGCGGGACGAGAGCACGGTTGACAGAACTCGACACGATCGAAATCGATATTCTACACCAGCGAGGCGCCTTCTTGCTGCCACCACGAGCACTCTGCGACGAGCTCGTTGCGGCATACTTCAAGTGGGTGGCCCCGATCGTCCCGGTAATCAATCGGAGCAGGTTTATGCGTCGGTATCGGGACCCTAAGAATCCACCATCGCTACTGCTACTGCAGAGCGTTTTGCTGGCTGGATCCCGAGTGTGCGATAACCCCCAGTTAAAGGACCCGAGCGGCTCGACGACTCCCGCAGCAATGACGTTTTACAAGCGGGCGAAGGCATTGTATGACGCCAACTATGAGGATGACAGGGTCACAATCGTGCAGAGCTTAGTGCTGATGGGCTGGTACTGGGAAGGGCCAGAAGGTGGGATACCACTCCCCACGGCCCAGATGCAAGGCGCCTCCAGCTGACAGCTACCCCAGATGTTACCAAGAACGTTTTCTATTGGAGTCGGGTAGCAACAATAGTGGCGCAGGGATCCGGCATGCACAGGAGGTTCGCCATATTGCATCCCATCTGCGATTGTGGGGCCGAAGGCTGACGGATTGATACAGTGTGGAGCACTCGCAATTAAGTCAGGCCGATAAGCGGCTGTGGAAACGAATTTGGTGGACACTCTTCACACGTGATCGGTCTGTGGCCGTAGCTTTGGGAAGACCGGTGCACATCAATACCGACGATTCGGACGTTGAAATGGTGACGGAAGAAGATTTCCTGGACGACGAGCCTGGATTTCCTGCCGAATATCCCCCGGATCCCCTGCACGTGCAGTTCTTCCTCCATCACGTCAAGCTCTGCGAGATTATGGGATTGGTGCTGGCGCAGCAATACTCGGTTGCTTCGAAGGCGAGGAGAAACAACCAGATCGATCTGATGCAGAGTGATCTCGCACTTGCGGATTGGATGGTGCACGTTCCGTCCGAGATGCGTTACCATGTCGAGGACAAGTCGAGACAGAACTTTTGGGCGGCGTTGCTGAATTCCACGTACTAGTGGGTAGCCCTGGGAAAATGGAGCTAGGTAGAGAGTGATGCTGACCATGGAATTTAGTACAACTCTATGTCTACTTCACCGCGCGCACATGCCGCCGGCGATATCTACGAGCCAAGGTCAGCAGGACCCTTCGATTAATGAGGATCATTACCCGTCACGCAATATCGCTTTCCGTGCTGCTCACGGCATCACATCCATCGTTGACAACCTGGTGGAGCATGACCAGTTGAAATACTGTCCCGCCTTCATGTAAGCCTGTGTATAGTTCTCCTCTCTCCCGCTCAGCCACTAACAGATGGGGAATACAGTGTCTACAGTTTATTCTCTGCACTCATCATGCATGTCTACCAGATGCGCTCGACTAATCCTCAAGTGGCGCTGGAAACGCGAGAAAGGATGCGCAAGTGCATGGACGCATTGCAAGCCGTATCGCGGGTATGGATTGTGGCCAAGATGGTCTACACGCTGTTTGAGTCGATCCTGGGCAACAAAGCGCTCGAGGACCGTCTCCACAAGTCGACCACCCGACGCCACCAAAACCGCCGGCACAACCACGCCGCTGGCATGAACGGCAATGTGGATCCCGTGCAGGCACAAGAACCACCCAAACGTAAATTCGACCAGATGGATCTGGGACCGATGTCCACCGGCCCCGTTCCCAACGTATCTTACGAGCGCTCTCGTCCCCAAACTCCTGCCCCCACCCCCGGGAATGACGGACCTCCGATGGTGGCCCCCGGTCCAACAACACCCGGTCAACATATGCGAGACAGCTTCATGAGCGGGATGCACTCGCGCGGCGCTACCAGGCCTCCAACACCCTTCAACCCATCCCTCTCCGTCCCCGCTACTCCACCCGAGATCTTCCTCGTCACGGCACCCGACACACACATCTCACAGAGCCTCTGGGAGAACTTTCAGCCCAACCAGCTCTTCCCGGACGATTCGGGCTTGTCGTATTTCTCGCCGCCGCCACCAGGCCCCAACACGCTGGATCCGCAACTGCAGCAGGGTGTAGGCGGAATGGGCATGGGCGACGGCTCACAAATAATGCAGCCAGGAATGATGCACCACGACGGCAAGCAATGGAACACAGGCGGGTACGACAGCATGCAGGGCCAGGACATGGGCGGCGGCAACGGAATGGCCGCAGGCAGCTCACCAGACGACACATGGAGCAATAGCAGCAAGGGCGGCATCGTGCCGACCACGCTAAACGTCGAGGACTGGTTTGTTTTCTTGAACGCCGCGACGGGAGGGGACGAAAACAACAACACGCATGCTAACGATGGTGGTCCTTCTCGCAGGTTTAATTTCTTTGGGCTGAATGGGGAGTTGGGGCCTGCGGCGTTGGGGTGATGTGATGTGATGTTTGTTACTTATGTACGCTATGTATGATTGATGTTTATGTTTACTTACGCTATGCTGATGTTTGTGACTTGTGACGGGACGGGAGAAGGGAAAAGGGAAAAGTACCTACAACGGGCCGGGTCATTTGTAAACAGTTTCTGCTTCTTCTTCTTCTTTTGATTCTTGTGTTTCACTTTTTTATCTATTTGAGTTTTTGTTTATGGGGGGACTTACTTTACTTTACTTTTACTTTTACTTTTACTTTTACCGCTACATTGTACGATACCTATCCTTGGCATTTGATGGCTCTTTCGTTCTCTTGATCATGGGCTGACGGGTATCCGAATTGTGTGTGTTTTTTACCTTGCTAGGTATACGGTACCTAGGTAAGTACTTCTTTCTTTGATCTATTGGACTTAGAGGGGATAGGTACTAAGGTGTGGTGCGGGTGTAGCGGAATGAAAACTGGAACTGGAACTGGAACTGGATTTTCGACTGGTGGTAACGTTGGTGTGTGGACTTATTGACTCATTGACTTGCAGGGGGGAGGGGGAGGGGGAGGGAGAGGGGGGACTTGGAAGTTCTTGAGACTTGACGCTTGGTAAGAGGAATCGAGAAAGGAATCGGTGTATCATGTGATGCGTTCGATATCACTCGTCGTTGATGGTAGAGTAATTTGGTAGAATGCCACTCGTCCCGACGCATATACTCTGCGGGTCTTGACTTTGGAGGGTCTTTCCAACTTGGAACTACATAGTGCTTGGTGATCTCTCGCTGTGCTAGAGTAATCAGGAATTCGGAATCCTCCCGAGTTTTGACGGGTATCACTCGAGGATACTCGCTCACATCCCTATGTGGGAGCCTCTGGATATGAAGAGAGGAAAATATCCTCAATCATTAGTTTCGCGCTCGCTGCTTGGGCAACTACCTACTACATATGAGCATCCGTAAATCCATGCGTCTGAAGAGACCACGGCGAGACAGGTCACATCTCTCTCTCTCTCTCACACACACACACACACACACAACACAGTACCCAACCGCAAGCCAAGTCCATTGTATTCCTCAGCCCACCACTCTCCACACAAATCTTTCCACCAAACGCCCAAGCCATTGTAACCATTCCGCACCTCACCACTCCGGTCCCCACCCTACTAAGCCCCAAACCTCACCGCCAACGCAGCAAAAACCACGATCGCCAGCCCCCTCCACCCAAAGTCACGTACAAAAATCGCCACGCCGCAAGCCAAGACCGCGGCCGCGACGCACCGGCGGACCTTTCTCGCGAAGGCCTGGGTAGCGCACACCCTTACCCAGCAGGTCCTTTCGTTAGCGGCCGCGGTAAGCTCATAGACGCGCGTTTGCTCCAGCTCCTGGACTTGGCGAGCGAGCGCTGCCTGCTCGGCGACGAGGACGGAGGCCGGAATGTATTCGATCAGGTCTCGCGAGAGGTACCGGTCGAGAGCCGCTTGCTGCTGCGATAGGAGCTGCTGGTGGTGGTGTCGGTGCAGGGAGAATGCAGGCTCGTCGTGCGGGGAGGGGGCGCGGGCCGAGTGTAACTGAACGAGCTCCTCGTGTTCGTGCAACTGCCGGAGGATCTGCTGCTCCAGGAGAGCTATGAACACCTTTTCGTCGATAACCTGGGGGTCCTCGTTGATGGGCGGGTTGGGCGGGTGGGGCGGATTGGATGGGTGGGTGGACATTTTGATGGTGGTGGTGGTGGTGGTGATGGGAGACTCGGGATGTAGGATGCTGTTTCTATGGTGTCGAGTGGTTGGTAGGATGAAGTAGGAGGAGAAGTAGAAGGTGGTTAAAGGTAGACTTTTGAAGGGCCGTTCCTGCAATCCCCTAGTGGGGTGAGTGATGTCGAGTGATTCCACCCACTTTCTTGCAAAGGTTCTAAATCTTGATAGCAACAGCATTCGCCCGTCCCCGGTATGCAATGAACTACATTTCCTTTCAATAGAAATAGTCATCTAGAGGAATGATAACTTGGCAAGAGTTTAGAACCACCCTTCACACCGCCGCCGCCTACCAAAACATAGGAAATCGCACCAAGAACATATATGGTGCCTGCGGTCTAGAAAGGCACAGTGGGTTTTAGCTCTTCACCCAGAAAGTTTACATGGCAACAGCCGACCCCACCACAAGAACAAAAATGATCACCTGACAACTCTCAAACATGCAACTTCACTACTCCACGGTGACTAGTATACCTACACCTGTTCCTTTCCACTATGAGAATCAATCACTGCCGGTGGTTGACTATTCATATCCTGGGACAAGCTATCTGCTGGTGAATTCTCTATATGGCGGCCTGTATTTCGGATGGTAGTTGAACAGCTGAGTTCCGGGTCCGAAAAGTTCTCCGAACTTTAAGTTCATACTCCGACCGAGTACGTGTGACCACTACACTACACTCGACTTTAGAGTGAAAATTAGTCGCCACTCGTGAGAGTTTGGTGCACTGGAGCTTGATTTGCATACAAAACCTAGGGCTTCTTCTTGTAAAAGAACTTCACACCAACATATGTCCAGGAATCCAAATCCATAGGAAGGTACATAACTAACCTGTGACTTTTCCACACCCTGGGTTTCATATCTGCTGTCGGCTGCTAGCTGGCTTGAAATAGGCATCGCGAAAAGATGGGCCTCCAAAACCGCAGGCACCATAACTACATGCGCTTGGCGTTTTGGCGAAACTAGGATGCGAGTGTGTTGTAGTGAGGATCTTTTGAATTAATTCCATGACACCCATTCAAAAACATCACGTGCTCAACGAACGAGTGTTTTCCCATGATTTCGTGATGATTCTCCCTCCAAGCAACAATCTACCTAGCCAGTTAGCCATTCCAGAAGAAAGAAATGAAAAGGAAAGTAGCAACTCGAGTTTGAACCGCAGCAAAAGAGCGTCCTCCCCAAGGTTGCTATCCTTGTAACAGCTCAGGACCTTCAGACCGCAGTCGATTAAGAAGCCAATATCATCATCTCGCACAGCGGCCAGAGCAAAAACATATGGCCAATGGCGCATGCATGCCTCAACTGAATGCATGGCCGGAGGAAAGACCTTTGCTCTGAAAGGAAGAAGACCTCCGCATATAACGTGGGGGGGTAGTAAACCACGTTATGCGTGTATAACTTGGGGCGGTAGTAGACCAAGTTACACCTTCTTTGGTTTTTTTGTTTCATCATCACGAAACCGTCTGCAGCCCGGTTTCGGAGATTCTTGGGCCTTGGCCATGCATGCTCGTGGCATGTCTCTCACACATGTGACGTGCATGGCCAGGAGGAAAGACCTTTGCCCTCTCACAGCAAAGGAAGAAAACCTCCGCGTATAACCTGAGGGGGTAGTAGACCAAGCTATACGCGTATAACTTGGGGGGTGGTAAACCAAGTTATACTTTCTTGGTTTTTTTCTTCCTCGTCAACACGAAACCGTCTGTCACCCAGTCTCGGAGAGGCCATCCAACGGGAGCAAGTCGGCTCTCACCCGACTTGGACTCCCGGAGGAAGGGGGAAAGAACTTTGCCGGCAGCAGAAGAGAAAACCCCGTCCTTGGACCTTTTCTACTCAGCCTCGAGGGTTGGATCCGTCTATTGTCGCTGCAACCTGTCTACTTTGTAGACAGGTTGCACGGATCCCTCAGTTCCTCGCTGCTACGGCTGAGCAGGATAGCTCTGTAAGGTTATCCTGGAAGTAAAAAGAGGGCGGGGGGAGAGAGCACGTACCTCAAAGAGTAGGCCTCGGGGCCGATATCAGACCGTGAAAACTAATCATAAGTCAGTAGCATGAATCAACAAGTAGGTGGTCTCGCACGGGAAAGAAGAGGAAAAGGTTAATGTATGGGTACTGATTGTTCTGAATAGCGATTGGTTCTGGATAGCGATTGGTTCTGGATAGCGGTTGGTTCTGGATAGCGGTTGGTTCTGGATGTGTGGAGGAGAGGGAGGAAGAGTTGGGAGGAAAGGTGAGATTTTATAAGTGAAGTGGGTAAGATTCCAAACAACCACTGCTAGCGCACTAGCCGCGACTCCAACGCTAGCTTTTCAGCAAACAACCGCTTCATTCCAAGGTGTCGGCATGTGCTTGGCATCACCCGGAGTCACTCGAAGTGCGAGTGAGTATTATTGAATACGATCCCACAACGTGGAACAGAGACAAACGTGAGATGGTGGCGAGCACCTTTGCTACTCTCCATATGCGTCGACTGCAGTGTAGATTATGGCGAACCGTCGCACTCCTTTCCTGCCCACTCTGGTCGGCCGAGGGTTGAGACCCCGATACTACCCAGCCCGATGTGGCGCCGCTGCCTACATCTGTGACGCCGGCTACATCCTCGACTGGCTATACACATCTCGCATCCACTCGATTGGCGGTCTTCAGCAGGCCACAGAGTTGACACCCACTGCACTCGTTCGGCGATCTTTCAGCTTTGTCGTTGCCTTGAAGCTCCTGAGGACCATGGGAGGATAGCAATATTGTCCGCTTTCTTACAACAGTTCATCCGCGGAACGAGGCCACACTCAAGCTACGGCACAAGCCGCAAGCCGCGAACAACCAGTACCAATGCTGCTGCTGTCCGCCGGGTCTTGGAGACACAGAACGGAAGATGATTACAACAACCACATGAACAGCGTGGAAGTAGCGGGCCAGCGCCGAGCTGAATACTCTACACAACTCATCAGCGGACCTGTCGAAATTGGTTGTCGTTATTCTTCTTCCTCCTCGATGCCTTTCTAGTCAACTCGCATATTCTCATGGAGCTGACTTGCCATGAAGTCTCGCCGGTCTCGCCAGTCTACGAATGGGCCGGCCAATCTGGAAACGGAGTCATCTGGCGTTTCAGCGACCTAGAACATATCAAATTGCAGTGGTAGCTTTTTAGGTAATCCAAATCCTCAATTGTATCAGAGTGCGGCGAGTGACGGTCACCTGGATGATCAGAGAACATGCGTTTCGGTTCCGATGACATGGCTGGAATTGACAGCAAGTCCTGACAGTTGACGTTAGGAGTACCAAGCTTGCCCACGCTTATGCTTCCAGGCTAGCACTCGATCGAGCTTGCACCGGTTACATAGAACTGACAAATGAAGCAGATTTCGAAGAGCAACATTCCAACTAACTGGATACGCAGAATCCACCAAACAAACAAACAGTTAAGAACGAACCGACCGAGCAAACGGTTGAACTGGATAACTGGTTCAACTGCAAAACTACTGGCAGGTCGGGTCATGAAAGGTGAATGCCTGGGCGCTAGATCTAGCAGGTGCTCGCATCCTTGGTATATTGCTTGGCGTGAGTGATCGTCAGTGAAGACCCGCCGACATGACGTTAATTTCCAACCAACTGCTCCTCGAGCAACTTTGAGGAACTTTAATGCTCTATGGAGTTCAGAGAATGGACACAAATCGAAGCGGCGAATGGAATTCGATTTCAGGGACGCCGGGATGAAAACCGTTCTCCGAATCTCGAAACACACTTTCTACATAGAATACTCCGTGATTTACCAAATCCAGAGAGGCTGCGTTTCAGACAAGTCCTAGCCGGCGAAATTGTACAGGTATCAACAGAAGCTTCCATGAAGCTGTAGATTGGTAAAATACATGTTTGGTATCCGGTGAATATTCCTCTGACTCTCGATCGCGTGGTGAAACCGAGCTGGATATCGTCGGACCGGGGTCAGTCCGGTAGCGTAAACTCTCGTAGATGACTGGCCTGGCTTGCTCGTGCTTTCCAGTGCATAAAATGTGACCTAATCCTGTGTACGACACCCGCCGAAAAAGTCCCTCCGATTATTCAATAGTCTCTAGCTTTTCCCCATTCTCTTCTTCTCCGTCCCTGATAGGGTGGTAATCGAGAGCTTCGGCGTGGCGGTTCCTCCGTCGAACCATCGCAGTCATCCCTCCCCCTCCTCCTCCCCGCGCTGACGTAGACACTAGCCGGAAGAAGTCTCGCCCGTTTTACCGCCGCCCACCCACTACACTAAGCAACCACAGCAACCGCACTGCTGCAAAACACTGCTCGCAACCTGCATCACAACAGACTCCATCCCCCTCTTTCACCCCCACAGTGAAGCAATCATCCCACTACGACTGCTGCCCTTCTCCATCCCGTTCCGGCAGCATCCCATCTCATCGACACACCTATCCCCCTCAATCACCTACAGCTACCGCAAACACCCTCCCTTCCCACCTACCCCCCCCACGTCTGCCACCCATCTGCCGGATACCGTCGCCGCCGGCATTGCTGACGGAGCATCATGGCTTCCCCTGAACCACCCTTCAAGGTCAAAGCCTTGTTCGACTACACGTCTCCGCACGCGGACGACCTCAACTTCCCCGCCGATGTCGTAATCACCGTGTCGGCTCTCGAAGATGACGATTGGTACTTCGGCGAATACGTGGACAAGGCTACAGGCGACAAGAAGGAGGGAATATTCCCCAAGAACTTTGTAGAGCGTATTGTGGTCGAGGTGCCAGCGAGGCCTACGAGGAGCGGTGCCCGAAAGAAGGTCGAGTCCGAGGTCGAGCCAGAGCTGCCTACGAGCCCTGTCGCGGAGAGGGTAGCTCCACCGCCAATGTCCCCGCCACCTATCGAGAAGCCGGATCCCGTTCCCTTTTCGCCCCCGATTTCCAAACTCGTCGAGACGAGATCTCCTCCGCCGCCGCCGCCTGCTGAGTTGCCGAAACAGGTGGAAGCACCCCGATCGTTAGCGCCGAAAGCTGCCGCGAAACCCCCGCCTCCTCCTGCCCAAGCTGCGGCCGATAAACCGGGTCCGTCGAATAAGCCTCCACCTCCGGATAAGCCGTCGTCGAGCTCTTTTAAGGATCGCCTTGCTCTGTTCAACAAGGGAGGCGCAGCTCCGGTCACTCCCTACAATCCGCTTAAACCTCGACAGGATTTCGTCAAGAAACCGTTCGTCCCACCACCTCCCAGCAAGAATGCGTATGTCCCACCACCGATCTCACATGTCGCAAAACCCAAGAGAGATGAGGGGGCGCCGCCGCCACCGCCTGCCCATGCGGAGCCCTCGGCTAAAGCTTCCGGTGACGTCGAGCGCGATGAGGAGGAAAACGTACCGAAGCAGAGCTTGAAGGAAAGAATCGCTTTGCTACAAACCCAGCAGTTGGATCCCAGCGCTTTGCCAGGCGTGAAGCCAAAGCCACGGCCCAAGCCCAAGAGAGTGACGAGTGAAAAGAGCGAGCAACAGCAGCAGCAGCAGCAGCCGGAAGAGGCCGAAATCACTTCCCCGCTGTCTGCAACTACCGAGACTGGCAGGAAATCCCACGATGAGCCGCGGCCCGAGAAAGTGGTAGACGTAGAAGAGGAAAACGTTCCGCCGCCGCCGCCCAGAGCCCAGAGGAGCATGGATATCAAACGGGAGGAGATCGCGGATGATAGCAGCGTCGGCGATGCGGATGTTTCCTCGGCTTCGGTCGGCCCAAGTGAGGCAAGAGTTCGTCGTACAGCCCCTGCGCATCAATCGGACTTCGGTGACGATGAAGGTGCAAACGATACTCCAGATGTACCGGATTCGGATGACGAGGAGGAGGAAGAGATCGATCCTGAGCTTCAGAGGAAGATAGCGCTTAGGGAAAGAATGATGAAGATGAGTGGTGGCATGGGAATGCATGGGATGTTTGGTCCGCCCCTAGGAATCCCGATGGGCGCACCGGCAAAAAAGAAGAAGAGCACTGGCGGTAAATCCATAACTGGCGAGGACGAAGAAGAGAGGTCCCCCGAGGTCCCTCGTGCTCCAGTTCCAGTGCTGCCATTTGCCATGCCCAGAGTTCAATCGCCGCCAGCAGTGGAGCATGAGCCGGAAGAGGAGGAGGACCAGTCCAGGCAAGCGCCGGCCGGCCACAGAATTTCAGAGGATTTACCTGCCGATGAGCCTGTGGATCTGGAAGACATGAAGCCGACGGAGAAGCACCCCCACGGCCCACGGCCAATGCCTCCGCGGTCTCCGCCGACTGCCCACGACGGTAATTTGTTTCATCATACTTTCATAGTTTACTTTGGCGCTGATTCCAACTACTCAGATGTACCTGGTTCACCACCACCTCCCCCAACCGAACGTCCTGTTCCTCGCCCCCCAACGGCTCCTGAAGGTAGGTTCAACTGAACGGCATCCGTAGCTCATCCGGTAATTGACGAGACTACAGGCCGTCCGGCTCCACCCCCACCGCCGCCAGTACAGACGAAGACACCCTCTGAAGGGTCTGAGTCGGGCGATGAGATGTCAACAACCACGACCAGCAAAGGAAGCGTAAATGCAGATCAGCCACGAAGTGCGCCTCCTCCTCCGCCGCCGCCGGTCTCGTCTCGCCCTTCGTCTTCGGGCACGGGTATGATGTCGCCATCCTCTCCACCGCCCAGACGTCAGTCACAGTCCTACTTTGGTAACGCGCCGATGTCACCTGGTGGGAGCACGCCGCTTTCTCCTAACGCTGCCGCAAACAAGCGCGCTAGTTATCAGAGAGCTGCCGGATCGATTCCTCCAGTTCCCGGCGCATTCCCTACGACACCTGCTGTCACCAGGCCTCCGCCTCCACCTCCTGTACCAGAGCGACAGAGTCACGATGAGTCGCGGTCTGATACCGATGAAGAGGTGACGGAATACGAGGCAGATTATGATACGGATATCGCAAACAAGGTTGCGCATCGGGATGCCCTAACCGCTCAGCATGGAAAGGAACGTCGTGACCCCAGTCAAGACGATACACCACTGCCCTCGCCAATCGTCACTCCGGTCCAGGCTCCAACACGCGCGGTCCCGCCACCGCCTCCTATCCCCTCAAACCCAACTCCGGCGGCACGGTCGAGCATAGACATGCCCAGAGCTCCCCCTCCTCCCCCTCCCCCGCAGGCACCCGCAGCCCTTCCGGTGTCAGACGACGACGATGACAGCGGGGACGAACCGTACGATCCTTATAGCTACAACTCGCCAACGTCCGCATACCAACCACCTAATGCTCTGCCCCCACCACCTCCTCCCCCAGGACAATACTCGTCCCCTCCACCTCCCCTGCCACATGCTGCGCCTCCCCATCCGCCATCGACTCCAGGAGAGAGACTTCCATCACGCGGCGGTTCCAGGCCATCGATGGATGCGTCCCGCGGCGGGTCCGGGCGCACGTCATTTGACTCCCCACGACCTACGGGCTCTCGTGCTTCAATGGATGTGCCGCGTGGTGGCATGGGCAGCCGGCGCTCTATGGATCAAAGTCGGCCACACTCGGACTATGTCGCGCGCGACATCGACCTCGGAGAGGGCTCTGTGTGGTGGATAAAGACGAACGCGCTTCCTCCCACGCTGCAGACTCGCGGCAAGGATCTGAGATACGAGATGGACGAAACACCTCATGCCGATTCGGGACGAATGGTAATTCAGAAAGAGGTGTATGTTCTGTTCCACGACTACTCCCAGACGGTAATCAGTGTCCGCTACGACCGCGATGACCCTTCAAACGCCACTGTCACGCAACGTCACGAAGCACCGCCGTCTCAGCCCCGCCAGGACCAACTGGAGGATTTCCAAGCGCAGTATGGAGCTAAGATTTTCAATGGTGTTAAATCTCGCGAGGGAGCTGTCGTCGGGGACGGAGATCCAATGTCGCTTATCAAAGAGCTATTCACACTGGTTCCAGAGGCTTTGCTGCCCGTAGGAACCCGGGCTTTCGGCTGTCTTGTCTACGCCAACCTGGCCAATGCCTCCACGCAGCAATTCGACGAGATCAGACCTGGAGACATCATCACTTTCCGTAACACACGGTTCCAAGGCCACAAGGGTGGGCTGCACCAGAAGTACTCGGTAGAGGTCGGAAAGCCCGAGCATGTGGCGGTGGTCATGGACTGGGATGGGACAAAGAAGAAGATTAGAGCATATGAGCAGGGCAGGGAGTCGAGGAAGGTGAAATTGGAGAGTTTCAAGATTGGGGATCTCAGGAGTGGCGAGGTTAAGGTGTGGAGGGTCGCGGGCCGTAACTGGGTTGGATGGGCTCCGCAGGAGTAATCCCTTCTACCCTTATTGCTTGCTTTGCTTATAGGATACTGTGTTGGCCTCCGTCGATGTTATATTTCTGTCGCTTTCCTGCTCTTCTCGTACGATTAATGATAGTCATTGCTGTTTTCTTTACTCTACTTTTCTGTGTTTCTTTTTTGGGGGAGGGTATCACTCTACTTGAGAGCAGCATTTACATTCCCTCCTTTTGAGTTGCTGTTATTTTTTCCTTCCCGCTTTGCATACATACTTACGTCCTTTACTTCACTCTATACTGGAATTGAGCTGGTGGTTGATTGTAGACGTTTTCTGGTTGTGATGGTGTGGCTGTGGAGTATTTGTGCAGTCTTGCAGATGAACCTGTAAGCAAGGGATATATTCCTGTGGAGCCATGATCGTTTTTGTATCGTATTATTTTACTCCTTATCATTTCCCCTCTGAGCCTTGGGAACATAGCCCTCGATTGCTGCCGCAGCGCCATGATCGTCAGCCTGCGGTAACGTAACAATCGTGACCTCAGTCCTCCTCTCCACCACATCCGCCAGCACCCCTCCCTTAACGCCGCCCTTCCCATCCTCCGCAATCCCCACGCCCTTAAGATCCTCCGCAAGCTTCCACACATCCTTCCCCTCGCCGCCCGCCCAGCCCTTCTCCCTCTCCCCCGCCTCCCCCGCCCCCTCCTCCTCCTCAAGCAACCTCACCCCGCCCCTCCACCCCACCGGCGGCACCTCACTATCCAAATCGACACCTCTCACCTCTCCGGTGACTTCATCCACCTCCGCGCGCCCGACCACATCCCCTCTATTCCACGCCGCCTCCTCACTCAACTGCACCCTAACCCACAGGGTGCGTTTCCTACAGGCCTCACCACAAAACCTCTCGAGCTGTTCCCTCTGCACCCACTCTCCGCCTTGTGTCCTCGCGAGCCTAGAGCGCACCCTCCGCCGCGCCACCGGCCGCGCACAAAGCGCGTACCCGCACAGCTCGAGGATGTTGCGCTCCTCGAGCAGCCCGTCGTAGTCCGCCGGCGTGAAGAAGCGGATGTGGTGCTTAAATACTTCTGCGGAGGGGGGTGGGAGGTCGAGGAGGAAAGTGAGGGAGGAGAGGATCGAGAGTTCGAGGGACTTGCGGATTTGGAGGGTTGAGGCGTGGGTTAAGGCGATTTTGCGCGCTTCCGAGGGAGTGCGACGGGCAGCGCCGGAGGATTTGAGGATCGACTTGGGCGGAGGGGCGTCGCCGAAGGAGATGGAGGTTGGGAGCATGATTGGGCTGGTGGTGGTGGTGGTGGTGGTGGTGGTGGTGGCGGTGCTGGTGGTGGCGGGGGGAGCTGGCTGTGGAGGTGGGTAGGTGTGGTGGGGAGCTGGCAGGACGACGGAAGGTTCCGTGGCGCGAAGCTTCGGAGAAGCAAGCGTGACTCGAACTAAGCTTGCGCCGCCGCCACACGAAAGATGCAAGCCACAATGATGGAACACTCAAGTCACCAAGTACTGGTACATCATACCAGCGAAACTCTTTTGTCACATGATTCCTGAAATTCGGTGATGCACTCGTATGTAGCTGGAGCTGGATCACCACCACCACGACGTAACTACCATCTATCGTATGGGAATCTGTACAATTCGACGTATAACAATCTCCACAATGTAACAATTAAGCAAACCTATAACAGACAAAAGCAAAACAGATGCACATGCTAGTAGTGTAGTGGTACGACGATATACCAATATCAAGGACAGCCGAAGGGAATAAGTAAATAAATGCATCCACGACACAAGGAAAGAAACTCGCAAGTAAGCAAGCGACAGCACCAACCCACCGTAACGCCAAAAAAAAATAAGCAAAGCAACGTCCTCACGTCTAAACATCTCTCCACCTCTCTCCCGCGCCGTCCTCTTCCCCCTCACCACTCCTATCTTCCATCTTAAATTTCCGCCTCCTCGTCGGCCGCCTGCCACTCGTCGAGCTCCCAGCGACACTCGAGCCTACGCTCTCCCCGCCCACCCCGGCAACCATCTCAATAAGCTCGCCGCCGAAATCCACCGCGGCGGCAGATTTAATCCCCTCGCCGAGCCTGCGTACCCAGCCCTCGACGGTCCCGCCAACGACCTCGGCGCCCTTCACCAGCTCCTCCCACTCAGGCAGCGCCGCCTCAGTCTCGGGATGAAAGCTGTGGACACCAGGTTTCATCCACGCAGGCTTCCTCTCGCCATTCATCTCCGGCGGCGCCTCTCTGTGCTCCTCCTCCTCCTGCACGGCTGATTTCCGCCGCCGCGCCGGCCGCCGTGGGTACAGCAGCCCGATCTGTGTCTTCCCCAGCGGCGCCGGGAGCATGGTGTAGCTGTGCGGTTTCCACCGCTTCTCCTCGTCGCCCACGTCCGCGTCCCCCTCCCCACCCCCTCCCCCACCCCCTCCTCCATCGCCCAGGGGACTCCCCTTGATCCGACATGCATCGACGGGAATCAATAGCTCCCCCCGCGACTGCAGTGGGTCGCCAGGCCAGAGCTGGTTTGTGCGGAGAACGGAGGAGGCATTCGTGTCGAAGGCGATGATCACCCCCTGCAGCGTGGTGGAGGGCGTTACGGGGTGGACGTAGACTAGCTGCGGCTCGTGTTTGGTAGTAGTAGTAGTGGCGGGCGGGGAGGTCGGCGGTGAGGTGTCGAATGCCTTTGTGGGGCGGCGAGAGCGGGGCGGCGAGGACGGTGGCAGCGAAAGGAAGTCGGAGAACCAGCTTTTACTTGCTGCAGCTGGGGGATTGGAGCTCGATGGCGTGGACAGGAAGGAGGGCGCCAGAGACTGCAGCGTGCTCCATTGCTTTGTGGGGGTTGGAGAGGGGGAGCGCTGAGGGTGCGGATGGGGAGCGCGGCGGCGCGGGCGGAGCGTCGTGGTCGTCGATGTCGCCGTAGGATTGTTGGTCATTGTCGACGAAGGTGGCCACCGAGGAAAGGCATGTAGTGATTGAGGTTGGTGGGGTGAAGGGGGGGCGTGGAGAGTAACGTGGATGCAGAGGTGTAACTTGCCGACGGAAGCTTACTTACCCACCCACCCACCACACCATGCTCGGCAAAGCGCCGCGGCGGCTAAACCTTACGGATCGTGTGTGCCTCGAGACGACGGCTAATGCAATGAAACCTGCATAGAGAATTCATATACAACGGCAGAGTTTATCGTGGCTGTTTCCCCTCTCTCTTTCTCTTTTCTTTCGCCATCCCGGACCAATATCTGCGCTTCCGACGGCAGCATCCACCGAAGCTCTGATCGTGAACACACCCACAGGTCGAGTAACTACCCCTCCCGCAAGCTTCCTGCAAGAGAGGTCCGTTCCCCACTATTATGTAACTAGCACGACCTGCTTCGAGGCACTGCTGCCGTCCAATTCTTGGCGAGCGGCTGTTGGGGACACGATGGGGAGTGATGGGACGTGAGTGGCTGTCGGTCTTGAACGACTGCTCGGTTGGAAAGCGGTCGCGGCAAGTATCTTTCTTCGGTTACATAATAGTTAACAGTGTGGAAGGTCTGATTTGTGTGTTCGAAAATTTCGAGACGCGCGACACTTTGGCCAGAGAATGGACGAATCCGCGACAAAACGGCCTCCAATTCAATGAATTCTATTACCACGGATTTCGTGACGAGGGCCGGAATGGAGCTAGCTACTGTCCGGCGTCTGGACTCCCGTGTCTAGCTGCAGGGATATCCAATTAGCACATAAGTTACTTGACTTCCTCCAGCTATCGACGAACCCAGAGCCTAATTGAGTACAAACCAGTTCTCCTCAAACCAGAACTACAAACCTGAGCAAGTCGCTCCTACGCCGACAAAGGTACTACGCATCGTCTGCGAGTCAACTCAACCATAAATTTGCTGTAAGTTTACTACTTCTATGTACGACATTGGGTTGATCGCTGAACTTTGAAGATGCAATGAATTCAAGGCAGCTGGGAGCTAAGGGAAGATCAGAGGAAGCTCGAGAATAAAATATGTCAATATAAACGCTGATCGACACACCTAAGCGAGGGAGAGGAGCACAAGCAAACATCGATCCAAAATATGCGAGACCATGGTCCATGGGGTACTTTATACCAGCCTCCGAGCAGCCATATGTTGACCGGTCATGATCTCAGGTACTTAGCAGGCCGGAAACTGTAAATCTCACGCCCTATCTACCAACAGAGTTACCATCCCTCGGGACAGTCCGAGTCTTGAACTCAAGCTGGATGCCAAGTTTTCAACTTCAAGTTTATCTTCCCAAACCAACGTCCGCTCCAACTCCGACACTACTTCCTCAGGCTATAGGCAGAAGTTAGAACATGAAACAACCTTACAAATACAGGCAACTTTACCTATATTTCCCCCACAATCCGAGGTACCCCGGCATCGATAATGGCGGTAGAGTACTATGGGTACCGCCGGTACAGAGTATGTAAGCTTTCCACTACCGACCGGCCACGGCGACGACGGATTCAATCTGGAACGTGAGGTTTGCAGCCAGGAATTTGTGATTTATGGCTATTAATGATAAAAATGAGCCGGAATCCTCGATATCGGTGACTTTCAGAGTGATGGGCATGGAAAATGAAGACAGAAACCGAAGAGACCCTCGTGGGAATGGTTGGGATCTGGAGACAATGGTCCAAAGATCAAGATCATGTCGAAACATAGCATCAGCACAAAGATCCCTTTGCAGGCTGGTGGGAAACCAGGATCACATCATCAACCTCGACATCTGTATACTACAACGATCCGGGCCAGACGCCCAGACCCCCGTGAGATCGAGTTTCAGACTTCAGTAATGGTTCGGGATAGATCGATGCGGCGGGAATGGGAATGTTAACGATCGACCTGGCACCAAGATATGTTCTAGCCTGCCGGGCAAAATGGGTTTTTTATAAATAGACCGGCCCGTAAGGCAAGCGACTGGATATGCGATCTGACCGGACTGCCGAGTCAGAAAATATTCTGGGCAAACCGGGGAATATTTTACAAGTATACCAGCCTGCCGGGCATAATTTATGTGCAGATACTTGGATATCACAACAGGGCGATGGAGTGAGGTACCTATGTCAGCAGTCAATAATATCAGCCAGTAATTTCCTATCGGCCCAATACTCAACTCTTTACACAGCCCTCATGCAGTCAATGATCAATCACAGGTCATCGCCTCAGCTTTTCACCCTCCTTATCTTTCTCAACACCCGTCCAGCTTGCTCTCCAGCTTGCTCTCCAGCATCCTCTCCTGCGTCCTCTCCAGCATCCTCTCCGGCTTCCTGCCCGACCCCTTCCTCTCCAGCATCCCTATTAATACTACCACCGTAGGCCGAACCCTTTTCTGGCCAGATGCTGTTTGAGTACATACCTGCGCGGAGACTGCGGCGGCCTGTTGTCGGTGTTGGTCGAACAGCGACGCCGGCCGGTGGACAGTTCTGTCCACCAATACTTGAAGGTTCGGAAGAGGCATCTCTAGCTTCTACTATCGCATTAAGAGCGGTGATATGTAAAGGCATGGTGCTTGAAGATATGAAGCGGAATATCAAAAGTGTCAAAAGTGATGTTTGTCTATTCATGGTGGCAAGAGATACGGTTCTTTCATGGTGGCAAGAGGAACGGCTCTTTCATGGTAGCGAGAAAAAGATTTTCTCTAATGGCACCAAAAAACGTTTTAGTTACCGAGTAGCGCCAGGAATTTACGGCCAGGCTGACCTGCACACAAATATGCCGGAAGACCGGTCTGTCCGTGAAAAAATATTCCTCACTGTCCGGTCACTTCGTATATCCAGTCACTTCGTCTGGGGGCCGGTCACTTGGTCGGGTGGCCCAGTCCATTCATGAAATACTAGTTTTGCCTGGCAGGCTAGAACAGATACATTCTGACGTATTCTGACGTGACAGTCGCAGCCGAAGAACTGCCGCTTCGCTCTGTCTACCTGTCAATGGTCATCCGTGCACTGCTCGGCTGCGTGGGCTGATCGGCTACAGTGCCTAATGTATCCGAAGAAACTTTAACTGCCTACACCGAGCAATCGTTATCAGCCAGCTATGATAACACTCGGAGATCCAGTATGTACGGTGCGCAGACTCCCTCGGCCGCCGTGATCATTGGGTCCAATCAACCGGAGCAACAGGCTGCAAATCGGTAATCTCTTCCTGACATCACGATGTCATTAGTTCATTCCCACCGGCCACGATGGGGTCTGGACAGCCAGGACAAATAGGAACCGACCGACCGAACGCAGACGGAAACCGCAGATTCTCATCAGTCAGAGGTCTCCGCACATACCACGCTGAGGATAAGGAGTGGGTATAAAGTTCCCGAGATCACCCCTCTTCTTACCCTACATCCACTCACTCACTCACTCACTCACTCACTCACTTACTCACTCACTCACTCACTCACTCCACACCATTCATTCCCCACAGGCCGGCCCCACTCCTTCAAGTTTCAACCAACAATATTCCATACTAAGACAAAATGCACTTCCTCCTCCTCCTCTCCACCCTCCTCGCAACCACCCTGGCAGCCCCAGTAGCCCAGGGCATATCTCCACCAGCGGATACTATTCCTACCGGTCTTCCCGGTGCCGGGGGCGCTGCTGGAGGCGCAGGCGCGGGCGGAACCTCATCGCCGCCAGGCGGCAGTATGGGCGGCGGTATGGGCGGCGGTATGGGTGGCGGTAAGCCGCCCGGAGGTGGTGGTGGTGGTGGCGGCAGCGGCGGCCACGGTGGTTATGATGATCATGGTGGTCATGGTGGTCATGGTGGTCATGGTGGTCATGGTCATGGTGGTCATGGTGATCATGGCCACGGCCATGGAGGCGGCAACGACCACGGCCACGGAGGCGGCAACGGCCATGGAGGTGGCAACGACCATGGAGGCGGTCATGGAGGCGGCAACGGTGGTGGAAAGCCGCCGGGTGGCGGAATGGGAAGTCTTGGAGGTGGTTCTAGTGGCTCCGGTGGCCCTGGTGGGACTACTGGCACTCCCAAGCCACCCGGTGGAACCCCCACTGCTCCCGGCGGTAGCGCTCCTGGAGGCCCTGGTGGTCTCGGCGGCGGTGCGCCTAAGCCGGCATGAGCACTAGAGTAAACACCCGGTTTGAGACTCGAGAGGCGTTCTTGTAGTTTAGAAGCTTTGATCTGGTTTTGAGAATGAGGGAGAGAGGGGGCTTCAATCTACTAGATACATCATTTCGTACGGTCTTCTAGACCATGGTGACTCTGCTGACCGTCCTACCTATCCGGTCAGCCCCGTGGGGGATGATTTGGGAATCTTTGTTTTGTTGTTTGATCATTAGTTGCGTGCGACCTGTCTAGATCATGGCAACATCAACCCATACACCCCCCCGTTTCCACGCCACTATCCAAACCGACCTTCACGTATCGGCCCGATGTGGCTTTCCCTGCCCTCCACCCCGGCCAGTGCCAGAAATGTAGATACACGATGACTAATTGCATAACACCCGTTCCAAACCCTCACGTGCTTCACGACGAGTGTTTTCCCATGATTCCGTGATGATCCTCCCCTCGAAGCAACAGTCCAGCTAGCCAGGCACTCCAGCAAAAGAAAAAGTAAAGCAGCAACCCAGGCTTGAAACGCAGCAAAAGAGCGTCCTCCCCAAGGTTGCTACCCTTGTAACAGCTAAGGCTTGGGGCGTGCTGACCCCCCACCTTCTGGGAAATTCGCTCCAACTGAGCCATGATTTCTGCTGGTGACTTCCTCGCTTTTAGAATTGCAACCTCCTCCACCATAGAAAAGAGAAGATGACACTGCAGCACTTGCTACCTACAACACGGCATCACCACTAATTCTGTCAAATTACGGCGTCCGGAGCATATGAAGGATCTCTCCTCATGTCCACTGTAAGACGATGGTGAAGCTGCAACAAGCAATGTTTTGAAGGAGTCAAGGATTAGGTCATGCGAAC